TCAAACATTTAATTAACTCGCCCCTAACGCGACGGCTGGAACTGCTTCTCTTTGGCGAGGCGTGTGATGTTAGCTGGTATTGATGATGTTGCTGCTCGCAACTGCTTGTCCAGGTTTGCTCCTAGACTTATTGAATTTCGAGTCCCGCCTGCGTTTGCCTTGGCAGGGCCACACCAAATGATTTCGAGGGCCTCACACGGCCCGCGGGCCGGACGTTCCCCACCACTGCGACGACTGGATGAAGGCCCTCTGTGCGAGACCACGAGGAGCTGTTGAACCATCATACTGCACCAGGCTGGCCAGCGCGGTCTGGTGAAAGGCGGGTAGTAGGTAGCAGATAAAGTGCAGAATAAGGGGCCGTCCATAAATGACGTCACGCACCTAGTAGAGGGGGGGGGGGGGTTAGACATTTGAGACGATGTGTGACGATGTGGGGGGGTTTTAAAAATGTGACGTCACATCAAAATGCGCAACTTTAAATAAATATAGACAACACGTTCTACTAAATTAAATAGACTTTATAATAATTGTTTTCTCCTACAACATCAGAGTGCAGCGCCACATTAAATACGCACAACAATGACAATAGTTTAAAGCGATTTGAAGCATGTTTTATTTTGGGGGGGGGAGCAGTGGCGGCTCCTGCAAAATCTCTCAGGGGGGGCAAATGTCTAGATGATTGATAAGGATAAGGTCCACCCATGCAATGGATAAATTAACAGCTTAAGCATGTAAAGGCAACTTCACTACTTTAATATTAATGAAAAATAAGGTGACTCTTACAATACATCTCCTTGTTTGTTTCTATACTCACTATTATTACAATCCACTCAGTTTATTTTATTAAAGATTACACTAGGTGGCGACAAATAATATTGTTGACTGAAACGTGCTTACGTATGATGACGTAAGCACGTTAGTGCGAGCCCTCCCGGAAGCCATAGAAAATGCATTGCAGCGCCCGCCGTTCGAAAAAAAAACATCTTAGAATGTAAGTCTATGGGGCCACTCGGGGCGATTCTCAGCCGGAGGGAAATCGCCCAAAAAGAGGCGGTACTCCACAGAACGTGACATGACGCTGATTGGACTATATCCAGAGGCACAGTGACGGCTAGCGTGACTCTGTGGTTGAATGAGATTTTGAATGTGATTGGTGGTGCTTCGCCCAATCGCCCTAATGATGAAACCGCTCCTGGGGGGGAGGGCAGAGCTTTGTGACGTCATATTTGAGGGGGGGGGGGTCTGACTTTTTGTAAAGCCGTGTGACGAAGGGGGGGGGGGTAAAAAATCGTCCAAAATCTCGTGACGTCATTTATGGGCGGCCCCTAATTAATTTAGCAATTCTATTCTGACGTATGGCGCTGCCGCCGTGGGATCTCTATGCCGATGTCGAGCTCTGCTCGCCACGAAGAGGGCTCCGGGAAGCGTGTTAATTGTTTGCGAATGCTCCTCCCTCAAAAGGGGCGCAGACTACAGTTGCTTAGTACTGGTAGGAACCTCCTGGTTCCACCAGCCCACAGGGGATTATTGTGTCCGTCCGTCCGTCGTACATCCAAAAATGGGAGGGGTGGGGCTGGGTGGAAAGGGTGGGGAGGGGCTGGGTGGGGAGGGCTGGGGAGGGGTGGGGCTGGGTGGGGAGGGGCTGGTCACCCCGTGGTGCCCTTATAAAACTCAACGTTTAACCTACTCACGCCGGCTTGTGCCCGCCCTCGCAGTCGGCCATATTTGCGGAATACACCACGCCGCCGTTGACCCTGGCCATTGACCGAGCAACCCAACGTTCCTACCAGCTCCCTCCGCAGGAGGAACGTGTTTACTGTGTAGTGCCGTAGATGGGCCGCACTTACCTGCAATGGTGGACGGGGCCCATCAAGGGCGGTACCTCGTACCGCGAAAGGAGGGGCTACAGTGCCAGCCCAAGAGGGGAGGGGCTGCTGGGGGCTCAGGATCCCACACAGCTCAGCCCTTCGGCCCTCCCAACATGGACATGGGGCATAAAAGGGCACCCTCTCCCCAGCCGATCTGGGCAAGTCGCAGACAGAAGCCAGAAGCCCAACCAGCTTCGGACCCTGGACCCCCTCGCCCCGCTTGTCCTTGCAAGGGCCGGGTCGCTGTGCGGGCCAATGGTGAGACTCTCGGACTCCCGGCTCTACGCCCTTGTAAGGGCGAGGTCCGAGGAAGCCAGTGGTCTAAACCCGCACCTTGGCTGGGTCGGGTCAGATAGCCTCCCCTAGGGTAACCATAGCCGGAGGACCTGGGAACGGAGACGAGGCTAGGCACGCTACGTAGATAGGCAAAGCAGAAAGACCTCGGGGAGTAGGCTAGGGTAACTGTATAAGAAGTGTCAGGAAGCACGTGCTGTGTGGAAATAAAGACGTGCCCTCTACAAGTGTTTCTCGAACCCATTACAACTGCATGGTCCAGAGCGGGCATGCCACAACTGCATTGCGGCTTGCGCCTTGAACATCACATTCGTGGGGGCTGACAATCGTTCGAATCGTCTTAGAGGAATCACGTCAAAGTCAGGGTCTCGAACCACGTGCTCATTCACGGACTTTCACTTTTACGGACCTCTGGAACAAGCTGCAAAGATTTTGTACATTTTTTTTGTTCTTACAATCCAAATTGGGAGGTTACAGTGTAATTTGGAATGAAAGAAGAAACTTGTGCTCTGGGGGCAATCCCACAAGATCCTCCCACTTGGCAAAATCACCTCCGCTTTTGATGTCGACCATCAAATGATAATGTTCACGACTCCGAGATCCACATCACCATCGACACACAATAGCCCAACCTCCTCGCTGTCCACTTTCTTTCTGCCCTGATGCGGTATCATCTTGGATTGGATCTTATATTTGTGAGTTTTTTTTGGGATTAGATCGCGTAAATGTGTCGTTAAACCCGCCACATTTAACCAAAAAAACCCTCTATTATGGATATTGGTCGCGAAAGCCTACGATGTGTTGAACTGGGTCTTATAATATTATTTGGGTCTTTCGGTAAAGTCACGAAGGTAAGAACAATAAAATAATACAATGAAAATAAAGTGAATAAAAAATAAGAAAATATCACGTTTCGATCACATTATTGATTTATTTTATTGTTCTATCTACGTGACTTTACCGAAAGACCCAAAGAATATAAATAATATACATAGTTTTAGTTTTTATATATCGTCATTAATGCAAATCGCATCTCACAATTGCTGAGAATTCACAAGCTGGAAGACAGCCGAGCAGTGAGGCAGCGCCAACAATTGTCCGAGCTCTGCACTCCTCTATATATTAGGATGTTTTCTGCAAATTATTGCTTAAGTGGAAGCCAGAGCACCCAGAGAAAATCCACGCACACGAGCAACGCTATCCAATACAGAAGGTATGTACTGTATGTTGAACGTCTTTCGCATCATACGTAACCAACCGTGATAAGAATCGGGGATGCAGATAGTTAAGTCTTCATAATGAAGGTTTTTGGGTGAATCACGATTGCGTCGTAACCCTCCACCACCCGACACAGCCAGTATGGGTTGTCACGTTAACAACGCACCAAGTAGTTACTTCAGCCCACCGGTGTGTTGGAGAGTAATTCCACAACAGTCCAGGGGTCCATATTCTTTGGTTCTTTCGGTAAAGTCACGTAGATAGAAAAATAGTAAAAATGAAAGTGAATAAAAAAGTTTTAATGAAAAAACAAAAAAAACGAATGTACACTGTAGCCTGGTTCTTAATCGGAGTGAGTGTACTGCCAGTCTATAATGTAGAATGCAGCCTGGCTTTTAAGCTGGTGTGCGTATTTGCAGTCTATGATGTAGACTGTAGCAATGGTTATTAAACTGAGTGAGCGTACTGGCAGTCTATCATGCAGACTTATTCTCGACAAAATAATAACCACGTCGTCTCGTATTCACATTGCGGCTCTTCAAATTGAGGGTTTTTTTAAACAAAATTTGAAAAAAATGGCTCGTTATTTTGGTTGCCGACCACAGGTCTGAGCAGTACTTTGCTGTATTGTAGAGCCTTCTCCTGGCAAGCGAGGGTATGGCACCTCGACACCTCGGGGGAAGTTTCACAACTTTCGAACGATCCGCCAACCCTCGCCTCCATAGTGCTGGATAACAGGCGAGCGTCCTGTTACCAAAACAGAAGTACCCGTACTCCTCATTGGAAAGTCCATTCTCGGCAAACTCCGTGCACCTTCTAAACTGACATACTGACAGTGTGTGAAAGCTTGAAGTGTTATTGCTCCTCTCTTCACATTTCTCAATTCAACAGGTGCTCGTGCCTCCTTCTACACAACATCTCCCAACCCCAGCGGCCGGGACGTTCATCAATGTCTTCATTGCATCACTATTCAACAAACTGCAAAAGCTCTCCTCGACAGCACGATCCAAAATGCAACTTCTAGTCCATGCCTGTGCATTATACATCACCCGAATACAATACTCTGAACCCTCTCCTGGCCCCAAATCCAATTACGTACCATATTTAAGATAATCGATAGATTCACACCCTGCTCATCTCACTCGACTCCCCTCCACACTCGTCCCAATGAACGACGGTTGTAAATGGCTTCGCTCATTCTCCTCTGCTGCCCCCATTGTCTGAAAGGTCCCTTTCTCCGAGGCACCCGTGTTCTTGACTCTCCGTAACTGTTCATTTTCCCCTCTGCCGGTATAAAACAAACGTGCTGTATAGAAACACGCCCAGATTCTATACAGCGTTTTGATATTTGGTCGCGTTGACACGCTATATAATTCCAACTCTATTGAATTGTACCACTTCTTTGGAAGACATGTAACTTACAAAGTACTCAATGATAGTGAATGGTAATTGCCGCGAGAGTTCAATTAAAGTGAACAAAAATTTGTTAACTCCCAAAATTAGTGTTTGTCTTTCCAATGATGTCATGTGTTTGGTTGGTTGGTGCATCCCACAAACCAAAAAAAGGCACAACGAGCAATCGCATCCATCAAGAATTAAATCTTATTTCATAGTACAGCATAAATAAAAAAGTCATTTTTATTACAAAAACATGTCTTCTCATAAATACTGGTCTCAGTAAAAATGTGTACAAAACATGTTTGATCTGCCCAGAGAAGTGAACGGTCACAAGTAATGTTACAAACATATAGATTAACCCTCTGTAGAACTATAATGAGACGCTTCGCATATGAACAATTTAAAACACAGACACAACAAAAGGCCTCAAAAATGAAAGCTATCACCAGGCAGACCTGCTATGTACAAGCAGGCTCTAAGTCAACCTAGTTATGTACAGCATTGCCACAGGCTTGACAGTTCAGACGCAACGACACACACTTTTAGCTGATGGCTTAAAACACGCACGAAAAGCGCGCTTTTTTCTTTTTCTTTTCTATTTTTCTATTTTCCTGCCGCCCCTCGGACGTTCAACGGAAAATGGGCTCAGTAGCCAGCATTTTAAGAGAACGGTGAAACAAACATTTTTTTTAGTGTTTCGTAGCTACGACAATCAAGTACAATCTAACCGGAGAAAATAAAGAGTTTACACAGCGCTTGCCTGTACACGCTCGTCAAGTAGGCCAGAAAAACCGTACCGTCTCAATGAACCTACACCTCAACGCCTCAAGTCGCGTCACTTCCACGAGGTCATCCGCTGTCGTCGCTAACCATCACCATCATCATGGGTGCAAGATTTAGAACACAAGTACAGTTAATGTCACTCTTTAAGCCCACCATTGCTTGTTTGTTCATTTGTGTTTTCAGCAATGTTTCAGCTTACTCTTTCATGTTAATTTATCGATGACTGTGGTTGAGTGGTGGGATAAGCACTAGGCTCCTGTGAGAACGACTATACGTATAAATGATCTGTGAATTGAAGCAGGTGTAATGATGAGAACAGCTGATATTACTGCACATTAGTATCAAACTCTGGCAAATTAAATTAAGGTAACAAAAAAGCATTGCTAAAAAAACATCGGGTAAAACGAAACAAAAACATTCAAAGACAAAAAGATACAAATATGGCACAATTCAGCCAAAATAAAAGTGAATGCTCACAATGTGCATTGGGGGCCAGTTAAACCAGATTCATAAATGAAGCCATTCGGTGAGATTCTCCCGAGACAATAGTGAAGATGCCCAATAGACTGGAGTGATGGACACAACCATAGCCCCATAAAGTCGGCTCTATGTAGATTCCAAAGAATGCAGCACATTCTGGAAACTACAACCAAATGCACGGCTTCTCAGGACAATCCAATTAAGCAATTTTACGTAAAACAATTACAATGTTTGCAATCGATCAATGCTAATGATAGTTGACCACAACTTGAATCCTTAAACGTATTTGAATCTTGTTATTTCTTTAAAAATATATATATACACATCAGGACGTTAAATGTTATAATCCGATTTGGCATTCACTATGGCGGAATAACGGTTAGTGACTGAATTTTTTTTGCGAACCTAAGTTATTTTAAACAAGAGCAAAAGTGGTCACGCAAATATATTACCATATACATCTTTTTTGGGGGGCTAAAAATAACTAAATATGACTATGTCCCAACAGCCCCTTCCGTTCCCTTGAACATCCAGTTTTCATAATTCTATGACCAACAAAAATGGCTTTTCACGTTAATTTTATATCGACCATTTTTTTTTTTACGTGAGAATGAGTCTCCCACCATCACTTGTGCTTCTGCACTGAGGTTGTCTCGAAAAAGGAACTGGTTAAAACACCGATTGGTGGCGTAGGCAGTCTTAACTCTCGGATAAAGGTTATACATAACTGAGCTTTCAATATCATTGTCTGAAGGCCAGGCAGCCAAAACATTGAGATGTTTTTCCTCCCAGTTGCAAATGTTTTATTATTTTAACTAACCCGTTATTCATTGTACAAGTTCAATGAAGCCACTTGACAATATAAGCTTTAACTCTCGTGGAAACAGCAGCTACACAGACTAAAAGTGGATTATTTAATGTTACAGCAGCTGTAGTGACAAGCTAATCCTATTAATTTTTACAGGTGTAATGAGCACAATTCAACAGTGATGTGCAACCCCAATATTTCCGGGTTACAGTGGTGGCTTCTTGATTGAATCAACTGTTAACGTGCACAAGAAATAATGGAGTCTAGGTGAAAAATCAAACAATGAGACCTTAACTAGTCACACCTCGCCACAGCTACAATCATAGCGTTTCCTGTTCTGAGGCATGAAGTAGGATAATTTTGGTCACAATTCAATTCAACAATTTTGATAGGTAAAGTCCAAATGTTTACATTCATCCATTAAAGAATACATTTCTGTTCTTTGCTCCGAAGGGTAGGGATTAGAGATTGAAGAGTGACAAATAGATTTAAGATTAGGACTTGGGATTTGTGGTTTAGATTACATCAGATGCAGGCTTCTTCTAAAGGGACCAACATTATTACAATGCATGCCTATATTTCTGCAATTTGGAGGCGAGGATTGGTGGATCACGTATAATTGTAAGATTCTTAATCCTGCTGTGCTAAAAGGCCATAAGATGGCAGTTAAACTAGATTTTGTTAACCCATCTGTGCGATACTTTGCTTTCTCCTCGTATTTGATTAATTTCTCTGGGAACTCCAGTTTCCTTACACATTCAAAATACTAAAAAAATAGAACTGGCCAAATAGCCCAATGTAGAAACCTATTATGGGGGGGGGGACTAACTTATAATTGAGGAATTTCTTGAAATAATATTACTTAACATAGCTTCCAATTATCCAACCTCCCATTGTGGCAGCAAGACATAGATTTCCTATATATTCTGCATATACAGCGGATATAACTAAACAGGACAATTCAGGATGTCACAATAACAAAGGCCCAAATGTATGAATTTGCTACGGGGGAGAGGGGGGTAAGCAAGGCTGTGATGGGCATGCAGCACAGGATTAAACAAATGCTGGCTTTAGTTTGCAAGCCAAGTTTATGAACACGACTTCATGACCATCAATTTCCCATTTACAGAACATCTCGGCACTGGAGGACGCCACGTATTACAAATGTGGTTAAACAGAACATTGGTGAGTTGTCCTTTGACGTCTTTTTCACATTACACTTTTGCTTATTCAACGTCTCTTAATAAGCTTCTGTAAATATTGAGATTATTTAGCATTAAATTGATATATAAATTTGAACTGTAATCGTCAATTAACTTTTTCTGTGGCATCACCGCCGAGGTTTGCCAAAATCTGCCAAAATCCTTGCAAGTGTCAACAAATATTTTAACTTATGCATTTTTTAAAAGCAAGACACAGTTAATTGGCAAATATTAATCTGTCATACAATATAGTATATTTAATTGTTGCTTGTTTTATGCAGCTTCTAAAAAAGTGTTTATGTAAACTTTTCCACCAACACAAGACACTACCAGGTAAATATATTTTCAGCTGCAGATATTTCACTTCAGGAAAACCTTCAAGTTATTCTTCAACAGCCACTGACGTAGGCTTTCAAGCCCAAATTGTAAATGACGGAGACAAGAGGTGCCCAAACTTTTTGAGGATGACGATTGATAGGGGTAAGGACTTATATCGGTCATCTTCGAGTCACTCACTCGACAACCTACACCAAAGCATACACCGATCCGATACTGTCCATAAGTTACGCTAACAGCGACACTTTCGTTACACTCCACGCTCATTCACAATCAATGCTCTTGACAATACTTCATAGCTCCTACATTTCTAAGTTGCTTTAAAGAAGCACATTTGAGGGAGCTGATCATTTGAAACCATTTCACCAATATATTTCTCTGATGATGTGGAATCCCCGACAGTCCAAGAAAGTGAAGTACCCATGTGGAGCCGTGCAAAAACAACCACCAGAAACAGATACACATACACTCAGAGCACAGTGAAGAGATACCCAGTGGGGCAGGCGCATAACAAAATACAAACATTTTCTCGTAAATTTTGGCCAATACACATTGCTTCAGATCTGCTTCAACGAGAGAAGCACAGTAGCACGAGCAGATGTTGTATATGAGATATCATGGTCAATGCACTGGCAAATTTTCCGTTCAAAGCCAGTTCTCGTCTGGGAAGACGGTATTTTCTGCCCCGTGCTTTATTGTCCACAAGCATGCGAGGGCTACCACCCAAGATCGTCCAGCGCGTTCAGCAACGGTTGGAGCACATTGCAAATAAAACAAGATGCAGGCGGTACTGGACCCCCCCCCACTGGCGAGTGATGAACAAAAAACCCAACCCTACGTGGACGTCCATGAGGAAAGTGTTCGGCTCCACCACGCGGTCAGCAAACAGAAATGCAATTTCAAAACGAATGTCTAGCTTTTGGTATTATACCTGATTACTGCATTACATTGTAAGTAACAATGTAAGATTACACTGTATTTATACATTAATCTTATTCATAACCATTTTAGCCATATGTATACTCTGGTAGTGCCTCAACAACACTTAAATTGTAAGATACTATAAGTTAATTCGAAAGAAACAATTGAATTTGTACGTGTCATTGCTAAATGATACGTACAATTAACCAAAATAGAGCATCACCTAGTTGCTTGTGGTCGTAATAATCTCACACAGGTGCCATATAAAAGGCTTTTTGGGGGTTTGGAGTCAAAGCTACCACCTTAACATATCTGCACTAGGTCATTAATTTGCAAAAGATCTTTCGTCTGGTTTGCAATCTCATTAACCTCCGTCTTATCTGCACAATTGCACTTATAACAAGTGCATTTAATTTTCATGAATCGAAAAAATCCATGCTTACCAAGGTGAACATAAGCTATTTCCATAAATGCTTACATGCCCAGTCTGTCCCTTCAGCAGATGAAATTAGACCATACATGCTATCTGGTGCTCTTGAACAATTATGCCTGCTTAAATTAAAACCTCGAAATTTTTACAGTGACACATGTTTATACGAATCAACTGCACACTCCATGGCCTCCTCAACAAAATGCTGCAGGCATCTGAGAAACTACAGATCACATACTAAAGCTTCAAATCTAGAATTAGATCACATACTAGTGTTAGAATTACTTGATGCTCCTCAGATAAGTGCACAGGCACGCAAGAGTGTATCACACGTGAGAGTAAGCTGCAGAATTATTCACCTACTGGTATTGTAGCGAAACGATTACCATTTTAGCTACTAAAATTTGCCTTTTTCTATATTAATACGCATGTTTCTACATTTTAGTTTCTAAACTTGTTTGGTTTGTTGGTGGTAAATGGGAAACTTTTTAACCTGGGAGAGTGTATTAGTGAATTTAGGAATTGTAATGTCATGGTACTTTTACACACCATGTGGTTGGGAGAAAAAATCAGTACATTCTGAAGAGCCATATTATAGATTACGTTAGTTATCACATGGTACTCTTCGGTTCTTTCGGTAAATTCACGTAGAAAGAAAATAAATTAAATAGAATACGACGTTTCGATTGCAACACAAGCAGTCATCATCAGGTAGAACTAAATTTGAGAGAGACAAAACACAGACACGGAGACACACAAGCAAAGAGAGACAACACAGAGACTCTGAGAGACACATAACATAGACTGTCTGTGTGTCTTCGTGTCTGTGTTTTGTCTCTCTCTCAAATTTAGTTGTACCTGATGACGACTGCTTGTGTTGCAATCGAAACGTCGTATTCTATTATTTAATTTAGTTTCTTTCTACTTGACTTTACCTAAAGGACCAAAGAGTAATTCCTGCAGTCACAAAAGCTTCAAATAAAGTTTTTATCACATGGTACTTTTACAAACACCTTGTGGTTGGAAAAAAGTCAGTACATTCTGAAGAGCCATATTATAGATTACGTTAAATGTCATTTCTATTTCTGTAAAAGGAAACTTGTGCACACAATACTGTGTAAGGCACAAATGTGTGCACACACAGGAGTAAATGTTAATTTGCTTAAACCAAATGTCTTGCCAATGCGTTTAGTTTTGTGGTCAAGATGTGTAATGTTCCAGGAAGCCTAGAGATGGTATGCATCACATGGGCAAAAAATGTTAGCAGGCAAAAAAATCGCAACACAGAGGCAAATTCACAACCTTCTCGTAATCTCTCATCAAATGGGATGTTTACATTGTTTCATAACCGGACCTGCTTTTGTTACATAAATATTTTTGCATGATGTTTTAAACATGGGAATTTGGAATGTGCAATGAGAAATAAGAACATTGAAAACACGCAAAAAACAGACAATTCCTAATTATATTGGCATCATGGAAATGTACTACGTGCCAACCCTGTGCCGCCACCTTGGCATGATTTGCTGTGAATAAAACTGAAAAATAAATGCAACTTTATTAAGAAATAAAACTTACAGCTTTTATGATACTTGACATTCATAAGAAAATGTATGGATAAGCTGACTTAAGGTCAGATCTGTTTTCTTAAAAGACACTTTCCTATTGCCTAGACTCCCATAGTTTATAAACATCCAAATGAGCACTCATGCACACTCACGCACCATTGCGCACACAAAAGAAGTAGAGTAAAAGTGGCTCATGGCAAATCGTCTGCTCAAGTTCTACTCTATTTATCTTGCAACCGCATTACACGTTACAACAAATCATCATTGGGCACCACGACAAGTAACTCAACGACCTCGCGACGCTGCTGCACCTCCCGCCTTCCCATCTCTCGGTTGACCATTGCAAGGGCCCAGCCCCTCACCACCACCACCTCCCGAAGAAAAACTCGCAGGCTGGTTTTTACGTGATTGCGAAGAGAGAACGAGACCGACGGACACGAGTGTTGAAATTTGACCACGTGTGCCACCCCCTACTGCCTGTATGCCGCGCATTCCGCCCCATTTCTCGACGGGCTCTGCGGCACCGGGCGGACGGCGGTGGCTGCACAAAACATTTCTCACCAACCTCGGTTGGTGGGATTCGTCAGCTGTCCAGAATGCTGTTAACAGCCTCTTCCAGTGCCGAGTCCAAGGGTCCACCGGGTGCGGGGCCTGGCGAAAATTGTGGGAAGTCCACGGGGAAGGGTTTGTGGGGCAGCCCGTGCGGCGGTTTGGGCACGATGGCTGGCAGTGGCCGTAAGTGCGGGGGCGGCCTGGGCACACCACCCCCGCCGCTTACGCCACCACCAACACCGGTGGGCCCACCTCCGCCTCGGTCCTGTGGCCTCTGCAGGTCGAGGATGCTGTTGATTGCACTCTGCAGGTGCTCTGTCAGTCCATCGTCCTGCGAGCTGTCGCTCGAAAAGCTGGCGTCACCATCGTCCTCGTCGCCCAGGCTCGGTGCAACGGCCGCCACGGCCGCCATCTTCACGGCCTCGTCCGCCACTTTAAGGCGGAGGCGTGCTGGCAACTCCCATGGGAGCTGCAGCACTGTGCGCTCCAAAGAGCGTTCAGGTACCGTGTCCGGCTTGGGCTTGGCCACCGCGGGTGGTGTGTGGTCAGTGTTCATGCCATTGCCGGGCTTGAATGTCAGCATACTGCTTGCACTGCTGCCACTTCCGAGGGTTGGTTTGGAGGAGTCGACGGTCGCTGGCAAAGCGTGAAACACTCCGACGGGTTTGACGACGGCCAGGCCGTCCTTGGCGCCGCCCATAGCAGAGTTGAAGGCGCCAGCAGGCAGACTGGCAATGCTACCCTTGGCCGTCTCGGAGGAGGAAGTGAACGTTGAGTTAATGACGCCTCCCCTCTGCCCGCTCGCCACCTTCAGCAGCGTGTCGGTCTGGCCAAGGCGGCCGCGCCCCTCCTCGGACGGCAAGGACAGGCGAGCCAGCTTATGCCCGCTTGCGCCCCTCGCCCCTAGCCGTACCTCAGGCAACAACAGTGGGGAGAGGTCTGCCGAGCCGTTCACCTGCCCACTACTTGCTATGGGCAGAATCGGTTCGGACGGCCTCTTTGCGGGTGGTGTTGGTTGAAGAGAGGGCAGGGCTGGGGCTGCCATCGACTGCTGTTGTTGTGGCGGCGGCGGAGGCAGTGGTGGTTGTGCCGTGGCTGTTGTCTCTGCTTTTATTGCGGTGTTTTTGATCACCACCCCATATCCGTCGCCTTGTTTTATCTTCAGCTTGAGGCCGCCGCTACTGCTGGCTACGTACGTCCGGTTGGATGCTGGCACGGATGTGGAGGCTCGATCGGCTGCACTGGCGACAGCCCGATCAGGCGAGCCCACCATGCGCTCTTGCTTGATGACAATGCGAATGGGTGTCACTTGAGTGGAGCTTCGCTCCGTAACAGTACTCGCTGAGGTGACGGCGCTGGCCACGCTGGGGACCTGCGACGTGGCCTGCGCCGGGGCCTGCGCCGGGGCCTGCGACGGGGCTTGCGACGGGGCTTGCGACGGGGCTTGCGACGGGGTTGATGGGGTTGATGGGGTTGTCGTCGTCGTCGTCGTGGTCGAACTCGTAGTGCGTGAGAGAGAGGCCAGGTATGCAGCTGTGGAGACAACAGTTCAACGTGTCCAAATAATCAGCGAGGCGTCTTGTACAGACTTACATGGAGGATTTGAACAAGCATACATACAACTAACATTCAAAATATACACACCAATATATACATAACTTACCCATATACATTCAAACCACCATACTAAACACACACCACACAAAATTGACAATACATGTAGAGACTAAAAAAACCTCTGTTCCCAACATGAAAATCTTACCCAAAACTTTCCAAATCCCGTTTGGCTACCATGATGCAAACACGATCTGGGCTATATGTACGTATGTTGAACTTCTTTCGCACCGTACATAGACAACCACGCTAATCGGAGGTGCGGGAAGCAATCCCTCCTCTCCTCTACTACCGTACATACCAGGGTTATCCAGGGCCAGCCGCTTGTCGCTCATGAGCTCGGCCTTCTCCTCCTGGATGAACATTCGGTCCATCATGACCATCTCTGCAGACGGGCTCTCTCTCTGTCAGGGCAACACAAGAACTCGATGAGACGCGATGCATTCTATAACATGCTAGAATGTGAACAACCATTGTACTGAGGAGCAGCTTCCTCAGTGTATTCTACTCTACTAGTGAGGAAAACACAGAGAGGCAAAGTTACTTCAAAATATTCTTTTTTCACGCACGCATTCTTTTGCAAGGAAATCGGTGGCAACTGTCGACAAGCCAAGATTACAAAGCGAGTATTACGTTTGTAAAATAATAATTTGCTTGCAGTTCTTTTTTTTCCGAATTGGGATGTAGGCCATGGCACCAGCATGCAATTCATTATTAATTCATAAATGACGTAAAAAAATATATTGGCAAAGCATTAAAGCATTCTAAACCATGGATGTAGTGCAGAAGCTCAAAGGAAAGTAAAACAAACAGGATGATAACCAACCACCAACCTAGCCGACACCAAATACGATTGTGCGAGACAGGATTTTCAATATTTTTGCTATCTGCAGCATGCTTTAATATAGGTTTTGTGTGTAGACACTTCCAGCGATGTACTGCAATGTGATGACTAACACATTCCTGCGGAGGGAGCTGGTAGGAACGTTGGGTTGCTCGGTCAATGGTCAGGGTCACCGGCGGCGTGGTGTATTCCGCAAATATGCCCGACTGTGAGGGCGGGCACAAGCCGGCGTGAGTAGGTTAAACGTTGAGTTTTATAAGGGCACCACGGGGTGACCAGCCCCTCCCCACCCAGCCCCACCCCTCCCACCCAACCCCTCCCCACTCTCCCCTCCCCACCCAGCCCCACCATCCCACCCAGCCCCTCCCCACCCTCCCCTCCCCACCCAGCCCCTCCCTGCACGACGGACACAATAATCTCCTGTGGGTTGGTGTAACCAGGAGGTTCCTACCAGTATTATCATTAATGCAAGACTAGTGGACAACTAGAGTGGTGCCATCATGCCAATAAGTCATGCACAAATGCAGGATTTTTCCACCGAAACTCTTCTGTGTAAATTTCACAACCATTCACCGAAGAGCCTGCAAACCCCTAATTAAGAAGTCCTCATTTGAGAAACAGATCCTAGCTACACACTGGGTCCTTGTTAATCCTGAAGCTCTTACCCGTGCTTCCTCGAACAGCAGCAGCCGGTACTTGTTGAGCATGGTCTGTGTACGATGCAGCAGTTCAGTGGAGACCGTCTCAAATTCCTCGTCCACTGCGGTTCGAACATTGACAGTCAATAATTACAAAGCAAAATTAAATGTACAAATATGAACACAAATATTCCCGTTGTCAGCTTGATGGACTACTGAAGGCGGTGAGCAATTATTTAGGTTAACAAGGCACAAGAGGGGATTCCAAATATTAAATATTCTTGGCAATCTGTCTCCCCAATACTTATGTTGATCATATCCTTTAAGGCCAAATAAACCGAAGGCAAGAACAGACGAGGTTCTGATACCACTTACCACCCAATATTATGTGACCGAGAGATGAATTAAGATTCAAAGTACAATGCGTGAACCACAGCAAGACCAAGTCCCCACTACCCTTCAGCTGTGTGTGTGTTAGTATAACCTACCCATAAAGACAAAGACCACGCCCGTGCACAGCCTATACAGACTATTTAGGAAGGTGCTGTACGTGAAGACAGCACACAAGGGTATCGTGTAACCAGCACCATATCTAGCCGCCTTTGTCTCGCCAGTGCCAATGCAATAGACAAATATCTCCCGTACAGGCATAACAGACAGTTAGGGCAAGTGCTGTTTGCGACATGGTACACCAGGGGTGGGTGGCCAGCACCATGGCCTCAAAGGTATTCCTTTGAGGCCGATTCGACCTAGGAGAGGCCCAGGACCGGTTCAGATAATCCTCACTGGTGTTGGCCTTGAATGGGAATCGAACTCGGGTCGCCAGGTTTATAGCGCAGCGCGCTAACCGCTACACTACCGCTCCCCAGTGCCAATGCACACACACACACTAAACTCGTGCCTCACCTTTGCTGAACTCATGCATGGAGGGCATGGTGCCACGGTACAGGTGGTAGGGCAGCAGGCGGCGCACGGCGTCGTGGTACGAGCCGAATGGCCGCCGGTACTCGGGTTGCAGCACAGCCTCCTGGTCTTTACGCAGCTGCTCCAGGAAGCTGTGGGAAAGTGTGCCCAGCAATGTCAGTCAACGAGCCGTGAAGAGACAGAGGGCCAGGAAAACGTTACAACGTTGTGCCACCTGCTTTCCTATCTCTTCTTGATTTACTCTCCTTCCTGTGCCCTCTGCTCCGGCAATATTTTTTTGTTATAGTGGGGCCAGACCAGATATATCACTTGTCGTTACCACCTGAGGTAGTAACATTTTATTCGGTACTAAACTCTCTTTATACGGCCAATAAAAGTAGTTAGAAGATAACCTTTTCAAAATAGTGGGTTATATAAAGCACATTTATGGATCACAAAAAAATTGTCCAGCAATAATCAATTTCTGTTGCGACATCAAATAAAATTATCCATACACTGTTAAACGTTGGAACTGTCGACTCCCTTAAGTTCAAATCCAAAATGTAGTCTTTATTTTCGTCTACAATTATGACTTTGTGTCTCTGTGGTACATTTCGCTATTTAGTTTCATACTTTTTTTGTTCTCCCCAAAATCAAAGAAAAAAAACCACTCCTCTTTCTTTGTCACTCCCTCCCTCGTAATTAAGTCGTTCCCCCAAGTATTGTTACCCCAAAATATTTAGATGCTTCAACAAGCAAAATTGTATAATATTCTAGATTTGAAGTTTTCGTGCCTGCAAGGATTCACTGTTTTTTTCGGTAAAGTCACGTAGGTAAAAAATTAAAATTAATTAAATTAAATCACGACGTTTCGGAAGCAACACAAGCAACCGTCATCAGATGTTGACTGCTCCAGCAAAATTACTGAGGCGTCTGAAGAGAGTTATTACGAGACAACGTGTTTATATAGGGTGTTAGGGGGGCCTGTGGCAAGCACCAAAGCAGTGTGGACGTGCACGGGATTAGTATGAGTTAAGCCGACAGATAACCATCTGTATTCTCTTTGTGATGTATAACATTCTGCTGTATAAGTGCAAGACGTGTATATTGACGTGAAGTATATTGAGCCTGAAAGTGAATACGTACAGGCTCTCTTTGGTGAGCTGTACAGGGGCTGTCCGCTTCACTCCTCCCATGTGAACCTCCTGCCGCAGACAGACACGATTCAGTACATGACGATGACAACCAACAAGTGGGTCTCAACCGATCGAGCTACAAACGACCTTCTTATTTACAACTAACAGATCTTTCCGAGGTGGAGGGAAATGGAGCACAATGCGCAAGTCCACTGACTGCTTTAAAGGTGTTCCAGGATTCATGGGCTGTGCAAAGGGTGGCAGAAGCACTGAACTGAGCCACACCCTTGCTCAACATGTGGATCTGTATGGGTCCCTTCCTCAGCCCTGGGGGCAGCCGGGCAATAGTGCCAGATTTCACCTGTCCATCGTGTCAACACCAGAGTCAGCTTTCACAAGTGGCCTGGCCAGTTCTCACACCCAAGTTGAAATGCTCAGCTGGGAATATGCCCAACAAACGTGAGCAGTTTGTAGTTTATTGGAAGGATACTACTTCTTGAGTAACAGAATAATGCAACATAGCATATTGCATAATCATAAGTGTAGCAGTAAAATCGAGAGGAAACTGTAATTCAAGGTGTTTAATGTAATTCAGGTGTTGATTTTTAGTGCAATACGTATTGCAATGCAAATTGTAATAAATTACAACAAAGCACTTAAACCATGCACTCTAATAGTGAAGTGCACCACATTAGATCGCAATAACAACATTTTGCTTTTGGCGTTTAGTTTGCCGTCCTTCACCCGCACCGCCGATTAGCACAGTTGGCTACTTGCGGTGCGAAAGAAATACAACGTACATACATACATTTTATTCTGGATACTGAATTTCACAAAGCATGGTGCCATGTTGGCCCATTCTGGCAAATCAAATATACACTCAAGTTAGGAAGCCACTGGAGCGATGCACTTTTAAATCTAAATTGAAAACGAATTTCTTTACAACTATTTGTTGTGTTTAGTTTGTCGTTCTTCCCCCGCACCTCCGATTATCACGTTTGGCTACATACAGTGCGAAAGGACATTTATATATAACAAATACACTTTTAAGTCAAAAACAAGGGTCCTAATTAATTGTATCGGCAAAAAACAGTTTCTACTAATAATGGCAAAATGCTAAACTATGCTGCTCTTTAACACAATGGCAGTACATAAAATAAAGTGATCTAAAATCATGGGTGGATAGAACACGTGCATTTTTTTAAACTCTCAAACATACGGGGCCAAAAAGTAGGGCAGCTGAGAGCAATAAAGTCAGTTACTCTCTATATGCATGGATTTTCTCTGGGTACCTTAGCTCTCCCACAAGCAAAATACTTTTTGAAAGAAAATTACAAGATCTTAAAATATAAATCTCAAATAAATGAATGACATTACATCAACGAGTAATTATTGTGCAAATTTTTTTCAGAAAAGTTAAATCCCTTATACAAATACGCTACTTTACCATTAAGTACTGATCACAGGTGCTTTGTCTGAGCGCAAGTTGAATGCAGCTAAGTATGGCTCACATCCTGAGATGTCTGCTGTGGAGCCAGAGGCTTGAGCAGCATGGGCTGGCCCTTTCCCGACTGGCTCGTCCCCAAAGTCCCCAGCAGCATCGTTTTGCCATCCATGGACATCTGGCCAGGCTGGGTTGCTGTACACAAGGCAACGCACAGCACCATCACGCTGCTGTATCACATCCAATGACTGAAACATCATGTTTAAAACATGCAAGTACACATTCTGAAGCAGTGGTTCTTTCAGCACTTGGGTTACATTAGGAAAAAAAGTATTCATATTGTTTGAAGGCACACAGCTGAAGCGGTAGGGTATTTTCCAATGTGCCAGAGTATGCAAGACAAATTGTTTGTTTGCTTAGTAGAGCACTCTTTCGTCTAATATGGTCAGACTGTTTTTCTTATCCAATACCATTCTCTCACACTGGATGATTCACTGCTCAATTAACACTGCTCAATGAGCTGTGAATTTAAGTGTATTTGTCGGATTAAATTATACCAGTAACGCACATGGAATACATTTTCAGGTAAAAAAACACGTAAAAAATAAAATTCCTTCCCCCCTCCACCACATGAGTATCTTACCCATGATAACAGTTTTGCCGATTTGTGTTCCCTGCTGCATCTCTGGCCTGACAGCCAGCCCAGGCGCAGTGGGGGCCTGTGCGATCGCCTGCATCTGACCACCCGACATGATGGTAGGTGCCTGCTGATGCTGATGTGCCATTGGGCTGCTGAGGATGATAGTCTGTTGGTGGGGCTGTGCGTTGGTCTGGGCAGCCATGCCTGGGTTCATCATCCCCGGCGTAGGCTGCAGCAGGGCCTGTTGCCGCCCCTGAAGAATTATCTTTTGTTGTTCCTGGAGTATCAGAGGGGAGGGGAGGATTAGGTGGAGAGATGTCTCATTATGCTGCTGCAGGAGGGGTGACATGAAAGTGGATTTGTGAAATATCCAAGGGATTCACAAACATACTTGGGCAAAACTGCATAAATAACAAATTTTGTTTTTCTTAAACCTGGTTTGTGTAGGTGCCCAATAGCAGTTCCTCAAAGTCTTGAACACCATCCCATAACCAGCACGCCATAGTAACCAAATAAAATGTTCTCATCGTTCAGAAGATGGCCCTTTCTGGGCCCTGTGCTCTACTATAATGGGGTCGCCCCAGCATCACATCCATTCATGTGATCCACTAGTCAAGAGCACCTCAGTATTTTATGTACTCGAGATTTTTTGTGACAGAACAACTGCTGCCTCAGAGGTTGTCACGTAAAATAACCCAATCGGGAAAGGTAGTTCCCCCCAAGAGCACCACCACAGCTCCCTTGAAGTAACTACATTCCATGGGCCCAGGACACAAGCAGCGTGAAAAAACCACCACCATGCCCTAGTATGATAAAGTACCGAGAAACTCAGGGCTGCGGGTGACGTGCATAGACATGATGCCAGGGCCCCAGTGTGGTAGAGTAAAGGGCCTCGAAGTAAATTTCTTGGTGCTCTCGTTTTAATTCGAATGCTCTATGGTGTGCTGGTTACGGCATGGTATTCAAGACTGTGAGAAACATGCCGACAGCCATCGTAAGAAAAGCAATGGTTGCGCCACAACCTTGTGAAAAGCATTGCAAACATAACTTTTAACTACATAGCTTAAATAAAAAAATACTTTTAATGCCGACATAAATATATATATAAACCACAAGGCCACATAACACAAAAGCATGACCCCATAAGTGGACAGTGTGAATCAATGGCAAGAGCCAGGATTTTCAGGTAGGGGGAGTAACCCCTCCAGCAATTAAAAATGATAGTTGTTAGTAAGGACTTGTCCCTTGCTTTTTATTCGACGCGTGTGCGGCGATGGCGCAGCCATCGATCGAGGGTCGAATTCGAACCACGTTGTGCGATCAGCATCGTGCTCGCTGAAGGTGAATACCTTCAGGGAAGTCGTTTACTATATACGCAACTGCGCACAATTTTGTGAGTCACTTATAACTGCTCTGCCATTACTTACTGCCATTTATGGACTCAGACTATTGTCCTATCATCTCATAGAGTCCCTGGCACATGATAATATGCTACACAGTGGCAGTGGGGGTCGCAAAATGCGGATTAATTACTAATAAACCCCAATGATCATTGGGGGGTCACGTGCCACCCCCCCCCCATTGGCTCCGCCAGTGGTGTGAATGCAGTCCTACTAAGGTTAGGCACACTAGACCAAATCAATGCAGTCGGCAAAATTCCCAAATTTTCAAGCTTTATATAATTTTTCCACATTTAATTCCTTGATACATTCACTTGTCACACAATCACATAATGGATACTAATCAAGAGAGCAACATTCGGGAATACAAAGTAGTATATTTTTAACTGGAAGCAGCTTTATGTAATTTTAAGGCCACCTTCCAGCTTTAAAGCCACATTTTTTTATATTCCCGAAATGATATTATTTTCCAAGACAAGTATTGTTCAACATCTATGCTTCAGTTGCAGGCAGGAAGTAGCCCCAATCCCAATCAGCCCAATACTATATAGACGATCTACTATTAGCCAATGGGTTGCTTCCTGCAAGCTCTCGTCTCATTACTGTGCATAACCAGAAAAAAAACCCTGCTACAAGCCACTTAAATGTGGACCTCGTGCCTCCAAGTGACGCCACATACTGACCTGCTGAATGTGCTGCATGAGCATCTTCTGCTGTTGGTTCGGGTTGGGCACGCCACTCAGATTCTTCAGCTGCAGTATCAAGTTTTGCAGTCTCTGCTGCTGCTCTGGCGTCAACCTTAGCTGCAGCGTGGCTTGCGCCTGCGGCGGATGACTTATCACCTGCTGCTGTGCTATTACGTGCTGCTGGCCCATCACATGCGATTGTCCCAAGATTTGTTGCTGCTGCTGCTGCACCTGTTGTTGCTGTCCCAACACTTGAGATTGACTCAGAACCTGCTGCTGTTGGGCCATCACCTGAGATTGCTGTCCCATCACTTGCTGCTGCTGCTGTTGTTGTTGCACCATCAACTGAGGCTGCCCACCAGCCACTTGTGCCACCATCGTGTGTGATTGTACCATCATGTGCTGCTGCTGTTGCTGCTGCTGTTGCAACTGCAGCTGCTGAGCAATGGCAGCTTGAGCGTGCAGGCTCTGCTCGGTGGCCGACTGGAGGCCTGGCTGACACAACACTCCCTGCGACGGAGGCTGGCCTCCCATCATTGGGGCGGCAGAAGCTGGGCCCATCATGGCCTGCGTCACCACGGCCTGGGGCTGGCAGAGTGTCTGGCCGGAGACCGGTTGCGGTGGTGCCAGAGGTTGCCCCCCCTGTTGAGGTAGAGATGAACCCTGCGATGTCACAATCACCGGCTTCTGCTGGCTGGTCACAGTCTGTGGAAACGCATCGAAATGAAAACGCAATGTGACCACCTCGTTATGTATGCACGAGCGAGTAAATTGTTCTAACTAATATAAGCGTATTATATGATCGCTTTTCTCCAGTTGCAGATAAAATGGAGGAAGGGAAGGGAGGGTGAGCCCACATATCGGCTCATCCCCCTTCGCAAACCATGTTAGGCCAATCCAGGCAAGTGAAAATAGTTTTTCTAATGTGAGGCAGCCGTCCGCATGTTCTGTACATCATGATGCTGTCCCTCCCCCTCCAGTTGCTCCTGTACCTGTCTGTGTCTCGAAAACCTCCTGCACCCACTTCCAGGTATAGAACCCTTTGCAATTCCATTAGTGAATGTGGTATAAGAGACATAACTCATCCAAGACTACAGCAAGGGCCTCTCAAACAAGAGGACCTGTGCCCAGCTTCTCTCGAGTATGCTGGTCACCCTTCAGGCAGTCTCAAAATAACATTATGCGCCCCCTCCTACCTTTATTTCAGCCCTGCACAGTGGAAAGGACGTGGAGGGAGCAGGTCACACCTATATTCAGTCTGTGAAGCGGGAATCACTCTTGGAAGGACACTCTCGTCTCATGAATTGAGGTTATTTTATTTTATTGTGCTTCTATAAATTTCCACAAGGCACTTTATTGAGCTATCATTTGCGGCCAGATCACTTCTGAAAAATAAGTTAATACCTCAGCAGGCTTTGCCTGGTCGAATGGGGATGGTTTAGTTTCATTTGAATGTTTTTGGGTGATTTGTTTACCTTACTTGTACTTTGTACAACTATCGTGTTATTGTATTGTGTTGTTTTAACGCTCTTATCAGCCACCACCGGACATCTGCGCAAAAAAGCGTTATAGCTCATCGGATTCCTCCAGTTTAAATTAATATTTTTGATTCTGTCCCTACCCGCCAGGTCAGTCCCAGAAAGGTTTGCTCCTCACGACAGCATTGCCTGCTCAAGAAAAAGAAAGGCTGTTCGATGCTCGTGGAGCCTTTCCCTCTAAAGCAGCGGTCCCCAACCTTTTTGGCACAAGGGACCGTTTTCGTGGAAGACAATTTATTCATAGACCGGGGGGGGGGGGGGGGGGGTTCATCATTGGGTCGTTCCCCCTTTTCAAAGAAGCTCTCCAGCAACGTTTGTTTTTTACTCATCTTGGCTTGGGGTTAGCTTGCGGGCTTACCAAAACTGTGACAAGTGCGGAAGTGTGGGAAAGAGGCGCGAACGGAAGTGGTAAATAAAACAATGGGGGCGGGCCACGTGCAGACTCACCGCTCACCTCCTGCTGTGCGGCTCGATTCCTAACAGGCCGGTAGCGGTCCGCGGCCCGGGGGTTGGTGACCCCTGCTCTAAAGGGCCAACATGGGGCTACCAAGAGGTGCCTGCCAGTTCACACCAATCCTTGGCTTCTTTTGGAGTAATCACCTGACACTTTATAGTCTCCTAAGGCTCCATATTTTAATTAAATATTCAAAACGTAACAGAATAACCTCATGAGCTGTACTCTCTTGAAACAAACATGAAAGGGCTTCAAAGCCTGTGTAAATGCTAAGACAGGCTACTATACCAAATTCAGACTCATTCATGCACAGGTCGGGCTAAAAATAAGCGCGGTTTTGAGTTCAGGTGCCACTGCTGTCATGTACACGACACAGAACTCATTCATAACGACAATTCCCACAAGTATTTAGCAACACCTTACTCATATTTAATTAAATATAACATACATTTTCCACATTACAAATGGTAACCACATTAAAACCACACAAGCCTCTGAAAAAAGGGGACCCTAAAGTGTATCACCTTCAGACAAAAATTCATGATGTCAACACCCGCCAAGATTTGAGTTTGCAAGAATGCTTTCCTGCATACATGTAAGATTATCCCTTACCTGTTCGTATCGATGCTGGACAGAGTCTGGGCTTGGAGCCGGGGGAACGGACCCAGCTAAGGAGCCGCCCTGAGGGGTCATCCTCTCCTGCGCTGGAGTCATTCGATCCGACACAGGAGTAATCCGGCCCGAGCTCTGGGACATCCCCACCGGGGACATGGAGACTTGCCTCAAGCCCACCGATGCCACCGGTGTTAGTCCTGGATGCTGTTGCTGAGATAACGATGCAGGCGATCCCAACATCCCGTCACTGCCAACAGGTCCAGTTGTAGCCATAGAAACAGGAGCCTGATTAGCTATGGGCACTGACAGTTGCTGCTGCTGTGGCGAAACCAATGCTTGCGCTTGTGACGACGCTACAGTGGGCACGGTTATTTGGGGGCCTCCAGTGGCAAGGTTGCCACCGCCCAGCAAAGTCAGCTGCCCAGGCACGCTCGTACACCCACCACCGATGCCTGAAACCACCGTTTGCTGCGCTGAAAACGTAGGCAGTGTGGTGAACTGGGACACAGCACCCACCATGCCAGGCTGATGAGCAGGGATCTGGAAGGCCACCTGGCCATGCTGCAGCTGTATCGAGCTGGTAGCCAGCAACTGCGCCGCCCCCTGCTGCGTCAAGATGTGCCCACCAAGCACCTGGCCAAGACCGCCGTGCGCCGAGATGAGTTGCCCGGCCGCCATCGGTGCCCCCGACAGCGCTGCTGGGTTGGAGAGTAACTGCGAAACGGTGGGGTTGCCGAGTAGCTGGCTCACAGTGGTCTGGCTGAGCAGCTGGTTCATGGCTTGCGTGTTGAACAGCTGCCCGTTAACACCAAGTGTCTGCCCCGCAGCTGACACGGGCATGAGGAATTGGCCCTGGGTACCACCAGGCTGCTGGATGACAAAACTGCCTGCCTGGTTCACAATCTGAAGACTAATGGGGGGACGGATGGCTGATGCTTGCTGCTGCTGCTGTTGCTGCTGCTGTTGTTGCTGTTGAGTGGTACTCTGGTGATTTTGCAGCACAGTACTCTGCCCGGCCTTTGTTTGCAAGAACTGCTGCTGCTGCTGCTGTTGTTGTTGCTGTTGATGCTGCTGTTGTTGCTGCTGCTGAACAGTCACATCCTTCTGACCCTTGCCGGGCATCTGTAGCGCAGGGCTGCCTGGCACCGGTGGTCTCTTGGGACTGATCTGCACCAGCTTTGGTTGGATGGTGACGGGTCCCGGCTTGGGCTGGATGGGCGTCTGCGGCCTTTGCAAAACCACAGCCTGGGGTGCCGCAGAAGTGGGCACGACCGCGACGTGCCCGCCGAATGCTGGGCGCACAGCCCCTGCAGTCGCCGCCGTGGCAGCAGCCTGGTGGCCACCGGGGGCGCCCACCGGGCCAAGGGCTGGTTCCAAACAACGCTGGGCTGCCATTCACGGTGGGGATCTGCACCGACAGGCCCTTCTGAATCACCAGGCCCCCCTGCACACAGGACACACGGAGACAAAGGTCCCTCATTTGGTATGCAGAGAAACAATAAGGGTGAGCGCATAATCACCTCTTGAAACCAACATGGTAAATGAGGTGGTTGAACCTGGAATGCCACTTGGCTGCCTTCAACCAGTACGTTTGAGGCAAGGGTCAGTGGCTCAACATTGAGTGATGCTCCCAGACCTGATGACCTGCGACATAGCCAAACTGCAATTCAGAAGCCAGGTTCAAGAACCTGTCTGTGTTTGGACTATTAGAGTGTTATCCCATACTTAGGTTTTTTTTCCGCTGAACACTATTTTTCTCCAACATTCAAATACTGCTTAACAGGAATTCGCCAAACATTCAAATATAGAAAGATTAGTCTTGAGACTAAGGCTTTCCTGAATTTAAATATAGTTGCATATGTAATCAGTATTATTCGGCCTCTGAAGCAGAGATGGATTATAAGATGAGTCACCTATGGGAGGCCCAAGCTAAGTCATGAGGTCACACAGAAATTATATATTTTCATTTGCTTCATCGCATAAGGGGTATTTCTCTCATATGCCCGGTTATCAAGGTGTTAATCATTAATCACATAGCAATAAAACAAAAAATGTGAAATGCTCATGCCAAAATTTAGTAGAAACATCATTTAACATTAGGCAAGTCCACATCATTAGCAAACCCCCACCCCCCCATGTAAAAAACACAGGAAATATCATGGGCATAAGAGTATAGTATTGTCTTGAGTGGTGCATTATTTTATAATTGACAAAAACCAGGACTATTCATGTCTAGGGAAGACTTAAAGATGTCCCAGGACAAAAACCCCTAAATTATGAAAATCCTGTGAAAACCAGGACAGGTGGAAACCGTAAGCACTGGCGAGTTTGTGTCTGTGACGGAAGAGCAAAGCTCCGCCTGACAAGCCGATGACAATGCAGTAACACAGCAAGAAGGGCAGGTTTGCAAACTAATTTTATGAACCAATATTGTCCAGCCAGCTCACAGCCAAACGAGTTCATGAGTTTCCCAAATCGACACGATTCATGAACCAGTGACTCCAAATCGCGAATCCGATTAACACGTACGGCGCGAAAGTTCAACATACATACATACAGGCGTGTGCTACGACGAACAGATTCTAGTGGGAAATTCCTACCTACCCCCCTCCAAATTCTTTGACAGGGAGACCCACCTGTTGCTGTGCTTGCTGGGGGCTGGCACAGGGTGGCGGTACAGGTGGGACAGCCGGTTGGCCCAGCGCCACCACAGAGGGACCCAGCACCTGGATGGGCGCAGCGGGCGAAGCACCAGCCTGCAGGGCCACGTTGCCTATGCCCAGCTGATGGATGAACTGAGGTACACCACCTGGAAAAGGCAGGGTCAGACAAGGCAATGTACAGGTGAAGCACAGGCAGACAAGATGCAGAAATACGCAGAAACAAGTGAACAGGTGAAAGCTGTGACGATTTATAGATTAATGCACAGGAGACTCTAAATGAGTCATCACATTGTCCACGATTCATCACATTGTCAATGTTCCATGAACATCACTGTATGTATGAATTATATTAGAAGCGTTTTCTTTGAACATTCATTAATAATATTTAGTCTCAATTAATTAAGTGTTCTTGCTTGAGGTTCATTATTGACAGATGTAAGGTAACCCCACAGGACGAAGAAAAATAGATATTAATAATAGATAAACTATTCACTTAAACAACAAATAATTCAATTATGTAATGCCAGTGTTAAAATAATGAAATAACCCTGAACACTGACTGTTGGGACACCTTGTATCTTGGGTCCTTGAAATGTGGGCAAATATCATGGGGTGGGGGGGATGCTTTTGGCTGGGACAACTAAAAATGTCAGAAGAAATTCAAGAATTTTGAAAACTGCACTCGCAAAGCTCAACAGTGGAAAGGGCGGCTGCTTGCGTTGTGGCCGAAACGTCGTGAGAATTATTTTATTATGCAATATTTTTATTATTTTATTATTTCCCTTCTACGTGACTTTACCGAAAGAACCAAGATGAGTGGAAAGCAATGTCGACTTGTTATTTGCATCTCCACGCTGCGCAACAATGTTACTTGTAAGCCAGTCCCAGTTTAGTAGCGTACTACATATCAACTACTGTTGATCAGCTATCGATTGCACCTTCGAGAATTGGATTATGATTTTTGGCAGTTGATGTTTTTTTTACCCTTATCGCATTTTTATATTTCTGTTGTATAAAAAACACACGCAATATAAGCTCCAAATGGAGCTTCAACGAGTCTCATGGAAATAACGTTTGATTTTGTATAGAAAACGGACCACCTGGGAAGCCCCCCCACCACCGCTGAGTTGGCCTAATATTTTGAGGACACAGTTCATCACTGGAGAAGTCAACCAATTCTAACTGCTCTTCTTTTATAGCTAAAAGTAACTATCAACACATTTATTTCCCCACGTGTCATTTTACAGCAAAAGTTGGCGGTGCATCTTGTAAATTCGGCGAGTGTGTGACCAGATTTGTATAACTTTATTGACGCCGAGGACAAGTTTTACTCTCCGGAGAGACGTATAAATAATACGAGGAATTCAGTAGGGTAATTGTGTTGCACCTGTGAACGCGCCGGGCTGGGGTTGCTGCTGCTGCACCAGGCTGATGGTCGCCTGCTGTCCAAGCCCGCCCAGGTCAACAGCTGCACCCGGAGCAAAGATCTGAGCGCCGTCAGCGGGAGGGTGCGCCGTGGCAACAAACGGCTGCACGGGTGGCACGGCAGCAGCGGCGGCGGCGGCTGCGGGCGTGTGTGGTGCCATCCCTGCTGGGTCCCCGCCGCCGGCCACAACCCCATCGCCCTGGCTCTCCAACGAAGCGGACGGCGCCAGCGTTGCTTCCTGAGCGGGGCAGGAAAGCAAAGTTTTAACTCAAAAGCACGACAATGAAATGTGGCTGGCTTTGAAGGGCGCGTATTTTTCAGGCATGTCAAGCAAATGAACTGCAGTCGTGTAAATGCTGCAAACTCAAAGAGCATGGCGAGTGGGTGTGAAGGGTATTGAAACAGTGAGTCATATTTTTGGCGATTTGCAGGTTATTTTTCTGATAAAAAATAATGCCTTGGTACTGACACTTCAGAAACACCTTGTATCCTTTTTTATTTTATGTTTTTCTATCTTCTGGACATTTAGTACGATCCTTTCAAGATTTTTGTGTTTAGTTTGTTGTCCTTCCCCCCCGCCGCACCTCCGATTAGCATGGATGGCGACGCACGGTGCGAAAGAAGTTCAACATACATACATTAAAAGGCTGAGAGTTTAGTCCCAGTTAGAATTCTCCTCAGACGTTTGTTCTGATGGAGGCTACAAAATTAGTATCACATTGTGGGAAAGTCATCAGTAGTTATCCTATGGAGAGGCTCTTCCCTACCATATATGGACTCTCCACCACCAACTCAGAAACACCAAGAGAAGCAAGCACTACCCACTGCTTGTGTGAGCAAGGGGAAATGGATTATTTATTTGTAGCGTAATGGGCTGCTGAATGCTATGTAACACCTCAGCAGGCCTATTACATTAATTGCAGTGGGAGTTAATCCATTTCCCTTAACTCGTGTTTCCACTGAAAACTTAACTTTTAAATGTTACTCAAAATGACGTGTATATACGTCACAGAAAATTCAATGAGCATAATTGTGAGAATTTTTTTCAGTTATCAAAGGGTTGGTATATTTAACGATGTGCGTGTATATGTTGCACCAAGGCCAGTGATGTGTAACGTTGTCAATGTAGACCCAACCAGCGACCCATGAGCCCTTTCCAACAAAGAGCTGTCGTAAGTGGTAATGGATATCTGTATGGCCACACTATGAATTATTCAAAAAGGAAGCCATCCAAGCCTGTTTATTAAATATATGCCCCTTTGGGTATATGTTGCTGAAACAGAAATAGCAAAAAATACTGCACATGCAATAAAGGCACAAATAAATTTCAACACAGCAGAATCCCAGATGTGATAAAAGCATGCGACCAAGTAAGGTCTGTGTAATACAAATGCTTTACATGCGTGTTAAAATGTTTATATATATTTAGAGGCATGTAACGATTCATTCAGAAGACCAGGAAAGATATTTACTGGCCATAATTGTGAATAAACATGTCCCAAAGAAATATTTTTTTTATGTCAAAAGATTCACCAGTAGACTTTCACATATTGGCCAATGAAATTCCACAACTTAGCCAGATACAATGTAATTTTCAAAACAGTGTGGGTTCATCGTGTCCAAATGCGATCATACCACCGTCTTGTCAGCCAAGCTGTCAAAAGAAAATGGCGTCTGCAGCATGATATAGACAATAAACACTGCATGGGCTTCATAAATAGCGAGACAGCCCGAGTTGATTACAGATTATCATTTGTTAACTATCAGCGCAAGTAAATATGTGTGGCTTTGTAGCAAGCCCAAAGTAGTTGTCCCATGAAGAGACCAGCCCCTGCCACGAAAATGTGCAATTTCTACACCTGGTTCAAGGCAGCCTAGGGGTATGAGTGCAACTCCCCACTACTCATCTGAGCAGCAAGAAGCTTTCATTTTTTTACTGTTCTTTATTAGTATCTCGTAAAATTTTATAATAATTTCAAGACAGGTGCATGTAAATATAGGTTTCTCTCTACAATAATGAACCAACTTTAAGGTGAACTATAAGGATATGATTCGCTCATTAAAATGCTTATGCGGAGGATACAGACTTCAATGAAGAGCTGCAACTATTGACTACCTAATTCATTATTCTATTATAGCTCAAAACATTCGGGCACAAGATGGATATCATTTGCATAATAAACATGATTCACACACAAGGCTCAAAATGGGCTTTTAGCATAAAGTTTAATGAAAATTTGTACCACTGGTAATTTTACCAACTGCCACATTAACTACGAGTACATTACCCGAAATGTTGTTGACCTTGTAAAATACCGAAAGATTGTTGAAATAATGCACTCTGAAACTAACAACAATTTTCTACTTTTTGTTCGAGTTGATAGGTCGGTGACAACTATTTCTGTAAGGCTGATGTAAATTGGCTATTAGAAGCACAATACAACAGAACCAGACCCAAGGTCAATGTGGGCAAGCCTTGACAGTGCCACCGTTGTCACTATCGTGTCACGCTGGCCATGCACTGTGCTGACATTTCCACGTCGGGGAGACGATTTCCAGCATCTTCCAGTTTAAAATGGGTGCCGATCAATAGATGTTTTTTATTCATTTCAGCACCAATTCAATTATATTGAAGAATGGATTATTTCCAATTCATGTGGGATTTGCTTCATGGAAACCTTTGCAGATACTACAAGAGTCGACATGCATTACAAGGCCAAACAACAAATATAAATTTGTTAATTAATTCGTAAATTTCATTAGAATTCATCAAATCGTTACATTTTTAGTGAAGTGGGACAGTCAACCAAAGTACAAAGTCCGTTCACATCAACACAACCAAACTGGCGAGCCACACAGTGCAAGAGTCGGCACGCGTGTGTGCACCTGCAGCGTCTGCTGGGTGATGTTGGCCTCCTGCAGGGATTGCTGCAGGATGTCGCACGGCTGGCCGGACGTGTGCTGCGCCAGCGGCACGGAGCTGGGGTCAAAGTCGTCGTCGGAATCCTCGAGGAAGCGCAGGGTGCTGGCGAAGGGGTCCTCTCCCCCGCCTCCCGCCGCCTCCCCCAGCCCATTGTTCACGTGGTTCCCAGGGGAGCCCGACGTCTGTGTTTGACGAAACAGAAAAAGAGAGAAAAAAACATCACGATAGAGTCTGTGTATATGGTGCGCAGCCGCAGAGGTGAGTGGAGGATACTGGTTTGATATAAGGTCAGCCATGGTTTTTTGTACGTAGTCACTTTAACCTCTATCGCAAGTACAAATTCCCTTTTACAGTGGCCACATTTACTAGACATTACACAACAACAGCAGTGACATCGCACCTCTGATAAGCACGGTTGGGTATGTACGGTGTGACAGAAGTTCAACATACATATGTATATTTCATCTGGTAGTCACACCCATATTTTCAACAAGATGAAAGGGAGGTTATTTCAGTTTCTTTATTTACAGTATATGAGTTTTACAATATTTCAATTGTTACCATTGTGGTAAACGTTTACCTATTGCGAATGTTTTCTATGTTCCTTGCTGCTGGAGCACATCAAATTACTACAATCACCACATTTGCATTTTTTGTCTCAATTGAAGGCATATACCTAAATTTGAAAATTCCCAAGACAACGAGCGTGGGATTCTATTCAAATAAAAAAAATCAAGTTGATCCGAAAAGCCGCCAGAATCGATGTAAAGGGAGGCACAACAAACACCTCCATAGAATAAAGCACCTCAACCTATAAAAGACGGTTTAGACAGACACTGCCCCTATCACTCAGTCCCATAATTGCGACAAGACTTTAACTCAATGAGCACTAAGAGAATCATTCGGCTAAAATGAAAAAGGTACAAAAAACTAACTATTTGAATAGTACAGCATACACTGAGCAACGCATCTCCTTGATGGGGCCGCATTAGCTTTGTGAGGCGAGGAACAAGACTGCGTGAAACGCGATGCTAACAGCCTGCAAAATGTATAAATGCACAAGCGCAAGTGTTTGTGTCATTTAAACGGTCGTCAGGTCAGAATAGGAAAAATCATTAATGGCGTTACAGGGGACAAAAGCGCTCTCCGCGCGCGCGCGCGCGAGGCAATCCACCTAATGTGCTAAATGGAGTAAACGAGGCCGGGCGCACTCACGAGTTCGGCGAAAAGACCGGCCCCGTCGCCCCCTAGCAGATCATCATGGTCCAGCTCCTGCCGAAACACAGCAGCAATGTTGTCCGTTACACACGCCGCTTACTCCGCTCTACCGTACGTGCGTAACGTCGCGGGGCGCGCGGTGCCACCCATTGTGCTGTGGCGTTGTCTGTCAAATGAGCACACGCTGGGATGCAGAGTGAACTGTCAATACTAAAGGCATTGCCCATTAGGGTCGTTTTAGACAAGTATATTCGGAAACAAAGCACTACCTGTTGCAGCAGCAGAGCAGCAGTAGATTGCTGTAGAGTTGTAATGCTACATAAATTCCGAGGCTACCAGTACGCACACTTATAAAGCGAATGTAAGAATTGGTTATTTCCCAATCATGTCGATAATATTTATACCACTATAGGTACATACTGTTCTATATATGACATCCACAAGGGGGTTAAAATCATTTTATTTATGAGAAACGAATCTCGTCCACAAATCGCAAAATCCAGAATGGAAAAAATAGTCAATTTATTTAACTGCGGCATTGCTTGTTACACAAAAGTACACAAAGGGACACAACACTACCTGCTACAACTTGACAATTCTCATGAATGTAGGGTGGAGCAATGATTAGCGCCCTACGCTATGAACAAACGACCCGAGCTTGATTCTCGGCCACAGCTAACATCATTGGCTAATAATATCTGAAATAGTCCTGCCGCCCACCCCCCAAAGAAACCTTCGGGACTAAACGTGGTACAGTCTGGCCAGTGGAAACTCTTCCTACAAATAATGTAACGAGGTGGCCTTATAGGTGGCTGTCACAGGATGCATTCTCATTGACAGGTTGTCCATCATTCTCCAGAGGGAACTTCTATTCTACGTGGGAAGATAGATAGATACAATTCCATACCTTTACAAAAATGATCAAAAACATATCACTTGGGTGGCATACATCCTCAAAGGTAAAAAAGGTAGACTTAAAAAGAACATGGGACCCATTCTTAAATAACCATTTTAAGCACCCCTCACGTCTGAGCCCATCGGGCCCAGGGTCACTAGGACAGTTACCTTGTTAATTGTGTGAGATCCCCCTCCACCACCACCCGAGCCAACATGCTCAGCTCCTTGCCTTCCCATATTAGCTACTCCTCACACCGCTCCAACACCCCTTTTTCCCCACCCATGTTTATTTTGAGAAAAGAACGGCCAACCCTGTCAAATCCCAACAATGAGTCTTTGTAAATAAGGATGCGTACGACCTGTAACGCCGGACAATATGTTTATTACTTGAATGTACCATGCATCGTAAATGTAAATAAAGGAAATCTTCAAAAAAACATAACTTGGGTGTTTGCCCCACCTTTTGGAATGAAGACATCAAAAAAAATCTAACAAATGGGTATTTGCCGACACTTGAATCAAAGTGTGGTTTATAATACGCACATTAACACTCATACTTTCATATACGGAGTTAATATCCCATTTTAGGTCAACAGAACATATGTCCTAGCCAAATTTAACCACATCTGCGATTTACATGACACAATTTATAGCCGAGTGAATTATATGTCAGACGTCAAAAGAACAAGTGAAATACACGTGCGAGATCATGGGATTGCGACTTCCACTGTAAACTGCTTCGCTACGACTTCAACTGCTTCCAGTTGGATCCCCCACTCATGGGTGGGTAGTTCTCCATATTCTCACCAGACAGCTAGCTTCAAATTAAAAAATCAAAGTCAATTCTGCTAAGTTCATGCAAATGTCACACCAATGCCAGTGCACAGGCGAATGCAAATTGCAATGAACGTGACAAATGTAGAAAATTGTTTGGAAATGTGGTTATCAAGCTGACGACTACAGAAACAAGGCTTTACAGTATCAACTTGACTGTGTTTGCCATTTCCCCAGATTCCATGATTCACTACCCTGCCAAGCGCACTACACTCCTGTTTAAGGTGTAAGAAGTGCAGAGTTGGCGATCCTTTAACAGGGCAATGCGAGTTAAAGACGCTCCTGCTGAGCAAAGTACTGAAACTCACCGGGTGTTCAGAGCCGTGCAAAAAGTCATTCAGGGCCTGTGGATCCCTGCAAGAGAAATCAAAGGAACAAAAATTAATCAGGTAAGGTGAAATGTGCTGGTACCAAAGTTTAAGTGGAAAAAAAAAGTAAAGTGTAAGTAATGTCCATAGGCCTCAGTTATGTGTTGTCACTGAACACCCTCACAGTGGCTTTTAGCTAACCATCGAACAAAGACAGTCACTTCATCGCATGCTTTCAGATGTGCTTCTGCGGCCGTCTGGAACGCTCTTCCTTCTGATATTAGGAAGCCACTGGAGCTATGCACTTTTAAACCATCCTGTTTGAAAACTAATTTCTTTAGAACTGATTTTTATGTTTAGTTTGTTGTCCTTCCCCCGCACCTTCAATTAGCACAGTTGACTACGTACGGTGCAAACAAGTTCAACATATATCCATATGAGTGACATGTAAAACAACATAGCATTTTTAAATCCTTTATATTAAGTGCGCTTGCTTGCGTGCTTGCGTGCTTGCGTGCTTACGACAGTGCAAATCTTTCGGTCGTTTTTTAACCCACTTCCCGTGATCCAATCGAGCTGACATTTTGCACAGACTCGTTGTGCGAGACAATTAATCTTCGTGAAATTTTTTTTTCCAAAATTTTACACTGTTTAGGGAAAACAAATTAAATATTTAATTACCAATTGCTTAATACTGGCAGACAATCATCTGACCCATAGGTGGCAGCCATCTCAAGCCAGAGGACGAGAGGACTCTAGCCGCCACGCATATAAATCATTTATAGTGAAAAACTTTGTTTTTACGGGTTTACTTATTATATGCACAATTTTGTAGGTGTTTGCGTATATGGTAGAAGTAGCAGATAAAGCCTAGACATGTATTGCTTCTGTCAGAGAACTACAAAAAACTGCGATGTGAAACCTGCCTTGTTTACAAATCTATAACCCAGTGCAATCTAAACTGCACTTTGACATTGTTGGATGTTGTCACACTAGTTACATGGAGAGATGGGTACCGAGTAAAGGCTTCAGAACATTTGTAATGGAGAAAGTGACACACCGGGAAAACTGCATGCTGTTGTATCAAAACACATTTCCAAAGAGATATCACCACATGCACTATATTAGCAATCAACTTTAACAACTCATGACTTCGGATTAGTAACGATACAATTAGCACTCAGTGTCGATTGCATTGATGTATTACACTAAACAAAGTTTGAACTGAAAGAGGATTTTTTTTCTCTCTAAATGATGGCGAATAAAATGGTAGAAATGGCCAACAAGATGGTGGAAACAATACTCTTACTTACGTTATGCAATGTTCAAAATCTGGGGCGATCTCCTAGCCACCAGGAACGATTGAGCCTGATCATTAGGTTACGTCTCTTTGATCTATCCAGGCAAAACGAGATTGACATTTGTAACTCGACTTCAGGCCTGGACTACGATTTATACTTGAAAACTATTTTTATTTCAATTAGCAGGTCGTGTTTAATTATTTTATCACACACAACAGCTGCTGTCACCGGCCGATGAAAAAAATATTCCTTTGTGTTAAAATAATTATACATATGGGATACTGTTAAGAAAAAAATATGCCAATGTGCAGTTTTAGACCAAACACTATCAACTACGAGCTGAAAAACAGACCCAATCTGTTCTATATGTTATATGCATACATGAATGCAATGTTCCATTCAGATATTTTATTTCATACAGTACATGAAAATACAAGGCTTCCAGACTGAAACAATACATTATAGTAATCATCTACCAGGCATAACTTTAACGGTAAATCATTGTGCACATTAATAAGGTGTTTTGTGTTGTTATATGACGAAAGGATATGATAACATTTTCACGAGCCGTCTAGTTTCAAGCTGTATGGTTAATTTATAAAATACGGGCATACTTGTATCGTGTACTGTATGTGACCCGGAAGCAATAGGCACAGTAGTGAGCAAACTCCACTCTAAACACAATGTCCAATGTTAGAACTTCTGGCTGTGCCAAATAATCAGTGACGAAGTGACATCAGAACCAGTCCTGGGCCTTCCCTAGGTTGACTCAGACTCAAATGATTATCTGGTGCGGTGTATAAACATCAATACTGGGGAGACAAAGGGGGTACGTTTGGTATTGGCCACACCACCCCCTCTATACCCTATGCCAGTCTTAATAGGTAATCACTAACAGCATTTACCCCAACACAAGAGACCCTAAATGCAGACATTATTATGAAATTATGAACAATATTGATGGTGTGTCAATCAGGAAAAATATTTGAAATAAAAAGCTGTCAATCCAGGCTGGGGAAGTCCAGATAAAAAAATCACATGTTAAAGTTCCACTCTGCCTTGTTAGAATGCCGTATACGTAGCTTGTAATGGGGGTTCTTACAAGGGCCATTACAGCACTGCACTGTATGTACCATCAGGACTGTTTAAGCCAGGCAAGAGCTTTCTTGTGCCCTCTAAACACCGCACGACACATCCCTCGCGTAACCAATATCCAGGCACCGAGCCACAAACAGAACCGAATGTATCCAGATTTGAAAAAAAAATTGAAATAAAAAACAGGAAGTGGGAGGGAGTGTGGGGCGGCGGAAAAGAGGTAAAAATTAGTCGAGGCCAAGGCAAACGCAGCCTGGGTGCGGATCTGGCTTGGCAAGCCTCCAGGCCTCGCCGTGGACTGTACGCCTCGATGACGTCACACCACCTCATGTCACTGCGCACACTGCAGCCCCCCCACACGGCACCGCCATTCGCAGCAGCAGCAGCAGGAATAAAAAAGAATCCTCCGCCAAACGCACTTTGGCTCATTCGGGTCAAGCGAATTAATGCTCACACAGCCCACAACTCTTCCATCCCCCCCCCCCCCCGCGCTACGTCGCCGCCACCTCGGCACACACCACCCCCCGCGCCTACGCCGAGCCCGCGTCGTGACGCTGGGGGTCATCATTGTGCGAGGTTCGAGAGGGTCCAACCGCGGTGGGAATAAAAGAGGCACGGGGTCTGGACGTTGCCGACTGACATTTTCTCACTCCGCACTGGAAGAGGCAAAATGCGTTTCTTTTCCCCGTAACCACTCGCTCAACACCTCCCCCCCCCACCCCCCACGTTAAACCTCAAGCGGTGAAAGTTCATAAATAAATCCCCCCACCCTCCCCCCAGTGTGCAGTGCCGAGTAGACAACAATGTATACGGATGTTTGCGCGTGAGCAGCAATAAAAAAAACAAGAGCTTACAAATGGCCAAACAAGAGGGTCAAGGCAAGCTCAAGTTACTGTACAGTACTTTAAAAAAACCCGAAAAGACGGCCGATGCAGCTGCCTCGCACGCTGCATGTCGCAATACATCACGCAAAGTGCGCAACCCCGTAACACTAAACATAGGCACAGTCGCAGAGTCGTTTTATTTCTGGTTACTTACCCGATCACGTCGAGCAGACACCGCCCATCGTCATCATCCATGACAACTGCGAAAGGGAAGAGGGAGGGGTCAGGTGGAGACGTCACAATCCGTGCGGGTGGGGGGGGATGGGGAGAGGGTAGAGGAGGTGGGGTGGGTGACTGGTTCGGTATGGTGGTGGTGATGGTGGAGTGGGGAAGGGGGGTCGTGGGGGATGGGCTTAGAGGGGAGGGAGGGAGGGAGGGGGAACAACGAGGAGGGCGGTCTCTGCGTGATCGTGACTTGGCCTGAGCCACAGCGCGGCGTGGACGACACGGCGAGCAAGACCCGAAGCTTGCGCCGAATAAAAATCCTGCGGCGGCCATTAACCCGGTTGCTTGCAAGGGGGGGGTCCTCTCTCTCTTTGACAAAGTCGGTCGTGGGAATTTTTTTTTGACTCGTTTTGCGTGCAAAGATTAAGATTGCCACGGACGCTCACTATTTTTACGTTCACTTTTAGCGACGGCTTAAAGGTCCGCTGGAGTGAATGAGCTTACTGTGCTGTTGTTAAATGCATTGGCGTGGGTTAGAGTAAAAAATAAAGCGATATGGCCCAATAGAAAAATGGCAAAACTTCTAAAGTCCAGTCGGGAAAAAAAGCTCTGATTTTAAAATCATCAAGCTCTTACCCTGCAGAACAAGACCTCGCTGTTTCATTAACAACTCATGTTCATGATTACTCAAATAAAATTCTAATGAAATGCCATTGTCAGTCCAAAAATGTCAATATTTTGCCACACAGCTGAAAACTCACTTGGCAATGTACATTTACATTACTGTATTATTTATACACTCAGGCATTAATACCAAATATCACTTTCATGACAAAATTATGACTTGTTTGACTACCATCTTTTAATTTTAAAAGACGTGTTCATGAACAGACAAGGGATTTTTTTAAATTCTGTCTTTCTAAAATCAACCGATAACAGAGCTAACTTTCCGTGACGTATGAGCAGAATAGCCAGACTTTACAAAAATGCAGTTTATCCAGTTAATAGACTGCATTCCTAGTTTTGTTAAGTCTTAGATCTTGCTCATTCATGAAAATTTAAGGCTCAAAATCAGGATATATGACAGGATCAACAATGTGGCTTTTGCATGTTTAGCATGCCCAACAATGTTTTACAGTTACCATATCCCAAGCCAACATCATGTTAGGGGCCTCATCCATTACATTGGTGCTACAGCCAGGATACAAGTTCCAGTTTGGTGAAGCTCACTTGGCGTATAGATGCACCAATAGAGAGAGAACGTAACACTCCAAATACACTTGTGAATTCTGTGGCTCATTCACTACCTGCCAACGCTTACATTGTGACTTTGTAACCATTACAATTTAATTGTGCTTGGTGCTTATAAAGCATGAAGAAACAACACAAAACTGTCAACGGTCTCAAAGTTGAGTAAAAAAAAGGATCACACACACCACGTATATTTAGCAAGAGCATGTTGAAAGTAAGTCAACAGATCGTGCAATATTTAAAGGATGCTACCAGAGAAATAGGTGATGATGTACATTATCATGCGCACAACAATAAACTGTCCTATTGGGAGAGACACACAGCTTATCTAGCTTTAGACAAAAAAGCTGATTGCATAATGGTTTCGACAAACAATTTTCATGAAGTGCATCAAAGGGCCAATGAAAACTCTATAGCGGAACATGAGACGGCATGCATATCCAAGAAATATTGCCCAACACATTTTAAGAATTGTCCATGCTCGTTAAGCTACCCATATTGCCAAGGCCAGCGAAAAGGCGTATTGAAAAATGTCAACAAGCAGATGACAGAGGTTTCAGTCTCGTTGCCACTGTCTTAATTAACCTATTACTCATTTTGCCTGAGACACGACTCTCTCAATCGAGGACTGTCACATCTCACGAAAGTGTTAGTCATAATATCTTACTTTCAAACACTACTGCACAGAAAATCGAAAATTGCTCAAACTTGAGCAGTTTTGTAAAATTACTGGTTCTAGATATGTCCACAGATTACATTTCTTGCCATGCCCTCAATAGACTGCCAAACCTCTAAATATCTGCAAATTATAATAAACACAAACGTTAATATTGTGAAATTCTATTTACTATTGGGGCTTTAGCATCCATGTATGGCTTGCAATTTCAAACAACCAGAAAATTGTTTATTTTCAAACTGTGCAGTGTACGCAAATAATGTCTCGTCGAGTTTCCCAAAAATCCATCAATGTCTACCATAAGCCATATGGAATGCATTACACGTTAACATGTTGCGGGTGTGATGTTTTAAAACCCAATTTCGAAAATGCACACCATTTAAGATATCATACCCACAGGGATGCCAACTTTTTTAATGTAGGCTGAGGGGCAGCAGCATTCAGTACCTTCATAAAAAAAATCCTGCCCATGGGAATCCATCAATTAAAAACAACTTTTAACAAAGATAAAGGTTCATTTGAATTCAGCAAGCTTTTCACTTACAAGGCTTAATTACTGTTGCTATTCCAACACGAGACGTAATTAGATGTGGAGTACTTTTATGGATTTGATGAGGTATTGGTCTTTATGCATAATTTGATCATGCTTGCTGAATAAACACAATTTAATCTTGACAATGTTATATTTTTAAATCCATCTGTAGATCCAAATTGAAAGTTTCTCTCAAAACACATTAAGTTGCTCATGAAAATAATGGGAAATAAGTTGGTCAAAATATATTCTTCGGAAAATACACAAGATGTAAACAAGTCTATCCTGTTCCGAGGTTGGTTGTTTTCCCTCTATCTATAACAGTTTTCCATGTCATTCAGTCATATGCAGTTAGAAGTAGACTTTTGTTGAAAAGTGCATTATGCTTGAGAGGCCTCTATTACAAGGAAAAATATTAACTGGGCCAATATTAGGCAAATTGCTTGATATACTAAAAGTGGCAATCTTAGCCCTCACAATGGCACCAAAAGGAACCGCTGCTAGTTGCCAAATTAATAGATGACTTCAATAATAATTAGACATCTAAATAACGTGCTGTCTTTCAAAACACCTCTCAAAACTCTCCAGTACCGCAATGTACATTTAAAATATAGTCACCATCACCTAGCCTTTATTTATAACCATACATTTAAACAGAGGATATTTAATAATAAACGGCAATAGTTTTCATTGTGTTATTTGTCAGAGTATTCATATCATGGTTATTGAGCAAACGACCCAAAGGCCCTAAATGCCAAACACCCAAGAACATCCCTATTGATTCATAATTACTGCGTTAGGCCACAAGCTGATGTGGCCAGATTTGTCCCAATAGACCCTTCACCACCCGACATAGCGAAAAACATTAATTTGTCAGATGTATAAGCAATTAAAGTGCCAATTATTATTGTTTCGGTTCACCGGTTTAGAAATTAGATATGACCTTGAGCTTGAAACTATGCCAAGCACTTGGAAAAATCCATCAAGGACAGCATACAATCCAGTCAGAAAAATCGTGTCACCTGACCCACCTTAATTAATATGCCAAATGGTGACAACTTTACAATGTACGTTTAAGAGCCAATTTGCATCGTTGAGTATACTTTAAAGTGTAGCAAAATAAATGTTTTAAGCTTGATACGAGGAGTTCATGTTTTCAAAAAAAGAGCTTCCAGGGTTTAAATTTTGAAAACCACACTCGTGGTGCTCAAGACATCACAGGTATTAAATAGGGAAATGACTACCTGACCCTGCAGATGGGGGAGAAAAAAAAGAAGTCTCTGGAACTACTGTTTCTGCTTATTCGTATCCCATCATAGATCAAGTGGTTTTCGTTAAAATCTCACCTTCCTGAGATTTCAGTTTATAAAATATTTAGACACTTCTTTGATTTTTGTGTAGGATTCAGGGAATTAGTTTATAGGTTATGGTTAGGATTTAGAGTTAGCAGTCATCGTTCGGTTTACGGGGTTAGGGTTGATAAAAAAAAGGTTATTGCTTTGGGGTTAAGAGGTTCGGGAAAATGGTTAGGACAGCAGTTCTCAACCCACGCATCATGCCCACCCAGGACACAAACGTCTCTCAGGAATGGGGTGAGCATACTGCAGAATGGATGCCGTGCGAGAGAATATAATAATCAAGGGCACGGCATAGCCTTCTTTAGGTTAATGGTGTGTCACGAGATTACAGCTACACTAGATCAAAATTGAGCAGCATGTGGAGTTTATCAGAGGGACATCTCAACACTTGTAGTTCTGTATACAGCCTGCGTCACTATTGTAATATAATGTATGGACTTTATGAATAATACCTATAGTATAAGTTTTCATATATGATAGTTGGCTCTTGGTAAATACTGCCTCAAAGCAATAAATGGCAGAGGTGCCTCCTTCCAAAAGTTAACTTCTTTAAAAATATTATTTGGTATCATCTTAAGCTAGTATAGTGGACATAAAGGGATGTTAATATTGAACGATAATAATAAAAAAGTGGGGTTGAGTAGGTCACATTGCCAGCAATCGAGACAAATTTTAGAGTTGTAGCCAGAGGAAAAAAAACTCAAATAATGTCCACTGTAGTTTGATCAATATGCTCGTGAAACATATGCAAGTCATAAAGCGGCTTGGGGGTCAGGTGGCAAGGTTGTTGCCATACCCAAAAGTTTGACGACCACTGGGTTAGGGTGTTTAAGGTTATGGTTGGAGGTTTAGGATTAGAGGCAAAGGTTTAGAGGTTAGGATTATGTAAAATATTACGCAATCATTATTTTCTTGCCACAAATTTATGCGGACTGTAATCTCAGCTTTAAAATAAAAAAGATGAAGTTATTTTGCTATTAAAATCAAGTATGTTTATGAGTTAGAAAGCTAAAGAACAAAGTCGTATTCTTACACATTTAAGAGAAAGTGCTTCATAAGTGAGCTTTCTAAAATTAACATGATAAGAACTGTATGGCCTTGTCAAAAAAATTCTACTAGCATAAGCTCAGCACTGAAAATGACCCAATGAAAACTATCTCTGCAGCAAGTGCACTTCAGTGTTCCATTCAGCCACCAAATTACCATTTTTAAAGAACATTCACCGACAACTTTTTCGTTAGTGAAACACAGGTCACACTTGGGAAGCCAGTGCTATAAATTTCAGTTTGTAACCCGGACCACATTCACACACTGTTTTAAAAATGCAACTTTGTGCGCCCATCAAGGTGGATAGCTCACACAGCGGGATAATGACCTCATTATGAGTACTGAGCAAGCTCCCTTGAGATCATGGGTTTGAAACCAAGGCATCCAAATTGTATGAATCCATGTTACCACGTATGTTGTGTGTAGTTTTAATCAGCTCACCTATAACTGGCCTAACCAATTTTTACTTAAATTAAGATAAATACAATACTAAATACTGTATACACGATAGAATGAGATATGCTAATACGCATTTGCTATCTTGTGGTTGTTGAGGGCCTAACACAAATACTTTATTAGGTTTTGTATGGTCACTTCTCAATGACAATGGGAGCTTTGTGGACTTAAAATGTTTTATTGGTGGTTAAATAAAACAAAAATTAGATACATTTTTCTACATCAGGGTTGGGAAACCCATTGCTGAGGGGCAAATATGGCAGGTAACACAATAACACACCTTGATATCCAAAAACAACAGTCGCCATTAGTGAGTGTGCTAAAATTAGAAGCACATTAGTAGGTTGAAAATATCTTAATTTTGGAGCTTTCGTGACTGCAGGAATTATTCTTTGGTTTTTTCGGTAAAGTCATGTATAAAGATAAAATAATAAATTAAATAATAGCAAACGACGTTTCGATTGCAACACAAGCAATCATCATCAGATATAATGAAATAGCGACATAGAATCTAACCAGAAAACTATAGACAGACATATAAACAGACAGATATCACCAAGATACATAGAGAGAGCAACCCAGGTACAGAGAGGGGTGATCGTTTCTGTGGGGTGGCCTTAAATAGACAGAGGTTGAAAATATCCACGAGTCCAGTACCTGAAATGTGCTGCTTAAATGCTTGCAGTGCCAGATACGTAGGGTATTCCATCGTGGTATGTCGCAAGTGGCAGCAGGAAGCCGTGGGCCATTCTACATCTAAAATGGGCTCATACCACATACAGTAATGTGAATACTGTACATGCACCTAGCAGCACTCTTTCCAAAGGAGTCATACTTTACAAAAAGTTGGACATGACCTTAAAATTAAAGAAAACTGCCGGATGTTTTTTCCCCCATGCAATATATGCTTATGTGGAAGTCTGAGGAATCCATAGGTCCTCTCCTATCAGAGCATCTACTAACAGGTGAAATTGCAACCAAACATTCCCATCCCGAGAACCATACTGTTAAAACCGGCTACAATTTCACGTAGCCTCATATCATGCATAAATGTAAAAATCAGACCTATCCATTTTGGCACATATTGAAGAGCCAATAACCACAAAATTCACTCTGTTGCACCAAAACATTTTGACTATATTGTATATGACCAAAATAACTAACACTTAACAGGATTTCTTCAGCAAATGTTAGGGTGCTTTAATGCAGGTCTGGACCCTCAGTACAGTCGCTGCATTTTATGTTCAACGTTCCATTCCTAACAACTTGAAAGTCACCTACATTTTTGTTTAAACATTGATGCGTTTCACATAAATTCATGCACCACACACAAAATAAATGGGATTTCCCCTTAACACGTTTGCAAAATATTGTTTGGCCATGCACTCACAGCACCAAAGAAACATCCTGCATGAAATGGACAGCGCTATCTCCCTAAAAGGAAAGATCCCCTCGCTGTTGAATGGCTTTAATCACACGCAAAGTCAAACAGAACAACACAAGGCTTTAATAAGAGTTAAGAGGAACGCAGACAAAGGCCCTCTCGATATTCACTGCCACAGCAGCCAAAGATGGCCTCCACCCGCAACCGCATTCGCTGCTTAACCAAAAACTTAAGACGCATTTACAAGCGCAACTTTATCGTTTCAAAACATTAAACAAGTCAACTCTTCCTCTATTATCTTTATTTAAAACCATGGGACGGATCCGACTGTTTAGGCATTTCTTCACAAGCACGCACCAAAAAAACGCGTTTTTAGCTCAATAACTTTGGACTTGAGAGCTTGCGGCAGCTCGGTTACATAACGCGCCTTAAATGCGATTACAGCTCACGAGACGTTACGGCTCGTGTCATAGTGGTAACGAATTGTTAAAAGGTGAATGTTTACGTGTCGTGTTGTGTTTCACGTCTTGTGCGTTTGTCGCCTGCCTCGTCGTTCGCAGCCGACATTTAATGGAGGCGATCACGACCACGACGCGTTGTGGACGCGACCTTTGTTGGTTCTGCTAAACACGAAACGATTTATAAAACTACATTCTCGTACGTTTGTCACGGCTAATGACGTGCATCAAAAGCCTTTTTTTGTCGATTTAAACAAACAAGGAAACGAACCCGAGCAGTCGGCGAGACTCCATAAGACGAGGCCCTCGTTGCGTTTTTAAAACGATTTTTTTTTAAACACCGTGAAAATTACACAAAACGTACACTTTTGCTCAACATCACACACTAACACACACACGTCATGTAAAACATTTAAACAGCGTTGAAAAAAAATTCACGTTACAATTCGCCTCGTAGGAGACGCTTTATTTAATTAACTCCACGATAATTCTTAACGTGTATATACGATGAGAGGGGGGGTCGCGTTTAAAGAGTGTGTTCTGCGTGGGAAGCCTTCCCTTTAAGTTTATTTTTATTTGCCGTCATCTGCCCGCCCCTCTCGCTACCTCGTCTACACCACACCGCTATTATAATTATTTTAAACAGAAGCCGTCTATGGGGCTCTCTTCACGACCACCACCACCGCCTCCTCCTCCCCCCCCACACCAACCACACCACGGCCAGCAGCCTCCCCCATCGTTTATATAATTATATTATTTTTTGTTGTTGTTAAAACGCCGCTTCTCTTCGTCAGTCCTCATCGTTCCTCTCCTCCTCCTCCTCCCGCCGCTTCTCCCTCGTACGTGTGCAACACATAAGAGAGAGAGAGAGAACCCAGCCCTTTTTTTCCCCTCCTCCTCCTCCTTGAAAATTTTATCACAAAATTATAATCGGGCCGCTGTGAGGGACTCACCGTCGTCATGTAGTTCGCGTGCCTCGTCCAAGGGGTTTCCTCGCCATCGCGGCAGGGGCCGAGGGGCGGGGCCTCCTCGTCTTTCTCACCCCCCCCTCACACCGCCCTCGCCCCCACCCTTCTCCCTCCCTCCCCCCTCCCCTCGTCCTCCTCCTCCTCTCTCGCTCGCTTTGGCCACGCGCGCGCGCCGCCGCAACCGTCGTCGTCGTCGCTCTCAGATTTTTAGCCCCCCCCCATCCCCCGCTGTGCTCCCACCTCTCCCCTCCTCCACCCCTCCCCCCTCAGCAACCACCCTCCTCCACCCCTCCCCTCTCCTCCACCACCCCTCCCCCCTCAGCAACCACCCTCCACCCCCTCCTCACCAACCACCCCTCCCCCCTCACCCTCCCCCTTCTCACCAACCACCCTCCCCCCTCACCAACCACCCTCCCCCTTGCGCGCCGTAGCGGTCCGCCCGCTTACTGTCGTATGGGGGAGGGGAGGGGGTGATGGGGGAGGGGCTTCTTCTGGTGAGCCGCGTCACGTCACGCGCGTCGCTCGCTCAGCGACGTTGCGGCGCAACAAACCGTCGGGTCTCGTGCGCAACAAAATCCCGCCAAAAATAAACCGCCACCCCCCCCGCCTCCAACACCCCCCCCCACTCACCCCGGTGCCCCCTTGTACACACCCCGCCCCCACCCCTCGAATCGTCGACATCTACCACAGCCCCGCCCACTAACCCCACGCCCCGCCCACCAACCCACACGCCCCGCCCACTAACCCCACACGCCCCGCCCCCCTGCTACAGCCCCGCCCCTCTTGACCCCCCCCCCCCCGACCCCATTAATTGAACCCAAAACCCTGGAAAGCAACGCGGTCGACGGGGACTGCCGGTACAACAGTCAACCAACCACTCGATAAACACCGATCAATCGATTACATTGATTATTAAGCGAGCGGTAAGCACGGACCCGTGATATTGGTAATCGATTATTTTACATTAATTATAGACCACGTGTGAAACAAGTCAAAATGAGCAGAGGTGCTGCTCAATCGCTCGAACATAGCCCTGGGACAATGGTGGGAATTCCACGTTCCCGTCGAGAGCGAGTCGATCCAAAGCACAACCACGAAGGAAAACAATAAACTATGGAAATGAGGCAGTCATAAGCGAGGATAAAATCATCTAAAATACAGAACTTACTCGCGCATGTACCCAACTCTTTCTGGCCCATCTTGCTCTGCTGTATTTGCAAAAAATATATTTTCGTGTTTTGTTTACGATAGTCAAATACCTCATTTGTTTGATGTGCACCATTGCTTCAGGACTCTCAATACACACTGACATTGGTTGTGTCTAGTAAGTAGGGTTCCCACTTGGCAGACTGAATAGATACTGAATAGATACAAAACTAATCAGAGCCCTTCCTCTCCAAACTCAAACTTGCATAATCATTCAGATTCCCATTCATCCATCCAACACCTCTGATTAGCACAGTCGGCTACGTACGGTGGAGAAGAAATGCATCATATCACGAGTTGATAGTTAAGTAAATACTGTCCATAATAAATTAGACATTATACTTTTTGATTTAAAGCTTTTGTGACTGCAGGGATTCATATTCTTGGTTCTTTCGGTAAAGTCACGTAGAAGGAAAATAATAAAATAATATAAATATATATTATATAACCAAGAATATAGATATTATACTTTCATGGGTTTGCAGATCTAAAAAAATCTAATGTTATATACTGTACCTCACCACCCACAAACTGCTTCATTGCACAAAGCACACGGCAGTAATATATATTGAATGCTAAATTAATGCGGCTCTATTGCACGTTGTTTACGCATTAGTTATGACTATTACACAGCTATATACATTGTAAATGTCATACATGTTGACATATTGTCATGTATACAGTACTTACAATACATAACAGTACATAAAAAATAGCGATTTAACAGCCATTGTTCAATGATTGCGTAACATTATGAACCACAGTAAACACACAGCACATTACATAAAGCATTCATGATATACAGTGTAGACATTTAAGGTCCCAGGTAGGGTTGTCACTATATCATTCGTAAGAAGCTGTTGATGATATTTTAGTATGGATCAGCAAATGTTAATACAGTATCCTGGAATTACCCCCGCCCTCACCCCCGTATGTAGAGAACCCTCAGTTTTAAAACACAAATACATTATTCATCATCATGAAAAGCCACATGTCTAAAAAGCCCAAGCGAATACGAAACATCCACTGCGCCACCGGCATGCCGTCAATACAATCCACACGATACCTTGCGTGCCACCTCCTTCCTCCTACACGTGCGCCGCCGTCTCCAACTCTTTACTTTACCATTTGCACTGCGTGACACATTTAGCACCATCTTGGTTTACACGGAATGTTTTGAACGAAGCCCTCTTCCATACCGCATTCGCCATTCTTAGCCACGGCCTGAAAGCTCGTTACGTTAATACTGTGCCACAGTATATATATATTTTTTTAAACACACACACATACACACACGCGTGCTCCAGTTATATTTTACTGCGACATTAACGAAAATTTCGGCGCTCTTTAAATCGATGACTTTGTTATTATTGATACACGTGACAGCCGTGGAACGCACTTCCGGGAACGCTTCCTCGTGTTCGTGGGCATCTTTCCCGCCACTTTCCCCCCCCCCCTCCGTCTGTCTCGATCGCACACTGCGCAACACACGGGGAGGGGGGGGGACACAACACGTGCGCCTGAGCTCTATTAGGAGAGGGGTCAGCGAGAGGGGATGCGACACCCATCCGGCTTTCCCTCCCCCCTCCACCACCGTCTCCCACGCACTTTAATAATAAATAAAATAATAATCGTTCACGCAGGCGGGCGCGACGGGCACCCCGCCAGGCTAGTGGGGTCCTTCAAGATTAACCCCCCCCCCCGTTAAAGCCCCCCACGTCACCGCACGCTATTGGCTGGTTTAAGCCCTGCCCCCTCTTATCAAGCCCCGCCTACCAACCCCTCGCCACCTCGTCTAGTCCACGCCCCCCCTCGTTTCCCCCCCCCTCCACGCCACCGCCGCGCAAACCGGGGCGTTGCTACGGGTGACGTCACCGCACAACCTCACGGCTCGTGCTAATTGGGCGTCGCCCGCTATGACGTGTGGCGGTGACGTCACCCTAACGACCCTCCAGCCTAATGGGCGGTGTCGGAAGGGTGACGTCATGCCCGGCGGCGGAGGCGGCACCGCGAGGTGGGGGGGTGATTGAGTGCCTCGCCGGCGTGACGTCATGAGGGCGGGGCTACGTTGGGGGGGCGGGGCTACTGGGCGTGGCTCCACGGGGGGCGGGGGGCTGCCCAGCACGTGGTGCTTAGTGCACAAGGCGTGGACACTGTCATCCTCTTCATTAGCGGAGTTGTTTGGTGGCCGTGAGATGCTCCCGGTGATGTTGCCGCTGCTGTAAGTCGCGTTATAGGCGTGTTCCCTCCCCGCTGCATGCATTCTTCTACTCGTCGTCGTTTCCCTCGCCAAGGACGGCTCAGGTTGTATCTTCTACAGAGAGGCTACTGCCGCTGGTACACGCTGGACGATCCTGCTTTGTCGGGTTCGAGATTGAATCGTGGCTTCAGTGGTGGTGGCGTCGGTCATGGATTTAAAGGCTCCACCACCTTGGTGTCCTCGGGAGGCGCGCGTTGGGTTGGCTGCTGCTGCTGCTGAGCCCATGGAGCCAAAGGATGTGACCACTGCTGTTGCCTTAGTGGCACAAAGTACTGATTGAAGCAGTCGCCTACTACAAAGAACGGAGTTGTTAGTGCTGTGCAAGACTGCGTCTCCTACCCCGGTCGGCGAACTGACCCAGGCGTGCAGAGAAAGGCAATGTGGATGTGAACTTGAAATTGCGACAGGGATTTACTGGCGAAACCAACTGGACCGCGACGAGGACTCGTAAGGCTTTGAAAGGCTGAACTTGTTTTGTGATGACAGTCTTGTTTTTAGTGTCCGGCGCGACAGTGTTTACGCGTGGTGGTCACGAATAAAAGCGTTCGCCTTGCTTGCTTGCTGTGATGTGCCGCTTCGATGGCCCTGCTGCCTGAGGATTGTTAGGGGGTGTGTGTGCGCGCACACGGGTTTAAAGGTTTAAATTTTACATTCTGTTAAGTCAATCATCTTCCACGACCGTCATCCCCCTGCGGTCGCTATTCAGAGCCGCGCCCGTCCTGTGCAGACAGCCAAAGGCGTTAACAGTGGCGGGTGACGATGCCCAGTTTGTGTTTGAGCATAGGAAGTTGAATGTTAACGGCACACGCCCGGGTTACTCAGACACGTCCAACGCAGCCAGGCAGGGCGAAGCTAATTTACTTACCGATGGATCGACAAACCTCAAAGGATTTGTCCTATAAGACGTCCCTCAAAGTAAACACGTTTTACATAGGTGACGTTCCGGGCAATGGCCCTTCTTCCAGAGCAGAAAGGGACATTGGCCAACACAACAGTATTGACGAATGAGCACTTTGTTTTCTCATTGTGCTTCTGCACCACTGCTAATGTAGCGTCACAAAACGAGGTTTGTTTAACAGGTAAAAATAAGATGTTCGCTTTAAAAACAATCTAGGTCAAGTAACTAAATTTAGACAGTACCCAGGAGAACACGTTTGTTAATTAAACACGATAATCACTCTTAATGCGTTTAACACGTAGGCTTTCGCGACCAATAACACTGGTCAACAAACAAAAATGCTTTTCTGGCCTGGACTTTTGCAGCTGTTTTAGACTAATTTCAGGGTGCTGATTCCAAATCTGATCTCAGATTTGCTCTATCACATCTAATTTTTATGCTATCGGCATACCCCATTTTCATTGATTTTACCCGAAATTAACTCTGTCACTTATGATTGCAAGTTGTTGCGAGTCAGTGACTGCTTTAGTGTTAAAATATGGTGCTGTATTTTTAGGATAGTGTGTTTATAATATCATTTTATGTAGATATCCACATTTATTTAATATTTTCTTCTGCAGTTTTTATTGAAAATGCAATATTTGGTATCTCAAAAACCTGATGTGATGGACAAAAACTGATGCCAGATTTGGAATCGGTACCCCATAATTACCTTAAAACCGTTGGAATACCTTATGCCAGAAAAAGTGTGTTGACCAGTGTAATCATAAAGTTGTTTAGGTTCGATCGCATTAAATCTAAATGTCGTTAAACCCGCTACCACCCGACACAGCCAATTAGTAAGGTTTTTTCACGTAAATAAAACGTGGCAATTAGTTACTACTTCAGCACATCTGCGTGTTGGAGAGTAGACCCACACGATTTACTGCCAGCACTGCCCCTGGCTTTATAAATTAGTACTCAAAGTGTAAATGTTGTGGGTTTACTCTCCAACACACCGGTGTGCTGAAGTAATACATTGGAACGTTCTGTTTATGTGACGCCTTACTGATTAGCTGTGTCGGGCGGTGGTGGGTTAACGACACATTTTATATTTACGTGACCTCACCAAAAACAAACCCCTTTATTATGGACATCGAATTATATAACGAACATGATAATGTATAGCGCATTAACAGCTGGGGTTGGGGGGTAGTTGACGAGATTCGAACAAATTACCTGAAATTGTGGGGGAAAAAAAATTTCGTGAAAAGAAGCGAACCAACACACGGGATACACAGAACTCTGAAAATATTCGGAGGAAAATGAGAAATCGCAATAACCACTGAAGACGCCATAAGAAATGGGAATATTAAAAAATAACTCTTCGACATTCGTCCATGACACTGTGGCTTTAAAAATAACCAACAATAGGCGACGTTTCGGGCAATGCCCCTTGTGCTATGAAGGGCCACTGGCCCAAACGTCGCACGTATATTTGTTTATTTTAAGGCCGCAGTGTTATTGAAGGATGTTGTAGAGTTTGTAAATTGTGCTTGTGCGCCACTGCCAACGCAACTGCATCACCGAATAACGTTAACATGGAACGTAGAATACGCAGGTTAATGGCCAAATATAACGCGATTGAGATAGAACGGTCAAATCAGTTGTGGAATTTTATGCATATCTCACAATTTTTTTTATATATTCAACGAATCGAACTGTTTCTCAGATGAAGTTCCTGCTGTCACTTGCAGCCAGCACTGCCATTGACTAGATGGTACAAAAGTACATCATAACAAACAATAGGAACCGGTTGTGAAATGTGAACGTTGAGATTAAATAGCTCGATCGTGAAATGATGCCTCAATTATTCTTCCATTCAAAAACGAGTAATACAACAATTGCAGACCTATTCCCCTCTTTATCGCATTTCCTGCAGAGTACTTTATAAATTGACCTTGCGATTATAACCGAATGTCTAAATGCCAGCGAATCACATGAGCAAGCTCGTTTTTACGAAATGTTTCTGTACCATGGATTATATGCATATGTAGTGACATCGCTGGATACCACAATGTTGTGGGTGTAGTACCGGCCCTAGAGGGGCACGCTCTGCGCTAAATAATAGCGCTGGATGGCACCACGATTGAAGTGCAGTGCCGACCCTACAGGACAGGGTGTGTGGGTGCCGACCGAAGGATGAGGTTGTGTGAGGCCATGGCACTCTGGTTGACCCGGGAGGACAAGTGACTGATTAAGTTGACAGAGGGGCCCCAAGAGGGGGCTAGGGGGGGTCACGTGATTGGGACCCAGATCCTTCCCGAGGATTCTGGAAGGTGGATGTGGCCAAGGGCGGAGCTGGCCACTCCACAGAGAATATAAGCCGGGTCCCAAGAGGGACCAGGAGTTGTTGTTCATCCTGGAAGAAACCCTTCGTCTACCATCTCCGTTCAACAAGTCTCCAACACGTGGACCCGGGCCGAAGTCGTTGGTCCCAATCCGTAGTAACTAGTGTAGTAACTAGTGTAGTAACTAGTGTAGTTAGCCGGGTGGTCACCACCTTAGGTTGTTATTCTGTTAAGGGGAAGTTACCCCGTGTGTTGGAACTGAATAAATGTGTTGCCTCCAAAGTCTACATCTGCGACTCAGTTGAACCCATTACACATATATCTTCTATCTATCCCAGTGTTCTTCATTGCAAGGCCCGCGGGTCACTGGCGGCCCCTCGTGGCCTTTAGTGGGGCCCCTGGTGGTCTTTAGTGCGGCCTCTGACGTGCGGCCCCCCCGACAATACCCATGTGAAAACACCCCCCCATCATCGCACTGTCAAACCCAACAATGGTTTCAAATGTGTGGCGGCTCTCACACACTGATGTCTTATTGGTGAAAGTGCCCCCCCCCCTCTGAAAATGAGTGAAGAACACTGCTCATTATATCATTTAGTGTTCTGTGGTGTGCCGGCATTTGTTCCCAGCGTTGTGATTGGCTGGAGGTAAATTCGTTGCCCCTCCCCCACCTCTTCACGTTAAGACATCAGAAGGGGGGGGGGCAATGGAAGGGGCGGTCCGGTGCACGGGCGCGGTGCAACAGGTACATTTGTGAAAGAAAGTTTCGTAGCTCATCGGATTCCTCCAGTCTCAAGATTCTGATATCCAAATGAGCGCAAACCTCCCATCAGTCACGTGACTTCGGTGTGGCCACTCCCACTGTGAAAACAGACACTCTTCCGTGCAAGAGCATCGATGCCCTTATGCAGGAAATGTTTGAATTTTTTTTATTAAAAAACATTCTGTCAAGTGAAGCTCAAGATAAATTAGTACAAGTGTCACGTGGATTTGACCCAGCCCTATTGGACATCTGTGAAAAAGAGCTTCATAGCTCATCGGATTCCTCCAGCGTAAATACAATGTTGATTATGATTTTAAGACACCTGTCTTCATAACCCATCAGTGTATATCTAGTGCAGTAATCGAAGGCGTACCGGGATCAGGGTGCTGCGGTGGCAACATGTAAACTACCGAGCCTGGTATATAAGAGGGCATGGGTTCGATTCTGACCTTGAGGGCCTGTATATTTGGAGTTCGCATGATCTCTCCAGGTCTTATAGTTTTTACCCTCCACTTTTAGAAACATGCGTTTACAGTGTTTGGTTGCTATTAATTCCCACATGAGAAGCCACTTCGTGGAGAAATTATTTCTGGTCAAGTCGCTTCTGGAAAAGAGCTATATAGTTCAGTGAGCCTTACTTGGGGAAAAAAAATTGAAAGGAGCAGATGAGAGGACGTCGCTTTGGGAAATCTATTCTTCATAAATAAATGCAAACATCGCCTAAAAAAAGTGTCCAGTTGATGTCATTAATAAACGTGGATATAAAAAATGCAATAAAAAGGTAAAATGCACAAAGAAGCATGGAGAGATGCATTCTTGGGACTACACTGAGAGAGGAAGAGGAACACGTGATGATAGAACATGTGCAATTTAGACGCATTGACTGCTAAGAAAGGCAAAGTGGTTTGGGCAGGACGCTTCACGAGATGAGATTTTGGCCAGTGGTTGCGAGACACGAGAGAGTGGGAGAAGGGAACACGCCCAAGGGCATCCACCAGATATCGAGCGATTAAATCAGCTTGAGTACAGGAGCCAGATGGATTTTTGCATGGGGAGGCCTCATACAATAGTGGATAAATCATAGCTGATGGTAACAGGCGCCAAAAAATCGTATGGAAAAGCAGAAACGCGGTGAGCCAGTTCTAAATCAACCCCATAAACTCTACGGTCCTCACATTAATTGCTATCAGCGAATTAATGTGCACCTCCGTTTAACGCGGTTGGCTTCGTGCAGTGCAAAATAAGTTCAACATATACACCAATGTGGGAGGAAATCTGGAGAAAACTCAAACGGTGTGAAGTTGTAACACTATCTCTTACAGATGGAACAGGTGGGGTCCACATTTTACTGTACCGCATTCTCCTGGCAAGCCAGGGTAAAGGGACCTTGACGCCCACGAGATGGGAGTTTCACAACACGTGTGTGATCCACCAATTCGCCTCCGCAGTGCTCAATGTACAGGCCATGTGCATAGCCACCCCATGAATTGTTATAAGACATGACTGACATGATGGCACACATCTTAATGCAATCACGTCTCATAACTTATTCATTATGGCAGTCAGGAATTGGTTTTAAAGCCAATTTTACTTTCAATAATTTTTTTTTTGCAGTGTGCATGCAGAAAAAAAGCTAAAACGCTACAAAAAAACTCAATATAATATCCGCTATACCGTCTCAATTGTGCTTCGCTGTATGATGCACCTTAAGGGAATGCGATAAGTAAATGCATAATTGAAAGCAGTAAAATACAATTGTATGTATCCAATGCAGGATCTACGATTTTCCTGTACTATTTTTTCATGATGATACAAGACTAACATGTAATGCACATGTCCAAGCCTTTGTCAAGCCACTACTGACTGAGGGCCTCCCCACACCGTGTGGGTCGTTGGGGTTATTAGACCACACTGCACGGCAACGTTGCATCTATACTCTCACACTATTTCAAACAAGACCTGTAATGTTGGTTCAAATGCATTTTTATTTAATTTTCAAACAAGCAGACGGGTATGAATATTTACAGCTTCAATTGATAAAACGGCTCTCACGGACAAACTGCTTAACCACATCCTCAAATCGTTCATCCACGCGAGCACAGCGGTGTCACCACTTAACCATACCGAATCCCAATCAGGTTTTTCTCTTTATTTGCCAAGGACACGCTGCTCCTGACCAGCTGCAATTATTTTTACACTGGCTTGTTTATCGGTTGGATTGCCATCTAACCTATAAAACACCTTGTTGCTTTGTAACACGGGAACGCGGGGAGCATTGGTCGATGAAGCCGTGCGTGGCCGATAAGACTAACTGAAGTCAAAACCAATCCCAGGTAGCTTTGTTGATAAAGTTGCTCCTGGAAAACATGAATGTTCAAGCCCACAGGGCCAAGGTTTTCAATGCCCCTTCAGCAATTTCACACAAACCTGCTTCTCTCATTGTACAGTAGAACGCGTACAACATATACCCCAGAGGTGAGGCTTGTTGACCTGTCAGCTTCTGAAGACACACGCACAATGACCATGCTGTTTGCCTGACTGCGCATTGCTGGGTGTATGAACACGCAACCTGGATTCTAAAGAACAGCTTCTGGGCCCAAGAAAGCGGGCACTCGGTCACACTCGAGCGAGTGCCACTCACGCCTCATCGATATTGTGTTGCTGAGGCTCAGAGGCAGTGGAGCCGTGCACGAAAGGACGATTGCCACACGAGAAGCCGGACTTTTGTTTCTGAAGGGTCGGCAGGTTGTTGACTGCCGTTGAGCTGTTGGCATACCCATTTATACAACTTTATTATTCCGACACTATGCTACCCCACCGCGCCTCTTTCCCCCAATTGCATTTCAATTGTGCTGCACGCCGAGAGCTGTCCACTTGGAACTCTTACAGCGAGTCACGTCGGAGAACGCCTTGTGTGTCGCTGAACTACTTCTGAAAACCCTTCGGTCGACTTCTATGCAAATGCTATACGTCCCTAAAAAGAGCGCTCGTATCAAGGCAATGGCATTTGATGTTATTTAACTCTCGAAGCTGCTGTAATCCGAAGAAAAAAACTAATCATTAGGTTATTTTGTGCATTCAATGGCGACTAGCACCATGCCCATACACTAGATACACTTGAGAACACGGTTATCATCACACAAGTGACTGCCTGGATTTGAATCAACGATCGAGGCAGTGCTGGTTAAGTGCTCTCAAAATCGCATTAGCCCACTGAACTATCTGACCACCTCATCGTTTTTAAGAAAAAATATTTCGTAACAAACGTTCCACACTGTAGAATGCCACGCACGGCAGGTGGTGTGGGTGTAGATTACTATGAGATCTAATGAATTTCCATTATTAGGGGCAATCGGGACAGTTCAACCGTAATATATTACTGCCCGCACAAATTGTGCTTGGTCTGCTGCATTGGGAACAACACTCCTCACAAACTAGAGCCCATCGTATAACAAGTTAGGAAAAAAAATCATGCATACGCATGGATTCTGTACTACACTTTCTAACATGCGTTTCATCTCAGAAATATTTAATTAACAGTACGAAAGCCAATGGTTAGCTGTCAGGGTAAAATATGTTGACATAGTTCCAACAAGTCAGATTAAAATACATTTGCATCTGAATAAGTTTGTGTCTCCAAGTTTTAAGCAACAAATTTTGACCAATACGGTAAGTCCAGTCTTTAATAAGTCTCTAAGAACAACACACGTTTAAAATGTACGTGTTCAAATTGGATCTTTACTAGAGTCATAGTGACCCTCTGTTATGGATGGCTGGACAGTGGACAGATAATGCATAAACTCTTTCAATCTTAGTTGGAGAGCAGTCAAGAGGAATGAGCCCAGCCTGAATGCTTGTATAATGAACCCAATGTCTTCTCCTGCCAATGATAATCCTTCTTATCAACTGACAAACACACATGCAGGCCCAGGTTCAGACAACGGTACCTGGCCAACCGGGCATTTCCCAATAAGCCAGTCCCAGAGTTGGGCCATCACACACTTGACCGAAACTTAAACCTCAATTTCATAATAAGTTCTGTGCCAACTAGCTCAGTGGCCAGCACATTGATCGTTAGGTTTAACTGAAGCCAAAAATATCTTTACCTGAAAACTGCAACTTAATCGCAACCTCCACAGAAAGATGTTTGGGTTGAACCATTCACGTGGTCAACAAATGGAGGGCACTTGCTACTTTAATGACGACGGTGTAACGCGTGTTCACCCAAGGGCAACGAGCCGGAAATGAAATTGACGTGTGGCACCAGTCATTTTCATAAAGACTGTTTTTACATAATCTGTTTTCATGCGAGTGTATGACACTCAATAAGCAGACCGGCTTTCCCAACTTGTAACGTCAGTGTCGGGTGGTGTAATCACAAGTGTATGACACTCACAATGCGACCAGCACTCCCAGCTTGGAAATGCCGATAGATCGATATAAGCATTACGCATACGAGGCTCGATAAGGGTTTTTTTCCCCCAGCTTGTTAATGCCCGTGGAATAGGTGAACGTGTAGCATGCATGATGACTGAAACTCATTGAATGTAATGGCTTGGCCAGCTTGCTGTGTTGAATCTGGGACCATGGTAAATGCAGGTGTTAAAGGCTCTATAGACCAATCGGCTTGCATGGATTGTTTTGATGAGTTTCCAGGATCATTAGACATCCTCAGAGGTGGCTACGTTTTTAAAACAAAATCTACTTTTATTGTGGAGCACAGACGTGGCACTGAGTAGCCAGGCACGCCATAGCTTTTCCTAACTTTCCAAGCATGCTTTTGTTATCGTGATGGTATGTTGTATTAAAAAAAGAGTCGCATGGATTTCTAATGGCCTTCATTGCCACCTGTTGACAGAATGATGAAGTCACTTCTTGGGCCGTTCCAGGATATTGAGAAACTTCCCCCGTGTCATCTCTCGCGCTGCTTGCACAAACACACAAAAAGACACAAAAGAAATACCCACGTTTAGCTGCTGGAGTGGGTGCTGTTAATGATCATCACAGACACTTAAGCATTATTGCAGGCACAAGCTCACCAGGTCTGTCAATTGTCAGACACACAGCTGGCTCAGCGGGTTTTTTTTGCTGCGCTTTGAGATGGGCTTCAACAACAACAGATCGATCTCAGTAATCTCCCAACGCAGTGCCACGTAGGGTCAATGGACATTAGTGATTGCTTTGCTTTGTTCATCAGGGCTCAGCTGGTCTCCATCCACAGCTCCCTCAACTCCTTACCTGCATCTATCAGCCCCATTCAACCTCGACAGTTAACCCCACTGACCCAAAAGGAGATGAAAGAGTTGTGCTCACTTATCTGAACACAGCAAAATCACGATATTTCCATTGGCCCCGTGACATAAACAACCAACTGTGGCCCCCAAAGTAGGTTTGTGTAAAAACTACTTTTCCCCCCCTCTACATTTAAGAGATATACAGTGGTGAGATATTTTCTGTGGTATTTTTAAAATCCATGTTTGAGATCAAGCTACTGAAACGAATCATGTTATCCTGTATTGATGATAACTTTGGCGAGTTTTGGCAATAGTAAGCAGCAATAAAATATAACACCGTAAAATGTTGATATGTCATTATCTTTACGTATTTGTTTCTTCCAACAGTCAGCAAGCTGGTGCTGGACATTGTATAACTATGCCATACATATATAAGCAAATCTCTGAGTTACAGGACTAATTTTGAGGAGCCATCCCTGCTTGGGATAATGTAATCATTTTCCTGTTTGCGTTTTTGCTTGAGAAGATATTGGAATGCCTGGAGAAAAGCCACAGTTACAATGGAAGAACACTAACACTCCACATCCAGACCAGACATCCACTTAAAAAACTACAACTATTTTCATTTTACCAGGTAATGCCCACTGAGCTATATCGCTCTTTTTCAGAAGCAATCTGGCCACAAATTATAGCCCAAATAAGTGGCTTATTGTATGGAAATTTATAGCAGCCAAATACTCTAAAAGCATGTTTCTAAATGTGGAGGGAAAAACCAGAGGACCCGGAGAAATATTCCCACTACCACGGGGAGAACTCCAAATATACAGGCGTCAGCAATGGGATCAAACCCACAACCTCCTTACTCACAATCTCCTGTATACCAGGCGAGGTGGTTAAGATCGTTGCACTGTGCTGCCCTTGCTGTGCTCCCTCATTTAAGCACCAACCTTTTGGCTTTTACAGAAAAAAATAACATTCTTCGTTGGCAGTGGTGCACATGCACAAATAGCAATAACTCAACACATTCTTCAATACCCCTGCCCTAAAAGGAAAACATAATAAGTAACATCTTGGGGAATGACCCTTATTCATTGCCCAGAATGTTTAGGGCAGTCACACTGACAAAGGTGTTTAGTTTTTGTTGGCTTGTAGGTTGCAAGTCTCATGCGCGAGGTCGTTCCATTTGTAAATGATCCACCACCCCAACCTGTTGTGACTTTCTAACCCGCCCCTACTGGAGACACTGTAATACACCACCACCACCACCTGCTGAGAATGTTAAGCACATACCACCTCCTTCAATCTCTATACTAAAGGATGTCCACTCCTTTATGTTGTTGGGAAGGCCTTGGTCACTGTATCAGTAGTGTCAGTAGTTCCGTACACTAACCACGACACTGCCGCCTCCTGGCTATGATGCACATCACTGGAAAGTAATTATCATGCCATTTAACTATGAAAGGCTCACAGTCTTTCAAGGCAAATTCCATTTTCAAGAATGTCCTGCTTGTGTGAGAAAAGTGAAGTACCCAGAGAAAACCCACCCAGTACACAAGGTTTTAACACAAGAGAGGTCTGTGTAGGCAACACTAAAACTAAACTATAACATATTTTTAATTTTACCAGGTAAGGCCCATTGAGATGGATAGCTATTTTTTCAGAAGCGACCTGGCGATAAATGATGGCTAAAGGAAGTGGCTTACCACGTGGAAATTTATTGCAGCCAAATACTCTACACACGTTTCTAAATGTGGAGGGAAACCCGGAGGACCTGGAGAAAAATCCACGCGACCACGGGGAGAACATGCAAACTCCAAAAATATACAGCAGGCATCAGGGTCGGGATCGAACCCCTGACCTCCTGTATACCAGGCGAGGTGGTTAACATCTCGCCACGACGGTGCCCCTACTTCGTGCACTCACGCCTTTAAGCCACCTTGCAGCCCAGCAAGTTTGGGATGTTTGCCTCGAAAGCGTTTGATTACAAGCGTGTGCCACTCTATGAACAAGGCCTGAGCCTCCCCTAGCTTGACTTGGCCTAAAATAGGTAACTGGGGCTCTAGTAGTGTGGTTAAAAACATGAGAAATAACAGAGATAAAGGTAGCTGGACATGCAGTGGCTACTATATCACGTTCCTCTACATTGTCATGCCAATCTCAACACATGCTTGCCAATCAAGGGGTAACAGTGCCTTGATCAAATTCGTTATTCACACTCATGATGATATGCGTAGAATCACGAGTGTAAGAACTGTTTCGATAGTTTTTTTTAATTAGTTCATGAAAACTTTGCAGCCTGTTTATGATACTTGTGCCAAACGCATTCATGAATTAAATCGTGACCTCAAACATCAAGGTGTTAATCGTGGAAGGAGTAAATTGTTAAGCCCCTTACGTGCCTCATGGATTGGTTGGGTAAAGGCTGTTAGTGAGCATCTGTTCAGGCTGGCATGGCGCCCAAGGTAGCGTGCCCAGCACCACACTGCCTTTTTCACCAGTCATAATGTTTACACACAGCACCAAGTAACTAATTGAAGGCTCAGCTGATCTAGAAGAGGCTCAGGAATGGTTCAGATATACAACCCCGACGTTGGCTCCAAGAGCATCTTTGGTTCTTTCGGTAAAGTCACGTAGAAAATAAAATAATAATAGAATAAGACGTTTCGGTTGCAACACAAGCAACCATCATCATCTTAATTTTACAAAATTTGCTTTCTCAAACTTTCGATTTTCTTGCTCTAAACCATTGTCTCTCCTCCGGCCACTGCGGTCCGGAATTCCACACTGCTCCACTCTTTTGTCCTCCGCAGTCCTCTCTCTGCCCCGGCCCCTCCCCCCCTCTCTCTATTTAAGGCCTCGGCACAGAGTCGGTGTCCTTCTGTTTGGCTCCGAGAGGTTAAATGCAGCGCTTACACTCGTCGAGGCCCAGCTGGTAGGCCAGGTTCTGCAGCCCTCGCACCTTCTCCATGAGGTTGGCCATGGTGAGACTCCCAAACTCTGCAGGCATAAACAGGGCCACACAGGTGAGCAGCTGCCCGGTAGCACGGGGCTCAAGGTGACAGGTTGCCGAAGAGGTAATTATAATAATACTTTCGTTTTGTATAGCGTCATTCATGCTAATAGTGTCTCATAACGCCGTACGTTAATTATATGCAAGGACCACAATCGCATTTGCAGCCACTACCAAGCAAATTAAAAACCCTACTAGCAAATAAAATAAAAAATGAATAAACAAATTAAGAAATAGCGCAAAAACAAAAAAGCACAAACAACTAAAAAAATAATTACAACAAAGAAGTGCGCAGAGAACGTTGACTCGTGGGAGCGTATGCGAGACAGCGCAAAGCAACCGTCTAAAATCCTTCCGCTTGTTCCTTCCTTGAGATGCGGGCACATTCAGCTGCTCCACCAAGGCTAAGCTATAGTGTTAGAGTACAGGTGATGGTGGTCGAGGCGTTTGAAATAATTTTGCCAGTTACTAAAATAGATTTTACGTGGTTATGATTCAGAGGAATTGGCGACAAATAAGTTGATTTCGATTTCTGTCACAGAGAACAGTTTAACAAAATATCACGGTGAAACTAGCAGCGTCAAGACATCCAACACAACCCTCAACCCATTCAAAACAAAGCCACCGTCTCGTTATGGTGCCAAAGTTTGTTTCACAAAGTATCCGTTAATTTCAGTGTTGATTTGAAGCTTTCGTGACTGCAGGAATTCATACTCTCTGGTTCTTTCGGTAAAGTCACGTAGATAGAAAAAATAACAAAAGAAAACACGACGTTTCGGTCGCAACACAAGCGTCCGTCTTCAGGTGAGAAAACTATCTGCTGTTGTGGCTTTATATAGGCACGGGAGGGGGGGAAGGGGGGGGAGTTTTGTCAAGTCGTGGCTGCAGGAGTTCACGGGGGAGAGGGTTTGTATCGTGCAGGGATGGGTGGGGGCTGGCACAGGGAGGAGAGGGGGGAGGGTTTGTGGCGTGCAGGGACGAGAAATTAGCATGTCAATGAGCTTGAATTAGTAACCGGAAACCAAGACGACACGGGTGGGTGAGTGTTGGTTCTGCCGTGTTTCAAATCCGCTTTGTGTTCGCGAACCCGGTCTGAGACATGTCCAACACTTTGACGGTGGCGACTCATTGTTTCAACGCTGTGGGCACACGTGACATTGTTTTCTCCGAGACCAAGGTGCTCTGCAAACCCTCGGGCCACCATCAGAGATTTGTTCATGAAGCGATCCAGAGAAACAAACACAGACAAAACTTTAATCGAGAAGATGGATTCAGATTGAGCAATCATTGTAAGGACATGATAAACCACGTCAAGTTTTAACTACTATGATTTTCACTCACCCACCCGTGTCGTTTTGGTTTCCGGTTACTAATTCAAGCTCATTGACATGCTAATTTCTCCAGCCCCACCCGTCCCTGCACGATACAAACCCTCCTCCCCTCTCCCCCGTGAACTCCTGCAGCCACGACTCCTATATAAAGCCACAGCAGCAGATCATTTTCTCACTTGAAGACAGACGCTTGTGTTGCGACCAAAACGTCGTGTTTTCTTTTGTTATTTTTTCAATCTACGTGACTTTACCAAAAGAACCAAACAGTATCTGTTAATTTCCCTGAATCCTCTATTTAATAATGCTACACAGTTATAAGAAAATATTCCATTTAAAATGTAAATGCTATTGTTGGGAAAAACTCCATTCCTTGGAGCACCACTTACCTCCCACATTCTGGGTTTATAGTTTAACAAATTAACAGAATCTTGCAGCATTTAAAAAAGACTTAGTCCCAAATGTTTGTGTTTGTAGAAACCACATTTCTGCTCTCAACAAACACGCAAGTCAGTAAATTTGTACATTTGAAAATTTTTTTCGCCCATTTCCAAATATCAACAGAAACAGCCCATCCAACAACAAATAAAAAAACTCTACATTTCTGGCCTCTATGTGCTGTTATTGTGCCGTGTGATTGTCACCTATGATATAATCTTTCCTTTTAAGGCCACAGTTTTATTAACAAATGTGTTGCATTCTTTTTATTATCTGTGCTTGTACACCACTTACCAATGCACGGATATCTTTAAATAATTTGCTTAGCGCATGAAACAGGCCCTTCACACAAATTTAAATGAGCAATATTGGTTCAAGCGAAGGGTGGCATTATTATGGAGGGGCATGGCTCGTAATTTGTGAAATACCGCAGTGATCGATGACTGGCTGTTATTCATGACCAATAGTCCTTGTTAGCTGCGGGCTGTGGACATTAATAAAACTAACGCGCATTGCAATCCCAGGTCACCTTGCAGCATGTCCAGGTCGTCCTTCTCGAGGTCAGCCATCCATTTCGGAGGGGAACTTGCGATGGGCTGCACTCGTCCACGTACGCACACACACACACAGCCAACAAGAGGCACTTTTGCCGATCACGCAGGCCTGATCGCAAACCCCACAAATTTGTTTTTTAAACTTATATCTTTTAGAACTGATTTTGTGTTTAGTTTGCCGTCCTTTGCCCGCATCTCCGATTAGCACGGTTGGCTACATACGGTGCGAAAGGGTAACATACACACATACGCCGCACAGAGCTTGGCCGGCCAAAGTGTGACGCTCGTCAACCCAACCACGTCTTCCTATAATACACGCAGTTCTCACTTACGGTCTTCTGCCAGAGACAAAAGGCAACGTAGGCAATTCTGATATTAAATGTTTACAAACTTCCACGTGTTGTCAAATGCATTTCGAATTTTAGGTGTTTTTTAAATCTGTGGATTGAAACTCAAATGTCACCGCTCAGAACAAGCATCTCCAATGGCAGCGCTGAGCCAGAGGAGTAAACTCCACATTTCATTGGAAGGGATCAGTTTATCCGTAGGACAACCATTGTTATCTTTCCACCGAGGCAATAACTTCATCAGCCTTAGACTGATGAGAGTCCGAGCCAACCCTTGACCGAGATTTGAACTCCTTACCTCGTTTTTAAGTGAACATCTTTAACCACAGCGCCACCTGGCTAAATGATGCAGTTGTAACTCAGGAAAAATATAACTGCTCTAAACAGGGATCATCACCTAACATATGAAATGTATACATACGTAGTAAATGTTTCTGATATATGATGATGGTGCCGAGGTGTTATTTCTTCATCCTTTACTGAGAACTCATACTTACGCTTTTAAACGAAGCCGCAAACTCCGCCACACCAGGAACTAAAGGGTTAGGTACACACGCACAGCCACGCACGTACATGAGCACACACACAACCACGTATGAATGCAACACCAAGACAAAGATCCCCCCTATAGCCTTTAACAAAATGGTGGGCAAGTGCTGTTAGCGAGCAACTATTAAGGCAGGCATGGGACACGACGGGGTGAGTGGCCAGCACCACGCACGGCCACATCTGTCTCCCCAATGCTGATGCTTACACACCGCAGCATGTTCTCATTTAAGGCTGAGTTGATCTCAGGGAGACTCAGGACTGGTTACTATATTCATCACTGATATTGGCTGTGAGCAGGAATCGAACTCGGGTCACCAGATTCTTAGTGCAGCACGCTAACCAAGACACGACCGCTCCCCACAATATGAATGCAACACCACACACACAATTGGGATCTACGGATGAAGTGTGCATTACAAATACCAATTGTTATTACAAGAGGACACATGAGCAGAAGCACAAACACACGTACACCATTCAATACAAGCACACAAAACGCATGCACAGAAGCAGCCACATGAGCACACAAGGGGACAAACGCGCATGTGCACACACACACGTACGCATATAAAGTAAAACCTGGGATTGCGAGTAACTTGGTCTGCGAGTGTTTTGCAAGACGAGCAATTTTTTTTATTAAATATTAATTTGATAAACGAGCGAGGTCTTGCATTACGAGTAGTACATGTATACGCTTTGTCTGCCGAGCGTCACGTGATCACAACTGATATACGAGTGCTTTGGATTACAAACACGTTTCCGGAACGAATTCTGCTCGCAATCCAATGTTTTACTGTACATGTATGCATGCTCAAACATCAACACACACACATCCAAGTATACATAAACTAGTACAAAGACCCTCTGTAAAGCCTTAACAGACTGTTGGGGCAAGTACTGTTAGCGAGCACCTATGAAGGCTACCGGCACGCAAGGAGGTGGGTGGCCAACATCACGCCCAGCCGCCTTTGTCTCCCTCATGGCGATGTTTACACACTGTATTAGGTACTCATTTGAGGCTGAGTCGACCTAGGGAATGCCCAGGACCAGTTTAGATAATCCTTACTGGTGTTGACCGTAAGCGGGAATCTAACTCCGGTCACCGGGTTCGTAGTGCAGTGCACGGACCGCTACACTACCGCTGCCCACAAGTATACATACACAAGCACACGTAAATGTCGACATAATTATATGCACACAAAAGCACACGTACAACAAAATTACAGATGAACGGAAACACATACGCACACAGAAAACACAAGCAAGTACACAGAGTGGCAGTGTGATTGCACACTTGCTCATTGCACAATCCCCCTCCCCAGCAGTTCTAAACTGCACAGACGTTCGAGAACCATGGCAAAACGCAACTGTGGCATCCAAGTGTGAATGTGGAAACCTTCACAATTCACAACACAAGCGGCACCACTTCATAGCCGTCAACCCATATGGTTTAGCGGTATTCTTGTACAAAGAAATTGAGTTTTCAGATCAATAGTGTACAGCCATTTAAATGCAGGCAATTTTTTTGTCTATTTGTTTGTGTTTCTCCCTTGTGATTGGACTTTGTAGGATGAATGTTGAGATTTATAAGGGTACGGGGTGATCAATAAGGTCTGAATTGGTCTGTAATAAGGTAGGGCACTGATAAGGGGTTGACAGGTATGCCACTTCTTTAGTTCTCTTGAGAGCTTGACACGTGCGCGTCTTTGTGTTTGCCTTACTCTGCTCTGGCCACAGCTCTGGAGATGACCTGTCCAGCTTCTCGAAACTCAACAGCGATTGTTCCATGTCTGCGAAGACACACACACACATGCGACACACGAAACATGAAAAGCAACATACTGTACCAATGTGCCCAAACAACAAAGTTTTTAATCAGTGCGTATTATCTGCTATGATATACGGACCACATCCGTGGATATTAAATAGGAAAACACAGAAATGGTTGTGCAAAGATATAACGGAGAGGAACCTGCTTGGAATTACACGAAGACAGAGAAACATGTATTAGAGAATATAAACTTGTGAAGAACGTAACGTTGACCGTCAAGAAAATAATCAGAACATACATTTATAAGGGAAGAATCCGATGAGCTATAAAAGCTCTTTTTCACAGATGAGCTTGGGCAGGATATGAAACTTGAAGGGCCGGTAGGGTGGTCGAAACTAAACAACGGAGTTGCAGCCAAGGCAGAGAATGCACTTTGAGGGCACATACACTGCAGAGAGCGATGAAATCAACTCGTGTGCAGATGCTTGATGGATTAAACTTCGTAGGCCCGTGAAAGATGGCGATGGCCTGGGCAGGCTTTCATCCAACAGTGGACTGACCAAGGCTGGCTGATTTTTTAAGTTTGAGACTTACATTTCTCTTAAATGAAGTCACGTGAGCACATTATATCATAATAATTGCCAAGCGTGGTCATTGAAATACATTCCAGTAATGTGGTGGCTTGGGAGGTAGAATTGGTGGATGATGCAGAGAAGCAGCGTGCACTAGACTAAAATTGAAATGACTCGTGTAAAATTCAATATGCCAGGTACGTTTAGCAAGTGGGCCAGGTATGTTCATTTGCGAAATGCAGTTTTAATGTTGTGTGTTGAACTTCTTTCGCACCGTACATCGCCAACCGTCTTAATCGGAGGTGTGAGGGGATAGATAACAAAGCTAAACACAAAAAGCAGTCTTAAAGCAATGAGTTTTCAATCGAGATTACTTAAAGATGCATAACTGCCAGTGGCTTCCTAATATGCGAATAGCGTTCCAGACGGCCGCAGGAGCACATCCCAAAGCGCCTTTGTCCGATGGCTAGCCAAAGGCAGCTGCCGTGAGGATTGCTTGGGCTCTCTGGACTATTTTTTTTATTATTACACGCTTTCTATGAACTCACTGTTGTTGTTGTTGTCGTATCCTCAAATCTTGTAACTCAATTTTAACCCACTTCCCAATGTGGTATCGACTGCAAAATTGGTATACAGTATGTCATACTGATGACAATACTATATTCTATCATAAAAAAAAATTAGTTTTTACATGTTATGTTTCGGCTTGGGTCTAATTGTCCATGCTCAACTAACGTTGGCTGTAAATCACCACGGTTCCCTTACGTTGTGGCAAGCTTCGGGGCCACTTCCTGGAGTCGTGGAGTTCTGCCATTACTCGTACGGTACATTTCATTAAAGCGTGTTTTAAAAAAAAAAGTATTTTTAAATATTACTTATTACACGCAGCAAAGGGCAGTATCTCCCTCCTCTCAAGGGTAATGGGGCAGCACCGCCTTCTCTTGGAAGTGGTGGCCACCCTTGGGGTTTGAGTCATCGCCATGACTAACATCGGTGGCAACATCTGAACCCAGTACTTGGGGGACACCGTTTCACCAACCCGCCATAGATCAGCGTGGCGAAGTATGGTCAGATAAAACACGCTCACCTTATCGAATAGTGGAATAGACTGTAATTAATTTCACTTCTTGAGGAATCTCAATGGTGGAAATTCCACATTCCCTTGACGGGAACCAGGGTTAAATGCAACCACTATTTTACAGAGGCACAACAAAATCTTGGTTTTCTCGACCCCGTTAAGGGTTACGATGACCACCACCACCAACTTACCAGGAGTTGAACCACAAACTCTCCCAGAGGAAATAATAATAGGAGTTTTCTCCTTTTTTCTGGCAACAAAACTGAAACCTTTTTACAAGGATTCATGACTGCATTAACCACAATACTTGCAGTCGAAATGCAAACAAAAACACACTATGATAATGTATGCATTGTCCTTGAAACTGATTGGTCCACACCAAGGGACGGCTTTCTTTTGAGCCTCGACCCAATTGGTGCTCGACCAGAGGACGCCAAAAGGCGTACAGCTCAAAGACAATGCCACTATCAAAGTAATGAGGGCTCGGGGTGAGCATCTACATCATTAGACCTCCTTTGCCAGTACCAAAATATAATAATAGGGGTTTTCCCCTTTTTTCTGGCAACAAAACTGAAACCTTTTTACAAGGATTCATGTCTGCATTAACCACAATACTTGCAGTCGAAATGCAAACTAAAACACGCTCTGATAATAGATGCATTGTCCTTGAAACTGATTGGTTTCTCGCAGAGAAAGCCAAAAACAAAAGCCCTCTTGGAGGGGTCCATCCGAGGCCTTTCCTCGAGCCAAGGGGGTCGTCGGCAGGCAATTTGCGGAGCGCCTCTCCCCTTCAACTCACCACGGCAAAGTTGCCCAAAAACTAAAAAAAATATTCTAGATTTGAAGCTTTCGTGACTGCAAGGATTCATACTCTTAGGTTTTTTCGGTAAAGTCACGTTGGTAAAAATAAAAAAATAGAAATAAATTAGAAATAAAATAATTGTATTTCTATTACTTTTATTATTTCTTTTTATTACTTATTTTTACCTACGTGACTTTACCGAAAAAACTATAAAAAAAAGTTTGCGCTAAACGTGGCTGGCGTCAGAACAAACACGGCAAGCAGCGCGATGTTCACCGCAGGCGAGAAATCGATCCGCATTGGAACCACAGCACCGCGAGTCGAGTCTGACCCGAGGGGTCACCCGGGGTCACGGGGTCACTGACCGCTCGGTCGCACATCCGTGAGGCGGCGGCACGCCGTGCGTGACAGAGTTACCTCGAAACCAAAGCCGTCCGCTTCACTAATTAAGCCATCATTGGGTCGCCAATTGCAGCTTGTTGTTGTTGTTGGCGCACAAAGTCCCGCGCCCCCTGCCTTGAACCGACACGCCGCCGTTCAGAATTAAACAACAAAACAAAACCGGCGCTCATAGTTCGGCCGCCGCCGCTGGTGGCGTGGTGAACGCGCGGTCGTGGACGATCGAGAGATCGAGAGAGCGAGCGAAGGAGCGAGGGAGCGAGGGAGCGAGCGAGTGAGGGAGTGATCGAGAAGCGATGGAGGCACCGCGGCGGCGCCGGCGACAATTTGGAATTTACCCGCACTCGAGGCCGCCATCTTGAACAGCGGAGCCACGTGACGCGACGGCGAAGACACGCCCACTCCATACCTATCCAGTGTGGGGTTTACAATAATCCTACCGCCTATCCAGTGTGGGGTTTACAATAATCCTACCGCCTATCCAGTGTGGGGTTTACAATAAGCCTACTGCCTATCCAGTGTGGGGTTTACAATAGCCTCCCACTGCTTATCCAGTGTGGGGTTTGCAATAATCCCACTGCCTATCCAGTGTGGGGTTTACAATAATCCTACCGCCTATCCAGTGTGGTGTTTACAATAGTCCCCACTGCCTATCCAGTGTGGGGTTTACAATAGTCCCCACTGCCTATCCAGTGTGGTGTTTACAATAGTCCCCACTGCCTATCCAGTGTGGGGTTTACAATAGTCCCCACTGCCTATCCAGTGTGGTGTTTACAATAGTCCCCACTGCCTATCCAGTGTGGGGTTTACAATAGTCCCCACTGCCTATCCAGTGTGGTGTTTACAATAGTCCCCACTGCCTATCCAGTGTGGGGTTTACAATAGTCCCCACTGCCTATCCAGTGTGGTGTTTACAATAGTCCCCACTGCCTATCCAGTGTGGGGTTTACAATAGTCCCCACTGCCTATCCAGTGTGGTGTTTACAATAGTCCCCACTGCCTATCCAGTGTGGGGTTTACAATAGTCCCCACTGCCTATCCAGTGTGGGGTTTACAATAATCCTACAACCTATCCAGTGTGGGGTTTACAATAGCCTCACACTGCCTATCCAGTGTGGTGTTTACAATAGTCCCCACTGCCTATCCAGTGTGGGGTTTACAATAGTCCCCACTGCCTATCCAGTGTGGGGTTTACAATAATCCTACAACCTATCCAGTGTGGGGTTTACAATAGCCTCACACTGCCTATCCAGTGTGGTGTTTACAATAGTCCCCACTGCCTATCCAGTGTGGGGTTTACAATAGCCACACTGATTATGTAATACAGGCGTGTCTCGCTTAACGAGCGAGATACGTTCCGCGAAAATTTATCGGGAAGCAAAAACATGTTAAACGATCACCCGTTTTTTTCCGCTGACTCCCACGTTAAAAGATCAGTTATGTTTCAGCCACAAAATGTTCAACTTTTGAAAAACTTGATTAACGTGAGAAAAAAATGTTAAAATAAAGAAAACATAAAATGTAATACCACACGAATAATCATAGCGCTTCCAAGTGCCTGGCATTTGTTGTTTGAAGGGTATTGGATGTTATTGGGTGGAGGGAGCAGCAGGGGCCATGCAGGACCGCTGGTTCAAATATCACTCACCGCTGATGTTAGCCATGGTTCTGAATCAAACCAGGGTTGCTGAATTCATAGCCACAACGCGGAGATGCGAGATGGAGCGTGACTTGGATATCTGTTAAGAATAACTTCTTAGCTAATCGAATTCCTACAGTCTAAAGATTGCGTTTCTATATCCCTGTCCTCACACAACACAGCACAACTGGTAAACAAGAAGCCGTGGGCCGACGTGCGCCCCCTGCTGCCACGGAACGCAGATTGGTCGATCGGGTTCCGCTCGCTAAACGAACATTTTGCTCGGTTTGCGAACAAATGGGTCTAAAATTCAAATTGCTCGTTATTGCGAATTGTCATAAAAATAATGCTCGTTAAGCAAGACGTGCCTGTATCCCTATGGCCTATGCATGGTAGGGTTTATTATATCCCTATTGTCTATGCAGTGTAGGGTGCACAATGCCCATATTTCCTAGAACGTATCGGGTTTGCAATGATCCTGTGTTACCTATGCGGTGCAGGTCAAGATGTAATTCAATTGCCAAAGGTGTTGACGCCCCACACCTCGCCAGTGTTCCACCGTCGGCGAGATCCCACAGCTGCTGCTGCACAGTGGACACACAGCGACCTCCAAGATCTGCCCCAACACAATTGTCCCTCCGAGGTCGTCCTCTTGGTTGCCGGGCTTGTGCAGACAACCACTCCAGTGACTGTCTTTGGTAACAAACCCTCCTCCATCATGCAGACGTCACACCTAGCGCAACCGTTTTACTGGTAGGAACCTCCTGGTTACACCAGCCCACAGGGGATTATTGTGTCCGTCCGTCGTGCAGGGAGGGGCTGGGTGGGGAGGGGAGGGCGGGGTGGGGCTGGTCACCCCGTGGTGCCCTTATAAAACTCAACGTTTAACCGACTCACGCCGGCTTGTGCCCACCCTCACAGTCGGGCATATTTGCGGAATACACTACGCCGCCGTTGACCCTGGCCATTGACCGAGCAACCAAACGTTCCTACCAGCTCCCTCCGCAGGAATGTGTTTGCCTCTCCTCAGCATAAGAGACTACCTCACCTGGTATAGACGAGGTCGTCGGTTCGATCCCGACCCCTATATATTTGGAGTTTGTATGTTGTCCCCGTGGTCGCGTGGATTTTTCTCTGGCTCCTTCCTCCGGTTTTCCCTCCACAATTAGAACATGCGTTTATAGCATTTGGCTGCTATACATTTCCACATACAGTAAGCCACTTCGTTGGGATAACGTGGCCAGGTCACTTCTGAAAAAGAGCTGTTTAGATCTACAGACCAACCTGCCATGTTCCCTTCAGGACTTCTGCTCTGCTCATTCTCTCTTGCTGTAACTTTCCTAGCATCTGTCTCAAGACACCTGTGCTCAAATTCCAGCAACTTACCTTCGAACCGATTGGTTAGCAACCAGCTCTGTTCCACACAGTAATGCAGAGGGCATTCATGCCTCAAATACCATTTTGATTTCTCTATTCAACCAAAACACACAACCAAAACTCAACAGTAACAAAAAAAACATGCATATGCATGTAATCTGCAACGTTTTCAAAACGCGTTTGTCCTTAGGAGCATATAACCAACAACAATATCACTGCACAGCAGGTGAACTCTATTAGTGCTGGCTTTTGTCACCAATTCTTGGCGAATCTTTTGATCAATAGTATTTTTTTTATAGTTAAGCATATAATAGCAAAACTTCATACGTACTAACGTTTAGTTAACATTTATCGTTCTGAGCATTACCATGCTCCATTGTTGCAGTCAGTCATGGAAAAAACAGAGCTTACGCATAAACGGTTTCAACCTTTTATTCCATCTGTTGACACTGAGAAGAGATTCCTGCACAGATGTACATATGCCACGACAGTTGAGTGTACACGCATACATCGGGGTGTCCCTCAATGCACAAGGACAGGAGAGCGAGTGGTAATGCCCCACTTAATTTGTGGCATTCAACGTATTCCATCCATTGTTTATCCATTCAGAGAGAAGGGGGGGGGGAACATACAAACACTTATTCTCAGAAGAAATTTAATAAAACTCATTTCTCTTCAATCTTTTGGATAAAATTATTAATTCAAAATAATTTCAGGTTGACATTCTATAAAATGTCGAGCCAAAAACAACAGACCACCTCTGCCAAGTGCTGTCAATGCCACCACCGCACATCACAGTTGCTTCTTCCCTTCATCCAGAAACCACAGCTGTTGTTCTTTAAGGGAGGCGATGAGTCTCTGATTTTACCGCTTCCCCCCATTGGTCGGTTTCCTTTGGGTGCCACTACAATTAAATTTCACAAATATTTCTGCGAGGCTCAATAAGGGGGTGTGCGCGCATTCAACAGAGCTCCAAAGTGCTTTTCTATTGAACGACCTGTTAGCCCACAGCGCATCACAACGGGAAGCTAACGGTCTGAGGAGCTGCAAGGCTAAGCATAAGGGTCGGCATGTCAAAATCCAGCCAATCGGAGGCACCGTACGTTCGAACTCTGGGTTCACGAACACAACGTGTGTGCGCCCATTGGCGGAGCAGGTGCGTGACGTCACTTGTCATTGCGAGGTGCTCGCCGTCCTAACGCACCGTTCAAATAAGCACGAACCACCAACTTCCATCACGTGGCATTACGGAAAAGCTCTCGACCATTTGAATGCACCCCAGGATACATGGCGAGTTGGCAGCCCCCGCCTGCTTTTACATAACCACGCCTACTCAACCACTGGCCCTGCCCACAGAGTGTGGATTTGCTCTTCATAACATTGTCCATCTACTCCTCTGCCAACCATGCCCACTACTCGGGCATTGTCCTTATAAGTCAAGGAGGAGGCCAGAAAATATTAAACTGGGAATGAATCCCGATTTCCAGAAACTCTTCGGGACAACCGGGACAGCTCTTCTGCAACTGGGACTTGTCCTGAAAAGCTACCAATTTGGAATGTTCGATAGCTTCACACTCCCAATGCCTGTCTTGGTAACCTGCCCTCCTCCATCCTGTACGTGTCCCACCCATCACAACCATATCTTGAACATTACATCTACAATGCCTTCCTGGCACATTCTGGTATATCTAAAGAGGGTAAACATAAATCTTGACTTAAAGCTTTCGTGACTGCAGGAATTCATATTCTTTGGGTCTTTCGGTAAAGTCACGTAGATAGGTTCAAAGATGACGAACGGTTGTGTTGCGATCGAAACGTCGTAGTTTTTGGTTATTTTTTGCTATTTAATTTGAACCTATCTACGTGACTTTACCGAAAGACCCAAAGAATAGGGTAAACATACTTTGTTAGTAACCTGTGCAGGGGTTCGTGGAGACAAATTCTGCATTGCTAAACAACAAATGTAAACGGACCGTGATGAAAATAACGTTAAATAAACAGTGAGCCCGTCGTGACTACCCCCCACTTTTTTGACTAGTGTGGGCAGCAGCTCAAAACAGAGCTGAGCTGCTATGAGACGTCGCATGCAGTCTCGAGTGTGTCGAATCTCAAAAGTAATTTCTTCGGAAATCCCCATCTGAGACTCAATACTTGTATTCAAGCAGATGCTGCTTGATATGTATTTTTTACAAGTGAGAGTTAACCAGAGTACAGTACACCTGGAGAAAACTCCACGCATGGGGAGAGAGAACACTCAATTGTATATACAAATAGGACAGCAGCCTACTTGCTGCACTGCCTCCCGCTGGCCACCTCATATCCCCATAGCAGGGTTGTCCGATGGACGTGATTATATATCTCATCACGACCCACCAACCCTGCCTTTCCAGGCTGTTAGGACAACACTACACACATGAATAAGGCCAGCAAATCGGGGTGGGAAAGCAGAGAAAGTAACGGAGCATTTATTTAAACTATTTTTTTTGCAGTGTGCAGTTTTCACTCTGTGTAAATGCACGCATTAACCGCAGCTCACACAGTGTACTCATGACAGGCCACCTCTCCACGCTTCTGCCTCTGCGCCTGCTGCTGCTGTTGTGGTGTCAGTGGCGGAGAAGGATACCCAGCTCCATCCCCCGCGCTCTTTGCTGCCCCAGTACAGGGTGGGGACGATGCCGACTGATGGAGGAGGGGGCGGCAGCGGTGGCGGTGGTGGCGGCGGCGGCGGGGACGAGGGAGGCGGCGATGTGGCCGTCGCGCTCGCTGGCGCGTTTTTCCGCCGTGACAGGACACCCTCGAATGGGACCTTCTTTCTGACACCGATGCCCGAATCGCAGTCCTCCTCCTCACCTCTCTTCTTCACGTCAGGCGACTTCAGGGGACTCCCCTCGCCGGCGTGCCGCTGCTTGCCCTCGTCGGTGGCCGCCCCTCTTGGCGCCGAGCCTAACCCCCCGACGTCCGGCGCAGTCGTTCCGGCTCGCGCACCGCCAGCGGTGGCGGCAGCGGCAGTGCATGCCGCGCGGCCCTCCTGCGCCGTCGGTCCCCCGAGGCCACCCGGCCGCTGCGGTAGCCTCGCATCGTGGCCGCCGTCATAGTAACACCTCGCCGCGGCAGAGCCCGGCGTCGCGCCAGAGGTGCCAGAGAGCGCCAGGCGCTTGGTCTGCTTGGCCCTGCCGTCGCTACCGTCCGGGGCAGGGAGCGCCGCCGAGCCGTGCCGTCCACCGCCGCCGGCACCATTGACATCGCTCGGCGAGAACTCCCTACTGCCGGCAACGTCTTGCGCGAGCCGCAGCCTCGGCCCACCGACTCCACCTTCGGCGCCAAACCTCACCATCATGCCCCCACCACCGCCGTCGCGGTGAGGGTGCTGGTTCTGTTGCTGCTGTTGCTGCTGCGGCAGCTGCTGCTGCTGCTGGTGCTGCTGCAGCGTGTGGCGTAGAGGTAGGTGCTGCTCTCCGCTGACCGGGCGGCTCGGGCAGTCGGCGGTGGAGAAGTCGCGAGTGCTGTGGAAGCTCTCAGTGCGTCTGGCACGGGTCGTGAGTGGACTGTCGCGCGTGGCGCGTAAGCTGCCGTACGGGCTGCAGTCAGCCGTGCTCCAGAGGCGGTCGCTGTAGAAGCGGTCGCGGAACGCGTCGCTGGGCTGCAGCTGGAGGCTGCAGTGGCACGAGGGAGAGGGGAGCGAGAGGTCACCTTCAATTTACCGCAAAACGTCATCTACCGGCGTGCGTCTATATCGATGGCAAATCTGAGTATTTACATTTGTGGTGCAAAATCACAAATATGCTACATTGTGTCAATTTAGAAACATAGTTTTTATTGGTTGAAATAGTATCCTCGAGTGACAGATATTGTTTGTGGGCCATTTCTAAGTAGGCCACTGATAGCACAGTGGTGAGATATTAACGAACTCGCCTGATGCACAGGGGGTTGTAGGTTCGATCCCGATCTAGACCCCGATGCCTGAATATTTGGAGTTTGTGTGTCTCTCTCCCCATGGTCGCGTGGATTTTTCTCCGGGTCCTCCAGTTTTTCCCTCCACATTTCGAAACATGCAATTTGAGTATTCGGTTGCTATAAATTTCTGCACAATAAGCCACTTCATTGAGCAATTATTTGTGGCCAGATCACTTCTGACAAATAGCTATATAACTCAGTGGGCTTTATCTAGTAAAATAAAACATAGTTTAAAGTTTTAGCATATGGCCCTACATACATACAGAACACTTTACGCACAATTCGCTTGACATCACATCTCATCACAAAACTTTTGAAAGGGCACCGGACAGTGCCAGCTATCGCTCTGCAGCCACAATGTGATGCAAAACACCTGGCCTAGGAGCAGGCAATAGTCTGCTGTCTGTGGAGGTGATTTTTACGTGTAATCCCAATTGAGTAATTTGCGAGGAACTTATATAATACGGCATCGTTTGACCGTGACGCCAGCACACAATGGCCTGCTCATTTCGATTGGCACGGTGAAGTTCAACATACATACATACGTAGTGAGTCCAACTGAGTCGCAGACGTTATCTTAGGAGCAACACTATTTATTTATATTCTTGGTTCTTTCAAGAAAAGTCACGTAGAAGGGAAATAATAAAATCATAAAAATAAAACATAATAAGATAAAATTCTCACGCCGTTTCGGCCACAATGCAAGCAGCCGTCCTCAGGTAAAGAACAGGGCTGTCGGAAAGACAGCGTCTTAATGAACACTGCTAAGCTTGGCAGCGTATTTTAAGCTGGGTGGGAGGAGGAGAGCACCTTGACAAAGGAGTTTACATATCAAAACGAAACGTCGTGAGAATTTTATTTTATTATGTTTTATTATTTTACTATTTCCCTTCTACGTGACTTTACTGACAGAACCAATAATATGTATCCCTGCAGTCACGAAAGCTTTAAATCGAAACTATTTATTTACACAACGGTACGTAACATAACACAATCTACACTAGGGTCTCGGATGCCCATCCAACGACGATACGGCAGAACTAGACACGGTTCGCTATCCCGGCCCGGACCACGAGCTGCTGGGTCCCGGAGCGCATGGCTAGAGGCTTCTTCTCCCCGACGTGGATCTTCGTAACACCGGCACACGAAGAACCGGGAGCCCGCACCGCACTCTGCTCGCGGTGCCTCGGCGCTAACCAGCGCTCACCCAGCCCCGCCAGGGATGCTACTACATCCCGTAACCCGGGCTGCCCATAATGACAACACATTTTCCACCGTGGCTTCGTAAGCCCCGGCACCATACAGTGACAGCCACAGTCACTACACGTACACAGATTTAAAATAACGTCTGGGGATCTTTTAGCATCCACTGCAAAGCAGACGATGCACACATTATGATCATTACATCCGCAGTAAAAACCTGTCGGTTTCAAATTCCGAACCAACGCAACGAGCGACAAATGTGCTACCGCTGGGCAACGCCACCGCCCCAAGTAGTGGCGCATGAAGCAGCCCTGATTGAAGTGGGAAGTGGGCAGGAGACGGGAAGGGGGGGGTGGTGGGGGCGCAACGACGAAATGGTGGCGGCTGCGGTGCGAGCACCTTGACGTGGAGGCACGCAGGCGGGTGGGCTGCACGAGCGAGGACGCGGGGCTCACGTTGGGGGTGGCGCAGCGCGACGCGCTCAGGTCGCACTGGTCAAGCAGCCGCAGCAGCTCCACTTCGGAGGGGCTGCCAACCTCTGTTGTGAGAGCACAGCCCACGCACGGGTCAACTGAACTCGCGCGACTCCCTTCGAGCGGCGTCTCCTCCCCTCTCTCGACGACAACTGAGAATCATCATCTCATCAGGCGACAGCCAGAATTGTGGAGAAATCCTCCTGTTTCGGTCTTAAATAGAGGGATAAATGGTATGGCCGGAATAGCGCGGCACTCACCGTCATGCTCCTCGGTGCGGCTGGCCACCTCCATGGCGGTGGTGAGGTCCCACATCTGGATGCTGCCGTTGGCGTGGCCCGTGAAGAGGTAGCGGCGAGGGCGCGAGCCCATGCGGCTTGAGCCCTCGCACTCGTGCACAGTGAAGCACGTTATGGTGGTGGCGTCCACCGAGCGGATCTCGCAGATCCTGGGCGGGGCCACGGGGCAAGGGTCAGGAGGGTAACAACAGGGGCAACTGGCCAGCGTGGAAATGGGGGGAGGAGGCCGCGTGGTGCTGTGTGTGTGTTGGGGAGGAATGGAGAGATGCTAGGGCACCGAGACAGCACCACTGGGGATTGCTGAGGTTGTTTTTTTTATTTTATTGCACGGCATTAGCTTGAAATTCTTCTGTTTAAGCAAATGTTGTGTAGAGGCTGGTCTATGAGTCTCACCGCCGCCCCGTGGAGGAGAGGCGCACGAGCAGCTGGTCCGTGACGGGCACCACCTTCTGGATGAACACCTGCTGGTCGTCACGCTCGCCGTAGGGGCCTGCGCGCCGCGACACATTAAAGAGGTCAACAATTGACGACTTGGCCTCGCAGGGCCTCGTCTGGCCACCCTGCTCTATAATGTACACGAGGATTCCAGTCTCTCGTTACACCCTTGTGAATCACACGGGCCGCGTCGTGACGACGTGTGTGCGTGTGTTTGCGTGTCTGTGTGGGGAGCGGCACTGCGCTTTGAACCCAGCGATCCAAATTCGATTCCTGCTCAAAGCCAACCTCGGTGACGAATATCTGAACTAGTCTTGGGTCTCTGCTAGGTCGACTCAGCCTGAAATGAGTTACTTGAAGGTAGTGTGCAGAGCACACTACTTTCTTGTGCACCCTGCCGGCCTGAACAGATGCTCGCCAACAGCCTCTACCCAACCAGTCCATCAGGCATGTCGGGGCTTAACAATTTACTACCTCCACGGGTAACACCTTGATGTTTAGGGTCATGATTTAAGAAATAAATTTGTTTGTTTTTCATTGTTGCACATATACTATACACAGAGGCTATACAGTGCCCTCATGTGCCGTGCCAGCCTTCATAGGTGCTCCCGAACAGCACTCGCCCATAATTCTGTTACAGGCTACACGGGGTCTCTGTCTTTGTTGTTGTGAATGGGGTGGGTCGGGCCATCTCACCGATGTCGTTGCCGGCGCCGTAGCAGAGGCTACTGCTCCCTCCCTCCTCGAGCGCGAGGATCTTGAAGGACGCGAGCGGCGTGGATCCGGGCTGCGTGGAGATCATACCTCGGAACCGTGTCACAGTCCACGTGCGGACGTGGTTGTTGTCGGCGCAGACTGCGGGGGAAGGGTCATTGGTGACAGACGGTGAGGGTTATGGGTGAAAGATTGAGGCAGTCCTGGGAGCGTGATCGTGAGGGTCATTGGTTTAGAGATTGTGAGGGTCATAGGTTAGAGATCATTAGGATCGTGAGGGTTATTGTAAGAGACCATGAGGGTCACGGGTGAGAGATCGTGAGGATCGTGGGTGAGAGATCATGAGGGTCACGGGTGAGAGATCGTGAGGGTCACGGGTGAGAGATCGTGAGGGTCATGGGTGAGGGATAACGAGGGTCGTGGTTGAGTGGTCAGCATGGGCCGAGAAGCGCGGCGGCGTACCCGACACGAGGTGCTTCTCGGAGAGCATTGTCTTGATGATGGGGCTGCGGTGCACCGTGAACGTCTGAAAGAGCTGTGGGCCCGAGCCCACGGTCTCCGGGTGCTGTACGATGACGCGCACGGCGCCCGAGCTCGTCCCGTACGAGATCTCGATCCAGTTCCCGCTCACGCCTACGGTATGGGGGTCAGCAGGGGCGGTGGGATGGTGCAGAGTGGTTGGGAAGGGTGATCAAATTCGGGTAAAAGCAGGTTACTACGTAAAAAGATGACATGGTCATCGTGGCCAATGTCAAAAAAGCCAAAACACCCTGCCTACGCTTCCCTTTCTTCTACTCAAATTAAAAGTGAATTCCTGCTCAATGAGCATTGAGGGAGTGTGAATCTCCCATTTACAGCCCTGAGCCATTGGTGGAAATTACATTCTAGATTTGAAGCTTTCGTGACTGCAAGGATTCATACTCTTAGGTTTTTTCGGTAAAGTCACGTAGGTAAAAAACAAAATTCCATCCCCAGGACAACGACTTTTTACTTCCCTAGAAAGTGATACTCATCATTTGATAAACCCCTAAGGAATGAAGGGCTGAGTCAACCCCCAACCAGGATTTGAACTTGCAACCTTCCGAATGTGAGCCGCTCAGTCTACCGACAAGCCTTCTTGCTAGATCCTACAAATTCAAAACTGGTCTTTAAAGATGTTGTTTAAAGTATTCCATAATCTGGCTTTGAATTTTCTCTCCTTGGTGGAAAACCCCTGGGATGCCACTCTAATACCCATCTTGGTACATGCCCACTCCCTTCCTACACACACTCAACCCATCACAACCTGTTTTGAAAACGATCCTTAAATTTGCAGACATTAGTGACCCCGATTTGTATCCCATGGCCTGAGTATCCCATGTGCTCCACGTGTCCCATTTCCGTTTGTTCCATGCCCATGTCTCCTATCTGATCCATGCACCCCCTCCCCCGCTCCGATGTGATCCATTCTTTCCACGTGCTCTGAATGTCCCATTCTATTCTCGGGGGAGGTCCGTGCTCCCTGCTTGTCCCAGGCTGCCCGGTGGGGGCGTCTCACTCGTTTTCGGGGTGAGGTAGACGCTGAGCGCGGTGATGGCGTCGTTGGACGGGTCGTGGTAGAGCTCCGTTACCAGAAGGTCGTTGTCCTTCATGCGCAGCGGGAACTTCTGCATATCTGCAGGAAAAACGAGAATGAACGCTAAGGACGGTTTTTGAATACACAGACCCGCCAACTTAACAGGGTCGCTGCGGAGAGTGCTAACAGGGCTCCAGTGCAGCCCCGCGTGGCTGCCAGGGCTCTGACCGATATAGTAGATGGAGCCATTGTTGCAGCCGAGCAGGAGGAAGGAGCCGGCCGTGTCGTGGCTCGTCACGGGAACCACGTCCTGCACCTACAGAGCAGCAACGATGAGCAGGGGCCAATGAGGATCGGCCCCCCAACCAGGGAGGTTATTAGGAACAGCCGAACAGGGCGTGAATAACAGCAAAATAAGGGTGGTTAAATAACAGATGAACTGGGGGACAATAGAGATTAGCAGAACAGGGATGGTCGATGCTGCAAAGTAATGTTACACGAGTCCGACATCAACTTATGAAACGAGGAATAAAATAAAGCATATGCGTGAATTCTCGAACAAGGGCCACAAGTAAGCAGTCATGCGTGCACACATTTACGGGACGTCATGGGCGCCACATGATATCGCAACATCCGCAGGCATGACGTACCATGTCATGTGGCCCGGTAGCAAGCGCCAGAATACGTCACGTGGCCCCGCCGGAAAAATATCGGTGAAGAACCCTGGCCGTGTGAGGTGTGAGCCCCGAGCCGCCCCTTTACCTGCCAGTGCTGCGTGACGGCGTTCCACACGCCCACCTTCCCCGTGTGGCTGGTGGCCACCAGCTGATTGCCGATGAAGAAGAGAGCGTCCACAGACACGCCGAGGCTGAACACTCCTGCAACAGCAACACAAACACCATGCTCCACTGGGCACGGGGCAGCCGGGGGGGGAGAACAAGGTCAGGGATAAACTGAGAGGAGTTCATGTAAAGCAGAAGTGGGGAAGCTTTTCCTTACCGGCTTTCGAATACCTTTGGTGGGCCCCGCATTAACAAGCACCTCGGCGTTATCCAATAACAAGGTGAAAAATAATCAGGGTCCACCTTTACAGGTAACTGAGCTTGCCAAAATGATAAACACAAGCCAAAAATATTCCCCTCTAGTACCCAATTAGTGAAGCTAGGATACTTGCAGCGATAAAAATTGCAGGTTGTTTTCGAAGTGGTAGGCCTCGTGTAGCTGCAGGGCCGAGTGTAAGGACACCGTGGGCTGGATGTGGCTCACCGGCCGTAAGGTTCCCCACCCTCTGATGTAAGGTCAGAGGTGGCTGAGAATGGTCGTGCAAAGTCGGAAGATATGCAAGGTCAGGGGAAGGTCAGGCATGATCACGCAGTTTGAGAAGATATAGTAAAGGTCATTTGAAGTTGTAAAGTCAGGTGATGTCACGCAAAGTGGGGCGTGGTCGGGAAAAGTCAGTAAAGGTCTTGGTGATTGTCATTGAAAGTTCAAGGTCAAGGAAATAAAATGGTGTCAGAAAATGGCCATGTCCTCTAATCACACAAAGTTAATGAAGATCAGGTAAGGTGATATAAGGTCAGTGAAGGTAAATGATTCATCATAGATTTTTTTTTTTAAATAACATGGGGCGTGAAAACCTACACGCTAAGTCACGATATAGGATGGTCAGGGAAGGTATGTATTTATGTATGCTGAACTTCTTTCACACTGTACGTAGCCAACAAACTAACACAAAACGCAGTTGTAAAGAAATTAGTTTTCAATCTAGATTATTTAAAAGTGCATAGCTCCAAGTGGCTTCCTAATTTCGGAAAGAAGATCGTTCTGGGAAGGTCAGCGAAGGTCGGTGGGGGGGCGGCGGAAGGTGGCGGGGAGGGGAGGAAGGGGGCGGGGAGGGGCGGGGCGGAGAGGGCCCACGCCACGATCTCGGGCCCTCGCGCACCGATCTCGTTGCCGCTGCTGCCGTCCTGGATGCTCCACAGCACGATCTTGTGCCCTCCGGCTACGGCCACCATCTTGTCCTTGTCGCCGAGCGGGGCGCCCACCACCTGCGGGCACGAGGCGTTAGGGAGCATCTCACCGGGCCGGCACCGCGGCACGCGCTCACGCCGGACCACCTGCTCGGCACGCCGTGTCTCACCCCCGCGCCCTCCGCCCTCACGCCCTCCCCACGACCACCACAACGATCGAGCGAGTCACCGTCACGATTTCGGGTTGCGACTCGCATCACGAACAATCGTTTTTGGTCTCACCATTATTGTAGCGTCTCTCGTTTGCTACATCTCATTGGTACAATTTTGTTTTCTCTATTCATCTAAATGTAACGTTAACATATCAATTACACACTACTTAAATAAAATATGAAGAATTCACGATCATGTGCACAATTCGGTGGGTGTTTTGTTCAATCGAGGAACTGATTTTATGTGAACAATCGACGACACTAAATGAAACTAAATTACATCTGTAACGCAGCCGGCTATTTGCTTACGTCTAACACTGCATTTAATTGTGGGATTTTTTTTTGTTTGGTGCATGAGACCATCAACTCGATACACTTGGAAACCCAGTTACATCATTGGTGGGTGGCTGCGCAAATTCACACCTACGCTCAGGATTATTGCCAGCTTAGTTCTGACAAGGAATTACTCCCGTTGTGGGCAACAGAGGGCAATGCTGCAAAATCAATCGTTGTACTGTACTTCATGCTCCGCGACTATGCTTCCTGCCTTCATCAACCCGCACGGCATTGGGAAGCACTCACCCAAGAGTGGGCTGGCAAAGGACTACAAAGTAAAGTCACTTGATTTGCATTACACACCAATACAAATTGACAATTCGTTCAGTGACATTATTGTGTTTTAGTGATCACACCGACAAAAATTTAACTTAACCAGCCCAGCCATTGTCATGGGATGCATCATTAGATTACACTATATAAACACAATTTTTGTTCCTGGGTAGTCAGTGTTATTTTGTAATTGCTTATGCCTAAAAAGTAAAGAAAATGGCTATTATTCCCCACAAACTTTGCTTTTGTGACCAGGACAGTGATATTTATAGATGTACCTATTTTCAATGAGAAAACGGGCGAATTTGTGTCTTTTCGTTCACATAAAGTCAGAAGAAAACAACATGTAATCAAAATTTACATGTATTTATAAAGTAATATAAAAAATACTACGAAAGATTTAGAAGTGAGTAGTTTTTCGAAATTTACGATTATACTGTAAATCACTTTCACGAATCAGCCCCCAAATGTAGTCTCCCATCATGTTCTTGTTATACTCTCCTTGGTAGCGGCTTTCAAAGTCCAGTATATCCTGGTGGAAGCGCTCGCCTTGCTCCTCCAAGTACGCTCCCATGTTCTCCTTGAATTGATCAAGATGAGCATCAAGGATATGGACTTTGAGGTCCATCCTACAGCCCATTGTGCCGTAGTTCTTCACCAGTCTCAACCATCTCCACATAGTTTTCGACCTTGTAATTGCTCAGGAAGCCACGAACCACTGCGACAAAGCTGTTCCAAGCTGCTTTCGTCTTACTAGTGAGTTTCATGGGGAATTCATTGCACTCCAGATGAAGACACCGGCTTTGACCTTTGCCTCAGACAGCTTAGGGAAGAAGTCCTGAAGGTACTTGAAGGCTGCCGACTCCTTATCTACAGCTCTGACAAATTGTTACATAAGGCCCAATTTGATGTGCAGTGGTGGCATCAGCACCTTCCGGGGATCCACCAGTGGCAGAAGCAGAGCCTATCTTGACGGCTGAAAAAGCTGCAAAAAGGTTGGTGACGCTTCCTCTGATCTGTGACTTACACACTTTTATCCAACAGGTTCCACTGCTTGGGCCTAGACGTCAAAAGTTCGGCATTGGACTTGGTGAGACCAAGATCTCTGATCAAGTCGTTGACGTCTTTTTGGTTGGGGTAGTATGGATTTCCCTCCTCAGCTCCACCTCTGAAATTGTCATCTGGATCTACAACGTCTTCCTCGCTCTCTGACTTGCTGTTCTTTTCTAAAGACTGCTGCTCTCTCTCCGGAGGAGTGGGTACGGGGAGCTCATGGCAGTGTGGCACCGGGGCGATGGATGAAGGAAGGTCCAGATACGTGATAGCAGGTGCATTCTTGCCAGTGCGACGATTGGAAGGGTCCAACATGCAGAAGTAGCAGTTGCCTGAGTGGTCAATGGGTTCCCACCAAATTATTGGGATAACAAACTTCATGGCTCTCTTTTCCCCTCTGTACCATCCTACAAAAATACATTTATTTCACCCATGACGAATGTGTAAGAGATTCTCGCAAAAATATTCATATATGATATATTTTTTCAATAACATTGAAAATTGTAAAACATAAAATTCCGAGCAACAATTGTCCATCTTACCTTCCAGTTTTTTTGCATTGCTCGCAGGTGAAATGAGGTGCCCAGGGTTTGTCTTGATCCCCGACAGGCATGCCGAAATATGCCTTGTAGGCATCGTACATCTTAGCAGATGCTTCCACAGAGTACTTTTTCGCTCTTGTCTTGATAAATTGGCCGCAGACATAGCAAAATGCGTCTGCTGGATGCTTGTAGCCTCTTGATGCCATCTCAGAAAAAATGCAGATATGTATCCACTTAGGCAGCTGGAACTAAACGTCGTGCTCTGCACAAGCCATGCTGCTGCTTGCTGCTCACGACGTGCATCCTGTGCGTAGGCGGAGTTGAGCGAGCCAGCGCTTCGTTTGTCCGGGAGAGCCTCACTAGATGCAAGCGGAGTGTAACGCGCGCTCACCTTTGCATTGAGGGCGACGCGCTCCACCGTCCACTCCAGATAGGGGCTGCTGAACACCTGCTGCCAGCCCGATGACTCCTTCACTCTGCGCAAAATAATAATGTCCATATGTTGAACTTCTTCCGCACCGTACGTAGCCAACCATGCGAATCAGAGGTGCGGGGAAGGACAACAAACTAAACACGAAAAACAAAAATTAGTTTTGAATCGAGATTTACAAGTGCATAGCTCCAGTGGCGTCCTGATTTGGGAAGGAAGAGCGTTTCGGACGGCCACAGAAGCGTATCTGAAAGCGCGTGATGCGGTAACCGCCTTTATTTGACGTCTAGCCAAAAGCCGCTGCGAGGATGACCAGAGTTCACGTGATAGTTGAATACATTTTGTAATTTTCGCCGTTCTAATTGCGCTATGTTTCACAAGCAGTTGTAGTATTACTCAGTAGGGTTCAATGAAGCTATGCATAGTCCCGTTTGAGTGATTTGAGAGTAACTTTCCAAACTTGACAATTCTGCGACACGACACCGGCGAAGTGAATGGAATAATCGTTTCCAACAGCGTCACGGGATCATTGTCTGTACTGTATTATGTTGAACTTCTTTCGCACCATACGTAGCCAACCATGCTAATCAGAGGTCCGCTGTACCGCAGCACCACGAAGCAGACGGCGCGTCTATTAAGGTCAATACGCCCACGCCACTTCCTGATCGCACCGACATTTTTGAATCCTTTATATTAAGTTCACTTGCTTGCGCGCTTACGACTGTGCAAATCTTTCGGTCGTTTTTTAACCCACTTCCCGTGATCCAATCGAGCTGACATTTTGCACACAGACTCGTTGTGCGTGACAATTTATTTTCGTGAAACATTTTTCCCAAAATTTCCAATTTTTAGGAAAATGTTTTTTTCATATTTAATTTAAAATACCAATGTGATAAAAATTAAACTCTTACTCAAGAAAAATAGAAATGAATAATAAAATAAAACCGATGCCACGCATATAAAGGATTTATAGTGAAAAACTTAGTTTTTATGGGTTAATTTTTTGACTGTCAAATTTGACAGCAGTAAGGCTTAGCATGATACAATAGGATAAAACCATGCATATGCATCGATTCTGTAGCGATGTCCAATGCCCTCAGAAGCATGTCATCGGTGATAATGACATTATATTTGAAGCCGTGCAAGATGACATTGCATGGACCGAGTGACGTCATTTGGGAGGTGAGGAACGTGCACCATGAGATAGGTCATCACCTTGGCTGAAAAGACTTATCAGTTTATCGCTGGATATTCATGGCCTAGTTTTTGGCAACCCTGTTATCAATTTGGCCGAATTTCTACAAACACAAACAAATAGACAAAAACATTTTGTCCATATTGAAACGGCTGTATGCCGTATGGACCTGAAAACTCAATTTCCCTGAAGAAGAATATGGGTACACCGTATGGGTTGACAGGTAAAGTCATGTATAAAGATAAAATAATAAATTATTTTATCTTTATACGTGACTTTACCGAAAGAACCAAAGAATAATTCCTGCAGTCACGAAAGCTCCAAAATTAAGATTGACTGAAAGCAACTTAATACATAGAGGACTGCAGAGCTTGGACAATTGTTGGTAGCGCCGGCTCACCGTCTGGCTGCCTTCTAGCTCATATCTGCGGTTTCTCAGCGACTGTGAGATACAATTTGACTGAACGACGATGCTAAATAAAACCAAAACTTTATTATTCTTATTTGTCCAGGAAAGCCTCACCAAGTCTTAAGACTTTTTTTTTCAGGAGGACAATGAACCGTTATGTTGAGCCATGTGCGTGAAAACCAAAGCACGAAGATAGAAATCCACGCAAATGAGGAGAAAACACTAAAAAGCAACACACAGGTAGATTCAAGAATCCAAGCGGCCTACTCGAGTTTCATTTCGCTTTAATGTTATCACAAAATATATTCTATCACGGCCAGGTGAAGAAATATCATCTGAAACTCCTCCATCTCTATAAGCCATCGTAGCATCCCACTACATTTGGGAACAGCTCTAGGAGATATGACTTGAGTATAACCCAATTCAATAAGCTTCTCCTACTCAATACTAGATGGACCCCCTCTGTTACATTGTAAAGATGTGTTAAAAACACGCCAATAATCTGATGTTTGGAACATTTCACTCCTTAAAATGCTGGGATATGTTTGCTTTTAATGCTGTTGCTGAGCACAGGCCCAAAGGCTCAATGGCCCAAAATGTCGAATGGCCAGCAACGAACAGCACCGTCAAAGATGTAATAGATACAGAGTTGACGCGTTTCGCGAATTGAGCGAGGTTATTCGGAAAGCTTGGAGGGGAAAAATAGAAGATGGGAGGGAATTCCAAAGTCGAGCGGTGCGAGGGATGCAGAGAGAAGGGAAGTACCAAATTGGTGGAATAATAACAAAAAACAGGATTATTAATAATATATATAAAATATAAACCACTCATGATTTCTATGAGGAGTTATTGGTATAAGGCCGTAAGTAACCATCAACTTTCTGGACTTAGAACCCAGCATAATTCGGGATATGAGAGCTGCAAGGCGCCAGGAGGTGGCAGTATCGAAATGCAACTCCCGCTTTTTCGGAGAACAGACTGTATGCGTATTCCTTTTAAGGCCATTGACGAATGTGCCGAGTTTTTTTTGTTATTTGTGCACCACTGCCAAAACGCAGCAGCAACAGCATCACCAACTACGTCGTATAATAGATAGGGTCGTTCAAATACAACACACTCCCTTTAAAGAGAGCAATTTCAAATTTGTCTGGAAAGTTTGACAAACCCGCGGCTACAGGTGTAAGGAAAAAGCACAGTTGCTGCGGCTTTGATATTTCCTGCTGTGTGCCCGCCTTTACCAGCTTCCAAGGAAATAAAAATATATAATAGGTGATTGGCCCTTCTTCGTAGCACATAAATGGTGACAAAGTGAAAAAAATATTTTAATGTGATTGTTATTCATGTGCTATGGACAAGAGCCATTGCTTGAAATGTCACCTCTATTGTATATTTTTCTTAAGTCTTGGGTTTTTTTTTACCTCGTAACATTATTGCGTAGTATGTGCAGTTCTCACTCTAACCCGCATGCCGTGACAAGCAGCACAACACGTGATGACCTTAAAGACGCAGTACCACCTCCTACGCCCTGTACCAAAAGGCACAGCCGCCACACGCGATTGACGTCGTCATTAAGCGGGGCTAAGGAGGAGTGATTGAAAGTCAAACGACTGACTTTCAATCTTGATTTGAAGCTTTCGTGACTGCAGGAATCCATACTCTTTGGTTCTTTCGGTAAGGTCATGTAGGTAGAAAATAAAATAAATCACGACGTTTCAGGCGCAACACAAGCGTCTGTCATCAGGTGGGAAAGTATAGTCTGTTGCTGAGGCAGACTGTTTTAAAAAATTTGAAATGGGTGCAGCTCAAGGGTCATAAAGAAGTGGCTGGGGCTAGTGATGTTCATGTGAGAAATTAGCATGTAACTGTAAGGTAGAAGAGCGGCCTCCTAAACTGACTTTCAATTCTTTTTTCTCATTAACAAAGTTTCAGCTTTGTGTTGGAACAATACGGCTCTTTTTCGGTTTAAAGCTTTCGTGACTGCAGGGATTCATCTTCTTGGTTCTTTCGGTAAAGTCACGTAGAAGGGAAGTAATAAAATGATAAAAATAAAACATATAATATATTATTTTATTAATATAATATATTATTTTATTACTTCCCTTCTACGTGACTTTACCGAAAGAACCAAGAAGATATACGGCCCTTTTTCAGCAGTGACGACCTCGCTATCACAAATGATAGTCCAACGAAGTGGCTCATCACGTGCAAATTTATAGCAGCCAAATACTCGAAACGCATGTTAATTCTAAATGTAGAGGGAAAAATCGCAGGATCAGGAGAAAAATCCACGCGACCACGGAAGAGACACATACACACTCAAAATATACAGGCGTCACGGTTGGGATCATAACATGATGCCGACAACACAATCGGAATGTTTGTTCGTTTATAGCCTTCCTCAATTTCCTAATTCACCATTAGATGCAGTTCTTGCGAGTTGTCTCATACTGGGCCCTCTCCAAGCAACTCGCGTCATCAATCCCAGGCCTTCTGGGGCAGCCTCGGCCAAATAAATATAACCCTAATCGTTACTATATTTATACAAACAGAACGCGACCTATTTGTGTTTGATGAAGCAATTAGAACATCGGTTCGCAACCCAGGCACTGGGATCGCTGCGTAGCCACAAGTCATTGTAATCAAATCATTGACTGTGCAAGCCCGGTGACCGCACTTACAAATATCGCAGCCCCGTCACTTCAAGCGTGACCTGAAAAGGCATTTGACGATGCACCGCACGACGAGAAAGGCACTACCGGAGTCGCTCTCAGTCTGATTTTCCGTTTTTGGTTTTTTTAAACAAAAATATTGACATTGCGTTCCATGGACCCACCTGTAGCAGACAACGGCATGTGCGTACGCCACCGCGATCCAGTTGTGGTGGCCGCACACAATGAGGACCCTGCGCGGATCCAGCAGCGAGCTCACTGTTTGCACGATGCACGGGGGGGGGGTGGAGGCGGGGGGGGGGGGGGTGGAGGCGGGGGGGACGCACGATGCACGCCGGTCTTAGTCACGTCTTCAGTTCAAACCTAGCGGTCCCACCGCCGCGCTACAGATGCGCCTTGCCATGACCGAGACCCTCCACCGACGATGTAAATCTGGCCAAGTCATTACACTCCCCCAAAACTAAATAAAAATCTATTAGGAATCGTAGCACTGGCTGCGAAAACTTATATGAGTTAAGATGACAACTGCAAAGATATTTTTGAAAAGCGGGCGACGTGATTATCATGGGTCTATATATTGTACGACAGCATCACGGTATCGCTTTTCTGGATTTTTTTGTTATTATTCTGTCTCTCACTGTTCAAATAAACCTACCATTAAAATTATAGACTGATCATTTCTTTGTCAGTGGGCAAACGTACAAAATCAGCAGGGGATCAAATACTTTTTTCCCTCACTGTATCGTACGACAGCATCACGGTATCGCCATGTCGCGGCGACCCTCGTGACCGCTCCGGGCTCATCGTCTCACCGGCTGCCTCGCACGCGTCCATGCCCGCGGCGCCAGGGGGCGACGTCCGCTGGGCCACCGCGCCTGCGGGCGGCGCCCGGGTGGAGCAGTGATCCCAGGTTCTGGTGGGTGCCGGCATCCCCAGCGCAGGCATGGACGTCTCCCGCGACAGGTTGCTCGCGCAGTGACTGGGGAAGACTGCGCAAGGCGGGGAAAGGAAATTATGACCGCGGTGGCCAGGAGATGTTAACTCCCGCCACCTGGTATGCAGGAGATCGTGGGTTCGATCCCGACCCTGACGCCTGCTGCTGTGTATTTGGAGTTTGCGTGTCTCTCTCTCTCATCATCATCACGGTGGCTAGGAGATGTTAACTACCTCGCCTGGTATGCAGGAGATGGTGGGTTCGATCCCGACCCTGACGCCTGCTGCTGTGTATTTGGAGTTTGCGTGTCTCTCTCTCTCATCATCATCATCATCACGGTGGCTAGGAGATGTTAACTACCTCGCCTGGTATGCAGGAGATCGTGGGTTCGATCCCGACCCTGACGCCTGCTGTATATTCGGAGTTTGCGTGTTCTCCTCGTGGTCATGTGGATTTTTCTCCGGGTCCCCCGGTTTTTCCCTCCACATTTAGAATTAACATGAGTTTAGAGTTTTTGGCTGCTATGAATTTCCACATGATAGGCCTCTTCGTTGAGCTATCATTTGTGAACCAGGTCACTTCTCTAAAAGAGTGATATAGCTCAGTGGGCCTTACATGGTAAAATAAAAAATATTTTAGTTTTATTATCACAATCATCATCATCACCCTTCCCCTGGATTACTGCTGTTACCGGTATCCTTACCACTGTCACTGTGATACTGTCAGTGTTTTGAGTGTGACCGTCATTTTAATTTAATTTGAATTTAATTGTGAACTTGTAACATGGGCAGTTTTCACTCACTCCTGGAGAAAGGGAATGATCAGAGGCTTGGGAAACCACAGTCACCCACACTGACCGGCTCGATGAAGTGTGGTCAAACCATCCTCATGACCCGCACGGTGTGGGAGAAACCCTAATCCAGCAGTGAATTGACAAAAGTTCTGTACGTGTGCACGTAAAATTGAAAGGAAAGAGCATTCAAGAGGAAAATAATCCATGACAGAAGATTAAAATATTACACTGGAAGAGGGAAAACCATACAGGAGACCTGCTGGGAGCGCAAGCCGGTGTGTGGGGCATGTCAGGCGAGTGTGCTGGGTGAGCGTGCTGGGTGAGCGTGCTGGGTGAGTGTGCTGGGTGAATGCGTCAGGTGAACGTGTTAGGTGAGCGTGCTGCGGGAGTCACGTGCATGTGCTAGGTGAGCATGTTGGGTGAACGTACTGGGTGAGACAGGTGAGTGTGCTGGGTGAGGGTGCTTGGTGAGCGTGCTGGGTGAACGTGCCGGGTGAGCGTGCCGGGTGAGTGTGCTGGGTGAGCGTGCTGGGTGAGCGTGCCGGGTGAGCGTGCTGGGTGAGCGTGCCGGGTGAGCGTGCCGGGTGAGCGTGCTGGGTGAGCGTGCTGGGTGAGTGTGCTGGGTGAGTGTGCTGGGTGAGTGTGCTGGGTGAGCGTGCTGGGTGAGCGTGCTGGGTGAGCGTGCTGGGTGAGCGTGCTGGGTGAGGGTGCTGGGTGAGCGTGCTGGGTGAGGGTGCTGGGTGAGTGTGCTGGGTGAGTGTGCTGGGTGAGCGTGCTGGGTGAGCGTGCTGGGTGAGCGTGCTGGGTGAGCGTGCTGGGTGAGCGTGCTGGGTGAGGTTGCTGGGTGAGGGTGCTGGGTGAGGGTGCTGGGTGAGCGTGCTGGGTGAGCGTGCTGGGTGAGCGTGCTGGGTGAGCGTGCTGGGTGAGCGTGCTGGGTGAGCGTGCTGGGTGAGCGTGCTGGGTGAGCGTGCTGGGTGAGCGTGCTGGGTGAGCGTGCTGGGTGAGCGTGCTGGGTGAGCGTGCTGGGTGAGCGTGCTGGGTGAGCGTGCTGGGTGAGCGTGCTGGGTGAGCGTGCTGGGTGAGCGTGCTGGGTGAGCGTGCTGGGTGAGCGTGCTGGGTGAGCGTGCTGGGTGAGCGTGCTTGGTGAGTGTGCTGGGTGAAGCAGGTGAATGTGCTGGGTGAGTGTGCTGGGTGAGTGTGCTGGGTGAGTGTGCTGGGTGAGTGTGCTGGGTGAGCGTGCTGGGTGAGCGTGCTGGGTGAGCGTGTTGGGTGAGGGTGCTGGGTGAGCGTGCTGGGTGAGCGTGCTGGGTGAGCGTGCTGGGTGAGCGTGCTGGGTGAGCGTGCTGGGTGAGCGTGCTGGGTGAGGGTGCTGGGTGAGCGTGCTGGGTGAGCGTGCTGGGTGAGCGTGCTGGGTGAGCGTGCTGGGTGAGCGTGCTGGGTGAGCGTGCTGGGTGAGTGTGCTGGGTGAGCGTGCTGGGTGAGCGTGTGGAGCACCCTGCGCGCTCACCGGGCGTGGGGAGGTAGCCGTGGAAGAGGACGTTCCCACAGGATGACCTCTCCAGCTCCTCGCACAGCTGCAGCCTCCGCACTGTACGGGCATCACACTACAGCAGCTCACAAACATTCGCCGTGTTGCCCATACAGGACTGCCAGGGCAAGCGCCGTTAGCGAGCGCCTATTAAGTCGGTACGTCGCACGAGGAGGGAGAGGTGAGGGGGTGGTGGCCAGCACCACGCACGGCTGCCATTACTTTTTGTGTTTAGTTTGTTGTCCTTTCCACGCAACTCCAATTAGCACGGTTGGCTACGTACAGTGTGAAAGAAGTTCAACATACATATGTAGTGGGTACGAACGGAGACTCAGGCTTCTATTGGAGGCAACACATTTATTTAACATTGGCACGCTAACACAAAGGGGTAACTGCCCCTTTACCAGATAACACGCTGTGGTGGTGGTGGACCACCAGGCTCTCTACGCTGACCACTGTCGCTATAGCGGACTCGACCCTAGCTCGGGTCCGAGCCCCCGTGTTGTAGAGCGTGGAGCGTGGACGACGTCTTCTTGAGGATCCCATAACAACCAACCCCGGTCCCATTTCGGGACCCGGCTTATATTTTGTGTGGCGGGGCTCGCCCCACCCCTGGCCACGCTCCCCTTCTGCAATCCCCCCCCAGCCCCCCTTTTGGGGGTCCCGGGGTGGACACCTCCGGTCACGTGTCCTCCGGTGGCAACCAGAGTGTCATGGCCCCTTGGAACCCCGTTCCGAGGCTGGCACCCGCCACACTCTATCCTGTAGGGGCTGACACCCCGTGCTGCGTACAGCCATCCATAGCTGTCAAGCAGCGCTCCCCGAGCCCCGCTAGGGCCGCTACTGCATCCACCTTCAGTGGTGTCTGCGACGCCAATGCATCGCGCGCCGAGTCTCTCCCAGGCCAACTTCACATAGTGACATCCAACGATGTCGCGACACATACATAATCTCCCCATTGCTATGGTTTACACACCGCAACTTGGTACTCATTTATGGCTGAGCCAACCTACGGGAGGTCCAGAACCTGTTCAGATTTTTCTCACCACCTGCAGTAGCCATGGCCGGAATTGAACTCGGGTGGCAAGCGTTCATAGCGCATTGCGCTATATTCATTGCCCCACCGTTCCCCACAAATGCATGGCGCAACCTTGCCAGCACAAACGGCCTAACCAGCCAAACCCACCCTCAGATTCTTGGAGCTCAGTGGATATGGAAGAGCAATGCAAGCGAGCAGACGGAATGTCACAGACTTCATGACTTATGGTCAACAGGCACGCTGGCGTCATTCCGCTTGAGACATGTCACCCAGACAGACTGCACTCGAGAAGCCAAACCCGCAGCTTCTGAATGCCCTGGACAACCAGGAAACCTCGCCTCTAGTCTCTGGGCTACAGGCATGCGCATTGCCACCACACCCGCCAACTACTGGACATCTGTGCAAAAAAGAGCTCTATAGCCCCTCGGATTTCTCCAGGGTAAATAAATATTCTGATTATTATTCTGAACATTTATTCATTCGACCAATAGTAGAAGTGGCAATATTGATGTTTTGTTGTTGCCGTGCTCACGCACCGCGGATCTCTCTTCTAAAATAGCTGGGCAACTGGATAAACGGGATCATCCGTGGAACCAAAAGTTTTAACTTAAGTAGACGTGTACCAAATTGATCACCAGTATATGACTGTCGCAGTCACTATCATGCGTTGCAAAATAAGTATACGTAATTTTAATTTTACACGAATTTTTGAAAATGTTATGTTTCGGGTTATGGTTTGAACAATTGAGACAATGAGACACACTACAAAGAGACGGTAGAAACGAGAGAGACAGAACAAAGAATAGACAGCAGATGACACAGACAGAACAACCAGGGTAGGCAGGACAAATAGGGACAGACAGAAAAATAAACACACAGACAACAATACAATGGGGGGAGAAAAGAGATGGACAGAGCCGCCGGGATGGCACAAACAATAGACAAAAAAATATATTCAGTCAAACAATGGCTACAAATGGTGACAATTTGTCAAATAGTGGAGGGAGGGCAACTGTGGTAACCATCACATGTCCAGCATCAAGGCCAGGGTAGGACGAAGAATGACTAATCTCGAGCCAAGGTCAGGGTAAATCAACGGTTGAGAGTTGAACGAACAGAGACATAGAGACAAACACACGGACATGGAAGTACAGAGATAAAAACCAAATATCCCCTGCATAGCCTTTAATAGACGGTAGTGGAAATTGGTGTATGCGAACACCGATGAAGACTGGCAGTGCACACGAGGTGGTGGTGTGGTAAGAAACGTGCCTAGCCATCTTTGTCTCCCTCAGTGGTGATGTTTATCCACCGCATCACGTACTCATTTAAGGCCCAGCCGATCTAAGAGAGGTTCGAATATTCGCCACTGCTATTGGTCGCGATCGAGAATTGAAGTGGAGTTGGCGGGTTCGTACTGCGATGCGCTAACCACTACACTACCGCTCCCCACACAGAGCCACATTCATAGACACGAGAGACCGGGACGCAAACAATGAATGCAATGACGGGTTACACACGGGGTCTTACCCAGTGGGGTGATGCCGTAAAATTCCGCCTCGTGCCTCAAAACGCTGATGCCAACGCCCCTGCAGGACGACAAACAACGCATCCGTGGGCAGAGCGGTTGGTTGGTGTGACAAACGGGTATGAATGATCTCCCTCTCACCGGAATTTATGAGGGTTATTTTGGAAAAGAGCTGTTGTGTTAGGTCAGATTTAAAGCAATGGCGTGCCAATGCTCAATATAAATACTTTGTATGATAATCATGAGTGCATTTTGTATATTTACGCAATTCTTACAGTACAAGTTTATTCCAAAGGTGATATGCTTCAAAGGTGGGTATCGTGTGGCAGGTTTAAAAAAGTAATTAGTGAGTCTCTTTTTTTACTTTATTCCCGCTTTCGAAGCGTGGTACACTCCGACAATAATACACACACGGCCCCAAGTACCAGGTCCTATGCATCGTTATTTACAGAACCTATTGTGGGAGTGTTACAGGGTTGCCTGTTATGTTGTTTTAATAAACACGTGAGGGGCTGGGGGAGAACAAAACAAGGGGGGGAGGGATGAGGGCAAGTGGCTAACCGATGTAGGAGAGGAAAGAACTGCCCATGCTTGCAAGTCAATTTAAATTTGGCAAATTTGTACTGTGACCCTGCAACACAGGGCCTCACTTTGTTTAAAATGACGTACGTATGTATGTTTAACTTCTTTCGTATCGTACGTAGCCAACCGCGCTAATCGTAGGTGCGGCAGGGGAAAGGACAACAAACTCAACACAAAAGACCGTTTTAAAGAAATGAGTTTTCAATATCGATTATTTAAAAGTGCACAGCTCCAGTGGCTTCTAATATCGGAAGGAAGCGCATTCCAGACGGCCGCAGAAGCGCATGTGAAAGTGCGCGATGCAGCAGCTGTCTTTGTTCGATGGCTAAAAGCTTCACCACGAACAGGATGGCACTGGGTTCACGATGATTGACCAGGATGTCCGTCGGGCTCTTCTGCAACAAGCGACGAACGTGCTACCATGCTCAGCCACATCAACGGCCTCAGGTAATCTAAACACACGTTTGGAAACATGCGTATCGCTTATTTTGCTTCTATAAATCTCCAGAATAAGCCACATCGTTGAGCTATCTTTGTAGCCAGGTCGCAAATGAAAAAGATACTTGGCACTCCTATCGTGTTTTTGTATTGTGTTGTTGTAACGTTCTGACCTGCCCCTACTGTACATCTATGAAAAATAGCTTAAGAGCTTGTGGAATTCCTCCCGTAGAAATAAATATTGTGATGTCTGATGCTCACCTGATGTCTGACACCCAACCACCTCTACCGGTGCTCCTCAGTGGTAGAAATTCCAAGATACGATTTTTCTCGAGCCCAGACGAAAATAGGCTAAGGTGACCCCTGAACCTAGTGCTCGCACGAGTTACGTGAACCCATTACACTTGAGAACTTGGTTTAATCGTACCTGGCTGAAATTTGGATTGGAACCCAGATTCTCAAAGTGTGCCAGCTCGTTGCTCGGACACGGCCATTACGAGCCTCCCGTGCCGTCCCGTCATCTTAACCCTTTCACATTCTCACGACGTACGTGTACATTATACATTTTTCTTACGATTCCGTGCCAAAGACGTACACATATGTATGTACATCATCGGAAAGGAAAAGGAAAAAACACTAAATTAAAATTACTTTATCGGTATCGAGGCTACCGTAAAGCCATGCGGGAGGGCGTGTGGCACAGTTTGGCGCCAGCTATCATAGAGTGCTATACAATGTCTTTAAAAACAACACTAAACCCGCTTTGCGCGTTCCGCAATTCAGCGGTGAACGGGACATCCACCCTGCAGCTTGCAGACATCTCGGAACGGGAAAAGGGTTAAATGCTCTCGCTCGATGTCAACTGAAAGTGTTCAACTCACCTCAGGTCCAGCTCCTTGGTGCGCAGGAAGTTGAGGATTGGCACAAAAGCCATGGGGTCTCGATCAATGAAGATCTGGGCATGAGGAAACGCAACACACGCAGTGAGGTCAGCTTCTCCAGCCCATCATTTTGCTGTTTTTTTCAAGTACTGTCATTTCAATGTGACCGTTCCATTTTTGTGAATAAGTTTGATTATTATTTTTTTAAAAATATTTATTATCCAGCTTACATAATCTCATGAATGCATGTAGGTGTCCCCAGCACGGTTACGCATGAATCCGCTGTTGCCCTGCTTGGATACTTTGTGCTGTGTGGCCATACCCCGAGAGCTTATAACACTCCCTGCATTGTAGTATTTCAGCCGAGAAGCTAGGTGCCCAATGAAGGCTGCAAGCTCCTTGCGCCCATTCTCAAAAAAACACAAAAACGGCTGTTACAACTTGCCGATCTCTGCAAAGAGCACCCCAGTAAAACTAAGGGAACAAGAAAGTTACAGGGCATGTAGCACCCTCTACCTATAAGAATGGAATGGCACAGGGAAGATGCTCAGGACGTGAAGCTATGCCCCCCTAAAGAATGTTGATGCAACCTTTGGAAGGAAGCTAGGATCGAGGAGTAACCTATGCACCATCCTATCCTGCCCAAGAAATATGGCAGGGCGCAAAGAGAAATGTAGAGGTCAGGGTCTCTGGCACACGAGCTCGACCGAGAAAGCAGGAACCAATGAATGGGTTCCATATTTAACCTGGAGAATACAACTGCCTTTTCCGAAGCCCACATGTGGCAGATCGCCCTCAAACACCAACTTGGTCCAAGTCCCACACGGATGTTGGAGTAACCGAACAGACTCCAAGAGACTGGTCCCTCTTAAATGTACCAGTTGCTAGATCTGCTAGAAGGAAAGAAGCCGCACCTTTTAATGTTGATTTTGAGGAAGTAGGGCTATTGTATCACGAAAAGTCTTGGTAAATGAGACTTGGTAAGGCTTCCGAGATAAAAACACCTATCTATATATATTCTGCAATGGCCCACTCTTTGCTCGGTATAAACGACACATGAGATAGACAGGTAAACTGGGCGTCAATTGACAACTTATGACTTCTGGTTTGTGCAAAAAATACCAGTTTGTGAACAAACTACTTCTCAATGAGATAGTCTTCTTCTTTCGCACGGCTGCTGATGTAGACGCAGAGCAACAACTGCAATTCCACATTCAGGTGATAATAAGATAATTAAAACATGTAATTGCGTGAACCTGTCTTCCAGAAGAGGATTAAACAGTGACCTCGAGTGCACACCAAATTGCATAAGTGGAAAAAATGTTGCCTAAGATGATGAAATTAGGGGAGAGGGAGGGGACAGCGGGGAGAGGAGATGGGGGGGGGAGATAGGAAGAGGTGAACACTTACAGCTCCAGTTTCATCCCTCAGCGTTGAGATTCTTCCACTTAGGAGGCTGTAAGGGCAATTGTGAGGGGAGGGGGGGGGGTGAGAACACAGAAAGTCAAACAAGGCCATGTCCTGTCACCACAACCAATATCACTGCCACCATCATCGTGACACAGCAAGCACGGTGCTACTTTGCAACGACTTTGAGGTTTTACTTTAGACATCGTCCTCATGAAAGGACACCGCAGGGCGGAATGACCACAATGAGAATGAGATGACTTGCGTAAGTGTAGCAGCAGCACAACAAGAACGAGGGGAAAGCCTCAATTGACGCCAGAAGTAACGGCTCTATAACACGGGGAAGGGAAAGTAGTGCTACCACAGTACATACTACAAGTGCTGGTATTTTGAGCCAAGTATTGCACGTCAATAGATAATGCAGATTAATAAACCCCCCAGTAATTTATCCTGTCCCAAATAAACAAACTGGGGTATAAAATTGGATGGATCCAGAATTTTAATTGGTTATGGTCATGATTTGTGGATTGAATAATCCATGTAATCATTACTTTTGGTTAATGTTCAGTTACAGAATTATATATTACATTTATCTTCTATAGATATGAAAGTCAAAATTTGTCCGTGGGTTTGTGGCGGGGTTTGTGTGGGTGTGTGTGTGTGTTTGCGCGCTTGCCAAGGATTTAACTCTCCAACCGTGGGGTTTACGTAAATAAAAATAGCCAGGTAGCACGCCGTAAGCCCTGCCGTGAGCAAGCACTATTCCTTTTTCACATCCGTCAACTTTTAATTAGTTTAATTAGCGATTTAGTGCGATTTTTGTGTGCTTTCTATTTATTTATTTATGACGCGTGCATGACCATACCAACTCACGCGCCTTTGGTGGGGGAGACGGCCCATGCCAAGTCATATGCCTTCAGTGAAAGTGAGGGGGACATTTTCTTTCATGTTAAAAATACTATAAAAATACACTAAACGCTGAGGTAATTTCTTCACTGTGTGATGTCCCTCCACCCCGATGCGTGCAGTTACAGCTATACAGTCGGTAGATGCTACCACGATAGGCCGTAGATATTACTGCAGAGTGGCCGGGGAGATTGTGGCTGGAGGGGGGGGGGGGGGTCAGGGGTAGCAGCCCAGCCCCAGCCTGCCAAGGTGCCACCTCGGCCGGCTGGACAATCTAGGCGAGGCCGGAGGCTCTGCACGGGATTAGGCCTCATTACGCCACTCTGTCAGGTGAGCACTTTGTGCTATAGAGTCGATAAATACTGCTATAGAGTCAGCATGTACTACTGTAGTGATAGCAGGTACCACCACAGTCGGTGGCCTGGGCAACACCGGGTACTTCCCGCTAGTTTTATATAAAAAAAAAATATCATACTACAATGGATGCTATGGATTCACATCACTGTAGATTACACATATTAATTATGCAATAGGTTAACTTATTTTTTTTTTACATGTGATCCAATCCTAAGCAAGAATCGTGAGAATTCATTACATCGTGGGAGGGGTGAATGGTTACATCCATATGTAAGTATTAATGTTGAACTTCTTTCACACTTTATGTAGCGAACCGTGCTAATTAGAGGTACGGGGGAAAGACAACAAACTAAACACACAAAAAGCAGTTCTCAGGAAATAAGTTTTCAATCTAGATATAAAAGTGCATAGCTCAAGTGGCTTCCTAATATCAGAAGGAAAAGCATTCCAGACAGCCACAGAAGCGCATGTGAAAGTGCACGATGCAGTGACCGTATAGAAAGGAAGAGCGTTCCAGACGGCCGCAGAAGTGCATGTGAAAGTGCACGATGCAGTAACCGTATAGAAATCATGCAGCCACAAGGCCTCATCCAGAAGCTGGCACCTGGAGAAGAAGGAGTCAGGGACCCAGGTGAGCGTCTGTCTGGAAGTGCTGAACCTGCAAAATAAGAACAGATGGTGAGCGACACAATTGTTCCAACATGCACCTGTCATCAACATCATTGTCTATCAGGGTGTTATGACCACTGCAAGTAGCCAACCGCTCAGAATCCGCATTATAACGCTGTGTTCCGCGTTGTGTGAAAAGTGTTCCAAATGGAAGAACTTCGTTCCAGAAAAAATGCATTGTGTGAACACGCTTAAGGTTAAGCGAGGACGTACCATGTTATATTTTATTCCATAATACACTCTGCACTATAAAGACTGTAGCCAGAGTCGAGGGGGCTGAATATGGAAGAGCTGCATGAATGCAGTTAATTTTAAAGTTTTGTCGTTCTCATTGTGAATATATTTTGTGATTGTTTGAGTGCCTTACTGTCCATCTGTAAACCATAGCAAGATGCCCATGCTTCCTAATATCAGATACCAAAAAGAATTCAACTGTACCTTAAGACGTCTTCAGAAGTATCCGGCTTAAGTGAGTGTATTCACCACATTGCACTGATCAGCATGGTGAAGTATAATAATTTCCCGCTCCAACACGTGCGGTGTGGGAAGGCCCTCAGCTAGCAGTAGATTGCAGGGGCGGTTTCTTCATTAGGGCGATTGGGCGACGCACCACCAATCTCAGCCGTTACTGTGCCTCTGGATATAGTCCAATCAGCGTCATGTCACGTTCTGTGGAGTACCGCCTCTTTTTGGGCGATTTCACTCTGGCTGAGAATCGCCCAGAGTGTTCCCATAGACTTACATTTAAAGATGTTTTTTTTCGAACGGCGGGCGCTGCAATGCATTCTCTATGGCTTCCGGGAGGGCTCGCACTAACGTGCTTACGTCATCATACGTAAGCACGTTTCAGTCAACAATATTATTTGTCGCTACCTCGTGGAATCTTTAATAAAAGAAACTGAGTGGATTGTAATAATAGTGAGTATAGAAACAAACAATATGTATTGTAAGAGTCACTTTATTTTTCATTAATATTAAAGAAGTGAAGTTGCCTTTACATGCTTAAGCTGTTAATTTATCCATTGCATGGGTAGACCTTATCCTTATCAATCATCCAGACATTTGCCCCCCCTGAGAGATTTTGCAGGAGCCGCCACTGGTAGATTGACAAAAGGGCTGTTACGTGCACATGCACATCCCCTCTGACGCAGTGAAACACCACTGCCCCTGCCCACAAGGTCGCCTTTATCTCACAAATTCCGAAGGTCATTGAAGGTGCGACCTGGCCAGCACATGTACCCTCCAGCACAGCGCCCACCACCCACCTGGTGCCCCCCACGTTGAGCTGAATGATGTCCCCTGACCCGGGAGCAGCAGCCGCCATGGCTGGAGTCACTTGCTTTAGTGTGGCTCAACGAGTCTCGAGGCAAGCACCGCAATCCTGTGGGCAAAGGGAGATTGTTACAGCATCACTTGTCATCATCAAAATTATTACCCTGTGCTATGAAAAAGGGATATTGCCTGAGTCACGGACTATACTCTATATTAACCAATTGGTAATACACTGGTGCATGGTATAAAAAAATCCCAGTAAAAATATCTTGCGGGGTGCATCAAAATCAGTTTTCATGATGTCGAAGCAGTCGGAAGACGATTGTCAGCTCAAATTTAGATTTTAGACGATTTTATGAGGACCGGTGTGTTATGCTCCACCAGTGTACCGCCAATACCTCCATATGTTTTCATTGTAAGGCAGCGTTATTGATTAATGTGTTGAGTGTCTTCATAAAATATTACAGGAGGTTGTTTTAACTCCCAAAAGCTGATAGGTGTGATCCCTGCAAGACCAATAGTGTTTCAGCACATCGGTGTGTTGAAGCAGGAATACATGTAGCACATCTGTTCACGTCACACTTTTTTTTGGCTGTCGGGCGGTGGAGGGTTTACGACAAATACAAATTCCCCACTACCCAACCCAAAAACTCAAATACGAATCATAATACTGGTCGTGAAAGCCTACATGTAAAATTCATATTTTGTAATGCAACACGAGGCAGAGGAATAACTCTCAGATGCTCATCTCCTGCTTACACCTCTGAGATAGTGATGGTACATACACATTCCTATGGCAAAGACCAGTCCAGTATATGGCAAACCATTATTTTAAACATTTAAAAGTTAAACTCAAAAGTCTGTATTTGCTCAAACAGGAGTGGTGCTTATCTTCACTGTTAGCCTTGAGCCAGAAGTACCACTTTACTTTTAAGGGAATAAATGTGTACATAATAAAGTTTGTAAATTATACAGTAATTGTCATTAAAAGAATGACTAATATTGTGTAATATACATCTATTACAGTAAGGACTGTTTTGTATTGTATTGTCATTCAAGGCAATGAACAAATCAACCAGAATGCACCTATACTCATCATATCTCAGAAGCTATTGCAGGAGTGGGCCTGGATAATGCTTGGATAGGTGACCACCATGTACAAAATAGGTTTTATAGGCTGCTGCGGGGATAAAATTACTTTGTGATGCTGTGTTGGCTGTGGTGCACAAGCAAACTTAACAAAAAAACCTCAATACAGTACATACGTCAAAAACAGTGGCCTTAAAAAGTAACAATATATAATAGGCGACCTTTCCAGCCCTTCTACATCAAATATGAGTAGTCACAGCGGAGATCCCATCAATGTGCCTCTTGTATTCACGCACAAAAAGACCGCACTTTCCAAAACGTGCCGTCACACATTGAGTTTGCTGCATGGCAGCCAAACAGTGGCATTTCACCCCGACCCGAATTTAGCCAAATTGAGTGCAGGACCGAAATTAACCTAACAATGTCTTAAAGTCACAGGCGTAACCAAACCATTGCGAGGTCTAACAATACGTTTTCGATCATGAACCGAAGTTAAAATGCAATGGATTTGTTGTTTAGAGTAGTTACCGGTGGTGAGCCCATAGACTTTCTACACTTGAGATACCCCCCTGTTCAACGCCACTCGCTAACCGGGTCTCAAACCGGTCGTCATCAACGTTGCCGGCTCGGCACTCCGACCCCCCGCGCTCTCCCCGTGCTATCTGGACATCTCCACGAGATTGGCCGTAATCCCTGGATTATAAGACGCAATCTTCTTCCCTCACCTCCCGCCCCGGTGGGATTACCACAAAAAGTTGGGGTGAGTCTTATAATCCAGTGTGATCAAATGTGTGCACGACTGTTATAGACCGATGCAGCAACGCATTTGTGTGGCGTCTTACTGTTCCCGCAGCGTCGTTTAATCTTTGACATATGACTAAGCCTGTGGCCAACATCCCCCGTGCTGCTTATAATGTGACAGGTTACGTGGGCAAACGAGGGTGGGCGGGCGGGCGGGCGGCAAGAGATCTCGGGCAAGGCCGCTCAGGCAAGAGCGGGGGGCCCGATTGAGGCCTACTGAACCTCGACTCCTCTGCGATCGCCTGCCGCGTCTCACCCTCCCCGATCACCTCGAGCGACGTCCCCTCGTAGGCGGCGAACCCCTCGGGGATCCCGGCAGCGGCGGCGAGGAGGAGGCTTCGCTGTGAAACACGCGAGGCAGCCACCACCACCACCACGTCCCGTAGCCACCCCACCGCGTCTCGTTCACTCACATCGCGTCCGTGTGCGGGGGAGGGGGGGGGGCTGCGGGGGGGAGGGAATCGATCCGAGCGATTCGGTGGAATAATCCACAACGATCCTGAGAATCGATCCATCGCAGAGAATCTCGTAATCGGCATTCCAGAATCGTTTAGTTTTTTGTTTCTGTAAAGTAGGAGCCGACACCAGATTGCAGGGGTCTCGTCCTTTATTCCTTTCCTTCCATCCACACCTGTCCCCCAGCCGTCCCAATATCGTTCCCGCCAAAGGCCCCTTCTTCCCGCCCGTTCTCTCCTTATATCTCCTCGATCACCCCTCCCACTAACCCATCTATTGGTGGGAATCCTTCCCCTGACACCCCTACATCACCCCCCCCCCCCCCGGAGAAAAAATAACCGTCCTCGGTTCTGCCTCCCCCATGGACCATTTAAATCTCCCCATGCCTCCCACCACTGACAGTGACGACAGCCCTCACCCCCCCCCCACAACCATACAATGCAACATAACACAACGAAATCAATTGCGCGGCCTGCCCAGGTCTCCAGCCAGCATCCCGTAACAGCCCGGACATCCACAGGCAGCAGATGACCGTGGCGGCCCCCTCCTTCGAAGGCCCTCTCGTCGTGGTCCCTGGTTCGGTGGTGCCGGTGTCGCCTTGCCTGGCGCCGCTGTCTCTCCGGCCCCCGCTCGTGCTGCCGCTCCGTCAGGCCTCACATGGGGTGCTGTAGGTGACAACGGAACACAGGGCACCGAACCCCCTGCCGGTTGGCGCGTGGTGGTCGGCGACCTTGGCCTGGGTAGGGATGATGATGATGTTGGCAGTGATGTTGGTGGTGATGTTGGTGTAGATGACGGTGGAGAGATGTATGGCTTAAGGCGGGTGGGGTGTACAAACCATCGTCGCTTACCCAGTTGGACCTGGACGCACTGCGGTCGGAGTGCTTTAATGACCTCGACCGGCCCTTTCCAGGGTCGGTGCAGCTTTGGTGAGAGGCCAACCGGCACCTGAGGACAGTGTAGCCATGCCTGGTCCCCGACTTTAAAGGGCTTGGCTGTCACTGTCCTCTCCCGTATCCGTACATTACTCTCTTGGCTCGTGGCCGATGCGGCCTCGGCTGCTTGGCGGGCCTCTCTCAAATAAATGAGGGAGGTCTTTAGTGCCTTCGGCCATGCGTCGGCTCTTGCGGGAATGTCCGTCAGCTGCACCTCAATAGGCGGAACGGGATCCCGTCCGTACATCAGGAAAAACGGCGAGAACCCCGTCGCCGCGTGTGGGGCCACCCTGTACGCCGCTAAGACAGATGGAATGTGGAGGTCCCAGTCGGAATGGTTTTCGTCCACCACTTGGGACAGCATGGCCGCTATGGTGCGGTTAAGCCGCTCTACCATCCCATCGGTCTGGGGATGATACGGAGATGTTCGGACCTTTTTAGTGCCCAGGATAGAGCAGACGTCCTTCAATAGCTGTGAGGAGAAATTCCTGCCCTGATCCGTGAGCAACCGCTCCGGTGCCCCCTTATCAAGGACATAGCCTCCCACGAAGGCATCGGCGATGGTCTGTGCCGTTTGGTCCGGGAGGGCCCACGCCATCGGCCACCTCGTGCAGTACTCGACTCCGACCAACAGGTATTTATTTCCCCGTGGCGTGACCGGCAGTGGTCCCAGGATGTCCAACGCAACCAATTCGTTGACCCTGGTCACCGTGATGGGCTGTAGGGGCGCCCGGCTTACCCGGGGTGGCGGCTTTCGCCGTGCACATTCGACGCAGGTAGCGACCCATCGATGCACGTCAGCGGTCATACCTGGCCAAAAGTACCGACTCTGTAATGTGTACAGTGTCTTCCGCCCCGCCAGGTGCAGCAGCTGGCGGCCGTGTACGTCCATAACCAATTGTTGACGCAGCGACTCCGGAACTACCAGGCATCGTCGGCGCCCTGTCGGGTCCCATCGCATGAGGAGGTCCTCCCATACGATGTACTCCTCCCCCCCTGCCTCTGCTGAGGCGCGTAGCGTTCGCAGTGGGGCTTCCTCCAGCTGTAGCCGTCGCCAATCGTCCAGGGTCAGCCCCAGGTCGTGGTCGGTCAGCTGGACCTCACCCTGTGCGTCCTCCGCCGTGCGTACGGGAGCGATGACTGTCCCCTCCGGCCTCGCCTCCTTGCAGCGTGCCCCGCCTGTGGTGCATGCACAAGGGCCCTGGGGCGCCAGTCGGGACAATGCGTCTGCGTTGGCATGTCTGGTCCCTTTGCGATGCACTACTTGGTACCTGTACTCCTGCAGGCGCTCTATCCATCTGGCCAGCTGGCCCGAAGGCTGGTCGATGCGGAGCGAATACTGCAAGGCCGCGTGGTCAGTGCGGACCGTAAATTTGCGACCATACAGGTAGGGTCGAAATTGCTGCACGAAGTGAACGACTGCCAGGAGTTCCCTACGTGTGACGCAGTAGCGCTGCTCCGCTGATGAAAGCACGCGACTACCATAGGCGATAACCACCTCGCGACCCTGCTGGACTTGCGACAAAACACTGCCGATGCCCACATCGCTGGCGTCCGTGTCCAGGATAAAGGGGAGGCCAAAATCCGGAAAGGCCAATGGTGGTGCATCTGTCAGACGTGAGCGCAGCTGCTGGAATGCCTCTTCCTCCAGAGGGCCCCAATAAAACCTCTGGTTCTTCGCCGTCAACACGTGCAAGGGCTTGGCAATGGTTGCGAAGTTGGGTACGAACCGGCGGTAATAAGAAACGAAACCCACAAACCGGCATACCTCTGGAACAGCCCAGGCCCTCACGCAGGCCGTCTTTTCCGGGTCTGTAGCCACTCCAGACTCACTGACGACGTGGCCCAAGTAGCGTACCGACGACTGCATAAGGTGGCACTTCGACGGCTTGAGCTTCAAGTTCGCGTTCCGGAACCGCAGGAATACCTGACGTAATCGGTCAATGTGTTCCTCGAATGATCGGCTGAAGACAATGACGTCATCCAGGTAGATGAGGCACGTTTCCCATTGGAGGCCTGCTAAGGCCAACTCCATTATGCGTTGGAACGTCGCCGGCGCAGTCTGGAGGCCCATAGGCAGGCAGTTGAACTCGAACAGGCCCTGTGGTGTCCGGAACGCTGTTTTAGGCCGGGAGTCCGCGTCTAGTGGGACCTGCCAGAACCCGGACAATAAATCCAGCGTGCTGAAAAATTTTGCTCCCGCCAGTGCATCCAATGAGTCGTCAATACGTGGTAGGGGATATGCGTCGGCCAGCGTGACGGCATTGAGGCGTCGGAAGTCCACACAGAATCTCAGTGACCCGTCTGACTTCTTGACCAGGACCACCGGTGCCCCCCAGGGACTCGAGGATGGAGAAATTATGTCGGCCCGCAGCATCTCCTGCACCGCTTGTTGAATGTGCCCTTTTTCCATTGGGCTCATTTTATATGTGTTTTGGCGCAGGGGTGCGGCATCTCCCGTGTTAATGTGGTGCTGCGACAGATTTGTGCGCCCTAGGTCGAACGGTCCCCGGCTGAACACGTCCGAGAACTCATGCAATAACGAGTGCAGCTGCTGTTTCTGGTCGGGCGGCAATCCCGGCTCAGGCCCCGCCAGCTGGTCCATCCACGATTCGGCCCCTCTGTCCTCGGACTGGCTGATGCTGCCTACAAGCTCGGGCTTTGTCCCTGGGGCTCCTAGTGACAAGGGACTAACGTGGGCCAGAACTGTTCCCTCCTGCACCGTCGCTGTTCTATCGGAGGTGTTCAGCACCTGAATGAACAGATGCTGGTTCCTCTGTACAATAGTTTCGGCTCCCACCAGCGCATGGCGATCCATGGCAGCTGACGCCGGAGACACCAGGATGGGTGAGTCTGGTCGGGCTGTCACGAGGGGAGACCGATATTGCAGCGGAATCAGCATCTGGGCTGCCGGGGGAATGGAGACAGGCTTACTGACCAGAGCCTGCACATAGGGTACACCCCGGCTGGCCCCCTCCGCCTTTAGGAAATGGAGATGCGTTCCCTGGACTTCCACCCGCCCATTGGCCAGATCGATTTTCATTGGCATCCGCCTCAGAAAGTCCGTCCCCAACAGGCAGGGTACGGGCAACGTTGCGGAGACAAGTATGGGTCCTGCTACCGAGAGCTGCCCAATCTGTATCGGGGCTTCAACCTGGCCCAGGAAGCCCATGCTGCCTCCATTTGCTGCAATGAACGTTGTCTTGACAGGGACTAAAGGTCGGATTTTATCCGGCAGCATCTCGTGCATGGTGCTCGAGATGATCGTGGCTGATGCCCCCGTATCCACCAAGATACGTGCCGACACTCCCGCGATTTCACCGACCAGGACCGAGGTTCCCGACGTGGCCGCTACCACCCGCCTTGCCAGCTTCCTCCATTGTGTGGCTGAGTCCGGCTACTGACCAGGCGGCGTCTCGTTATCCTGTGGTGCATGGTGAAATGATGGGGGATGGATGTGAATGGACTGAAGATGGGGTTCCTCCCTTTGGAGTGCGTCGCAGCAGGGTGAACGCGCCCTTGTTACGTAGTGTGGGTTGCGGGCTGGGCTCTCTATGTGGTGCAAATTGCCCCCCCTTGGTGACGTAGGGTGGGCCCCCCTTGTGGTGTGGGGGCCCCCCCCATTGTAGGGGGCAGTGGGGACTGGGGGGTGGGCCTTCCCGTGAGCCCCTCCCTTCCCTTTGTCACGGGGGCGTGGTCCCCCTGGTTCCGTCTCGCTCTGCCGCAAAGCGGTGGCGAGGCGGCCCGTGGAACTGCTCCAGGGCGCAATGTCAATCTTGTGGGCTGCCTCCGCCCCCGGGCCGTTGCCCCTGGCAACTCGCCGGCGTCGCAGGTAACTGGTGACGTCACGCCCGCCGGCGACGTCACGCCCGCCCGCGACGTCACGCCCGCACGCGACGTCACGCCCGCACGCGACGTCACGCCCGCCCGCGACGTCACGCCCGCACGCGACGTCACGCCCGCACGCGACGTCACGCCCGCCCGCGACGTCACGCCCGCACGCGACGTCACGCCCGCACGCGACGTCACGCCCGCACGCGACGTCA